TGAATATGTGAACAGAATGTGAACAATGATGGAGAATGTATGATGGACGATCAGAAAAAAAAATCAGGTGCCTTGGGTGAGCTAATTAAAATGTATGTATAGAGTATTTGATTACTTCAATCTAACTGAAATTAGATTCTTCTATCTATTCACATAGATCAGTTCACTTTTTTGTATTAATATACATGAGGGGATACAAGGATGTAGTTTTGATCAGAGTGATAGATTATTTTCCAACGTTTCACACCTTAAGAGGCTCGGGACGATTATGAATATTAACATACAAACATTGTAAAAACAAAAAAACTCATAACATGCTACGAATGATGATTCTATTTCCTCTTCTACATACATAACTACCTGACACATATTCTATAAAATCTTTCTCTTTCAGCAATAAAAGGAAAGAATCAAAATCTGCTATAAAGCAAGCATACTTGGATTTGAATTCCTCTTCCTTAATAAAAACCATCGTAACAACCGTCAATACTGTTAATTTATGAGTATTTATTTATTTATTGTCATTTATTGAATTTTATGGCGAATTAAGATTTACCAGTTAACTAATGATACGTGAAATAATATTTAAATGCACTTTTTCAGGATAATATATATTCACACTTACACACAAAATGAGTTGTTCATTTTTAGATACAGAACAATGAAATCTCAATCTTTCTTGAGTAGCATTTTTGCAAATTAAAAGTACACTGCAACTGTTTCACATGGAAAAATAACGTGAAGAGATAGGTAACTGAAAGTATTGTAATATGAAGTCTATTTCTAATATCTACTAAGATAAATGTTAAAAATAATAAACAGAAATGACAGTGATTCATGACTTGCTTCATGATGGAGGTCAGTAAAAGTTTGATTATCATAGAAAGTTAATAATTACCTAATATTTTAGAAATTTAATACTTGCATCAATTACAATCAAAATAGGTCTAAAAATCTATATCAATTCAGGCATCCATTTTTTTGTTTGTATCATCTGTGCTTAAATACGAATCGGAACCATTTTGCACTTAGCAATAAGAAAAGTTTACATAAGCAAAGAATGGTTACAAAATTCACGAAGAAGTAATGTCATTTTTAAAAAAAAAATGCATAAAAAATTACTTCAGCTATACCTTAAATCTTTGTATGTATAGGACAAAATATATTGGTTAACATTTATTTTTTATAAATAGATTTTAATGAAAAATTCATTTTTCAAGATTTTTTTTAATGTCAGCCTTCCGTATTTAAATTAAACATCGAATGGTTTATTTGAAAATTCGATGAATTAGATTTAAGTCTCCACAGTTTGTCTGATGTCTGAAAAAATAGTAATTAAGATACTAGTAAGCAAATTTGTATGCATTTCTTGTTTGAAATACTTCCGCAAGAACAAACTGTTCCCAAGGAAACTCCTTTAAAACTTAACAACCCATATTGTCGCCCCCGTGACGCAGTGGTAAGAGCATTTGTTCTAGAGTCGAAATGCAATGAGTTGATCCGCGGGTTCGAATCCACTGTGCCACGTGGAGACCAGTCCTTTGGATGAGACCGTTTAAACCGAGGTCCCGTGTCGCAGTAGGTGCTGGCACTCCACCGGTAAGTGGCGGCGTCTCAGTATGAGTGAAAAATTCTCGAGGGGACGTTAAACAACCAAACAAACAAAGTAACTTATGTTAGGTTGTATGAAATATGTGGAGATAACGAACAGTATTCAAAAGTCCATTAAACATTACAATATAGGGGCAAAGCAAACACGGACCTCTAAGACATCAGAGGTGGGATTAGGTGTCATGGAGGTGTGAGCATCATGCATATACAATAGTTTATAAGTATGAAGGGAATATTAAACACATATTCTAAAGATATTCCTTATGTCACTACGGAATCCAGACACTTAGGAGCGTTCTTCCTGAAACATGTTAAGTACCCATAATTTAATCACAAACACAGAGCATCGAAAGTAGAGATACAATACATGTACTATAAGTCACCAAAAATACTTAACCGCATAAGACGTTTTCTAAATGCCCTGTACTTATATTTAAAAAAAAAAAAAAAGATGCATTAGAAAGTAGTGAGGAAGAAGGTTTTTTTTTTAACTTGCTTTGTCACACTGAAGTCGAAATATTCCAAAATTCATTTTTACAACAATACTGATATGTAGATTTCTCATCCACATGATAGAAGCAAAATCCGCTTTTTTCTAGTGATATGATATATTCATTATCACCATCTATATATAACGGAGGCGGATCCAGAGAAGAGATCTATACAATACATTCAAGAAATTCTTCCCATAACTTCAGACCTTCGACCTATTTGGGGACATGTCGCCGTAACATGCAGGTATGCTCTTCATCCTTGAAGTATCCGAATTTGGAATAAAATAGAACAATTTTCTCGTGGCACTCAAGAGACACCTCATAACAGCCAAACTTCTTACTCAGTAGTAGCGTTAAAGCATCTACCAATCTGGCGAAAAAAATGGGTGCAAATTGCCGGTGAAAAAGAGGTTTATTTTAACAGACATGTACATATTCAGGGCTTTGGTCATCTACAATTTGGCCGCTGAAAATTAAAATGATACTTTTTCCCTAGCTAAATATATACATTTTCACATTAGTAATTACTAAGTCATTACACCCCCACCCCACCCCCAAATATAACATATATTTGGATATATATATGAAAACAAAAATATAGTTTGACATCAAACACCAAAATCAAATATGTATGAGTTTTAAACTTGTTATGCATAATGATTTCCCTTAAAATCCCGAAAATTCGCTAATTTTTCCACATGAAACAGCTCTAGCTGCCCAAGTACCAAAGGTAGTATAAGAGTCCTGAATTATACAATTCACAACTTAGTAATAGGCAAATTAGCATCTTCTTTGGCACAAAATGCTTCAAAAAACTTTGGTTCAGGTGAGCTTCTATTGATTCATTAACTGGATATCGCTACGAAATGTACAACACTCTGTCTGAGATAATTTGCTTTTACCATGACAACTATGCTTTCTAGTTCCTGTACTATAAATGCTGGTATAATTATATCAAGATTTCCTATCGCAACACCTTTTTTTTAATTTACAGCTTTCCTAACTGTTTTCCTTAGTATGAGCTATGCACAATCATATTTTCTATTCTTCCTCTCTGCAAAGAAGGAATGACGTAAATAAACTCCAGGATTCGTTTGCATAAAAATTCTAAGAATTTTCTTAAGTATTTGCTTAAATTTCTTAAGCATATTCTTAGCTGAGTAACATGCTTAATTTCCGTTGCATAAAAATTCTAAGCAACATGCTTAGCGATTCTTAGCTAAGCATATCGCAATCTGCTGCCATGTACACTGTTGCCATGTCAATAAAGTCACTTCTTCTTTCACTTAAATGTAAACAAACACATGTCATGACGAAGAAGCAAAGAAATAATATGATGAAAAATATCATTCAAATTTATTCAATGCTTCACCTTCCTGTTATAACTATTTTTTTATATTTTGATCGATTTAATTGATCAAAATATTTCATTTGATATCGATGACATGTTTATATTATCATCTACTCAGACAAAAAGAGAGAGAGAAAAACAATGAACAAACTGTAGGATGTAGAAAAAATTGGCATTATCATCTACTCAGACAGAGAGAGAGAGAGAGAGAAACAATGAACAAACTGTAGGATGTAGAGAAAAATTGGCATAATTAAGAGGGAGAGCGAATCAAATTAATTTTGAAATTTAAATTATTTTTTATAGAATTAGAGGACATGGTAAACACTTTTTCCACGATGAATTTAGGTTTAGTTTCGAATTTGTGTATGTAATCTCGTGTAATATTTGGCACGTTTTCTGAACACAGTCATTAAATCTCTCTCTCTCTCTCTCTCTCTCTCTCTCTCTCTCTCTCTCTCTCTCTCTCACGTTACTTAAATTAATCCACGATTGAGGTGTCGATTGAATGATTGTATAAATTATGTGTAATATGGGATACATGTAAATCATATTCTTCTGAAAATGTAATAATAATCAACATAACTAGAAGTACATCGCACTGGTGAACTCAAAAAGGGCTTTTCCAACTACACTGCATTGTCACAGGTGCTGGACGTTGACAAAACTACGCAACAATCAAATGACGTCAAATTTTTAACTGTTTTGATAATAAATCGCTTGCATCTTGTAGAGTATATAAATGCCATATAATAAAGTAGATACATGCAGAATGTAATTGATTTCATTGATTTAATTACCTCTTCTTATTTATATTTCATTTTTTGGTAAATTTCCTTTAATTATATTTGTTCCTCTACCTCTTTGAAATATATTAAGCAATATGCTTAAGAACTTAAGAAGGGTAAAGACCATGCTTAACTTTAAGCATATGCTGGGCATATACTGAAGAGTTGAGAAGTTTTATGCAACATGCTAAGCAAGATGCTAAGTAAAATTCCAATCTGCTAAGCAGAAAAACAGTACTTAAGTATATGCTTAAGTAATTAAGAATTTTTATGCATACGAACCCAGTAATATATAGAAAAAAATGATAAACCTTGTTCCTTCTGCCACTCAGAAGAAACAACAATAGACGTTTTATGAGAATGTGACAATGTGTAGACATTTTTACACAGTTTTAAAGTGTGTTGGTCATAAGCAAAAGGCTTACAATCTTCATTTACTGAGCAAATTTTATTCTTCTTTTTTTTTTACTGACCTTGTGGATTAAATGTAACATTTACACTATGAGATGTTCAGATTAAAAATAGAATTCATGTTGAAATTACAATATCACTTATTAAATATTTTTGAGAGATTTAAAAATATACATCATATAAAAATGTACGCAAAGAAGTTTATGACATCAATGGTATCGATAGAATCAACTCTTTTATTGAAATTTAATGCTGAGTGAAAATTTTAAAATATATAAATTATGTGCTAATATGTCAAATCTCTCTCTCTCTCTCTCTCTCTCTCTCTCTCTCTCAAACACTTACTTAATATCCTTGAGTGTACCGCGGTATATAATGCTTTGAATGGATTGTGTACTGGTGTACTAAATGAAGAATAAAAAGACGCCTTTTTTGAATTTCATAGAAATGCTATTTTATTTTAATAAATCCTATTCAGGCTAGCTGTAGGGCGTTCACCTTCGATTCTCGTTTCCAGTACTTGTCATTTTTTTTTATTTACACAGCTAGTAGCTGTTCTTTCGCCAAGCGTCCGACACTAAAAGTGAAAGTCACTAGTATTTCTGATGAGACGTTAAAAACTGAGGACCCGTGTCACGGTAGGCGCTAGCAGATGAAGACCATTCACTACTACGGCCATGAGCGCCATGCCTAGGTCAAAAGTTGAGGCATTTTACCTAAACCAATTGACGTTTCTTCATGAGTGAAAAATTTTGGAGACCTTAAACAACGTAACAAATTGTTACCAATCATCCCCTCAAAATAATGAGTGCAAAATTTTTAACCAGAAATCAGTTTATCTCTAAGAAGAATGCTCTAATTCCCTTCAGTTGAAGGAATATTTGTCTTTTTTACTTTAGAATAACAGATTGTTTGATTGTTTGTTGTTTTATGTCCATTACTAGAATTTTTTACTCATATGAGACGTCACTTAATACCGATGAAGGACTTCAAATTTAGACCTTTACTAGGCACATAGGGCCATTGAGCAGTAAGGTTCTTTATTGTGCCAACGCCTACCGTGACACGGAACCGTATTTTAGGGTCTTATCCGAAAAATCCATGACTTTCACCTCTGATGTCGGGCTCTTGGCGAGAGAACATCACTACCTATGTTTATGTCTTAGGTTTGATGCTGCGCCGGGAACGAGAATCGAAACCGGTATCTTCCGATCACGAAGCGATTGCCCTACCGCTAGAGTAACAGAATTTCAAAAGGAATAACGGAGGTATTCTTCTTACATACAAAACCACACTATAGTATAATCTTCATTTCCTTCACTAGAGCGGAGGATCCAATTACTCTGTGAGTGACTGTGTCCTCTATCACCATAGTGTAGTACATGTTTGACTGAGACTTCATTAACTGGAATCGCTCTACAATTTCACTCCATTCACTTATCATTTCTTACAACGAAATATATGGAGATAACGAACAGTATTCAAGCTCAAAAGTCCATTAAACATTACAAAATAGGTGCAGAACAAACACGGACCTCCAAAACATCAGAGGTGGGATCAGGTGCCATGGAGGAGTGAGCATCCCCTGCCGACCGGTCACACCCGCCGTGTGCTCCTTGTCATGATCAGGAAATAACGGAAAAATCCGTCGACAATTCAGTGTGTAAATAATGGCCTAACAATTAATATGAAAAACGTCAGTCAGCATTTGACTCAATGATAAATTGTATTTGCTGACAAGGTTATTGTATCGGCCATAGAACTTCCGAAATGATGACTTTAAACGAGACTGCTGATATTCTTGTTTCATCAACTTGTTTGTCAATAATTTACCTCGTTTTAGAAATTGTACATACGTAGAGCATGCTCTTGCGTATCGAATCAACTGAGAGATATAAACCCCCTATGCAGGTGATGAAGGTATATTGCTGCATAAGTAAGGGAAGTTGACGATTGAAAAGTTAGTCATCACGTTGATCATAAAGCTTGGTTGTTAGATTACCATTAACGTCTTTTTCAAGTAAAATATCCAAATATGAAACAGATGTGTCAGACTCTACAAATAGTATGAGAGCAATTAACAAATCTAACCAAGTGTCCAAAAATAAAATAAATGATATGACTAGTACTAGTTTTCAATTTTCAGGAAAAATGGCACTGTAATCATAAAAGAACCATCGACTGAAAAGTCATTAGTATTTGACAAATTCTTTAACTAATTGACTAATACTCTGACTAATTGACTAGAGGACTTTTGCGAGAAGCACTGACTTTTACAGTTGACTGCTTACTTTGACATTTAAACCTGCCTTATGTACGGAGGTACGGAATTTATAATAGAGAAGAAAACCTTAATAGTGGTTATAGGTATGGTGTTTTGGGTACTAACGTGATTTACTGGTATGCAATCAACGCAAGAGATGATAGGAGGCAGAATTACTTAACGTAAATGACCTTATTCATGAGGGGTACTCAGTAGTATCTTCTTTCAATATCATTTTGGGAGTTGAGGGTATGGTGGCTGCCGTTCTCTTCCTAGACAACGTAATATCTGCTTTGAAATGGCCCATTATTATCGTTTAATTAACTGTTAAGCCTAATATATACATCACAAAAGAGCGTCCGTATATTGTCCTAGTGTAAACGTAAGCCGTCGATTGTTAAAGTCAGCGCTTCTCGCAAACGTCCAAAACTCCGACTAACACTCTTACTAATTGACTTATACAGTAAATCTTGGTAATAAAGAAATCGCTTATTAAAAAAAGTCTCACTTAATAGGGAATTTTTACGAATCCCAGTGAAGACTTCACTGTGCATCATCTACGAATATAAGGAAGCAAAATTTGAGGTCCCAGTGACTAATTACCGAGTTTAATGTACTCTGACTAATGACTAATACTCTGACTAATATTCTAGGCCTACCAATCAGTTGTGTAATCCTTGATAATCACAGTAAGAAAAATGTTGCAGTAATTTACTTATGTGTCGATTACCTTCGAACTGTTCACGGGAAATGTCATCAACTTTTGTAAGTTGCTTTAGGAGTGAAAGGTAGCCTAGAAAAATGAAATAATGACTAAAAAGCTGTCATCACTGATAGCATGAATAAAAGACATTGTATGGTTATTCTTCCACTGACTGAATAATAGATTAAACCCTGCATATCATTACAAATCACTCTAAAAAATAGGCCCAGAAGCACCCAACCACACATAATTTGTAAATGTCTTTTTCTTACTAAAAGAACTTCATTTTTTGAAAAGATTATCAGAAGACATTTGCTGCAAATACAGTGAGTGAGATAAAAGTAAGAGGGTTGTGGCATGCCTATAGATTCAATGTGAGGGGACATAAAATAGTTATTGATTGTGTAGTGTTGAATGTACTCATACAAGAGTCATGCCTCTCTACACTATACAATAAGCCTGAATGCAGAAAAATAATACAAAATCATTCTTCATCAATTAAGAAACAAGTTCTACAACTTGCATAAATCTTTCTTGATGGGAAAAATGTAGGGAGGTCATTACTGTAGGAGAAAGCCGGACAACCTACCCACAAATCAATCCCCAAACTCTCTCAGATGCAATTAACCCTTCTGTATAGCAATCAAACTTGACTTGCATGGGTAAGAAGTACACAAGCCGTAGTTCGAATAATCCCTCTGTATAGCAATCAAAAATGATTTGCGTGCATGTATATGGGCAAGAAGTGCTCAAACCATACTTAGAATAATATATCTGTGTTTCAGGACGAGCCTTCACCACAGGACCTGGTCTATAGGACAGCATCAATTTAACGATAAAACGTAACGTTCTTTCACACTTACCAGAGTGCTTCCCTGACACAAAAAGTACAGTTGTATACATGAAATACTATCAGTATCAACTACACATAGTTCAGATTATGTAACTCTCCTTTGCGGCTGCTTTGTTTTACTGTCTGGGAATTTGATCATGCAGAGCAATTAATCCGTTCATAACAACAACCTACAATTTTTTTCCATCCTCGCAAAACTCGCCAAAGCTGGTTACATGTACTTGCGAAGAAAGTTGGTTTATAGTAATATATGAACGTATCTGACCTTTATCATAGTCGGAGATACACAGGTGTGTAAGCCCCTCCCCAAGGTCTTTCAGATTGATTTTTGGTTTGTAGCTGACAATTTTCTGATTCTCAAAATCCAGATCATGAAGGATTTGTGGATCAAATAAAAAACACTCCTCATAATCGTTCCGAAATGTTGAAAGGAGAAAAAACTAGATATCAAAGGTCACGCTTTTTACCAAAGACATAAGAGTGAAAGAGGCTTGGGAACGACAGTATTTGACGTTTGAAGTTGATCTTACACTTTTACGTATGGGCACTCTTCGTATGAGCCAGAGTCACTAGAATTAAGTTCGTGTTAAGTATTTTGCATGACTTTGACAGAAGATCTATAAAATTACTTCAAGGTCACTTGCATTTTTACTCCATTAACACTCTATGGGTTAAGTATGACTCAGATGATACCAAGGGGAGAGTACATATGGAATACACTGGAAAAGGGATTTGATGCTATTATTTTGACCTTAAGAAAATTAGTCCAGGGTCACTGCACACCCTTAATTTATCAACAGCCACTTTAACAGTGAAGTGTGAGCTAAATTTGATCCGAGGCGAAAGAAATTATGCACAGAGCAATTGATTTACACAGAGATATTTTTACCTTGATCTTTGATCAAGAAATTGGTTCAGAGTCTACAAGCAAGAATTATGAGCCAAATAATGTCAATTGGGAAGAAAATATGCTCATGACAAATATTTCACACAGAGATCTAGCTGTTTTGACCTTTACCTCTGACCTTGAAGTTTTATTCAAAATCTTGCACAACATTATCAGATGAACACTCTCTGAGTGAAGTTTGAACAAGATAAGGCCAAGGCGAGAGAATATGCCCTGCAGACAAGGACTTTTTTCATATTGAGCTTTGATCAAGGAAATTGGCTTAAGGTCATTGTACAACCTCTACACGTAAGCACTCTGATAGTGATGGATCGACCAGACTTGAGCGGGGGTCACATATGCTCATGACAATGAATTCACACATGCAGAACTCTGCTTTTAATCTGACTATGACCTCTGAACTAGCTACTTGTATAAAGGTCATGCACAACCTTAAATTGGTGAAGTATGAGCCAAATAAGGCTAAGGGGATAGATATATGCTCTTACAGAGAATTTTACAAAGAGATCTACTATGACAGTGACCTTTGATCCGGAAACTTGTTATAATATCGCTGAACATTCTTTACCCACAGGAAAGAATTGACCATTGGGAGACGAAATATGGTCCAGTCAAGGGTTTACTGAGTAACAAAGATGTTTTAAGACCTAGACCCTTGATCTCGAAAATTGGTAGGAGGTCAATTCACATTCTTACCGAAGGCACTCTATGAATGAAAAAATTAATAAATAAGGCCAAGAGGGGAAGTAATATGCCTTGAACAAGGATTTTACAGACCTATGCTATGATCTTGACCTTTAATTGAGAGATTGGTTCGAGGTCACTGCTTATCCTAACCCACAAGCACTCTATAGTTAAAGTATGAGCCAAATAAGTCAATGAGAGAAAGTATGCTCCAGAAAAGGATTTTAAACAGAGCTCGCTATGACCTTGACCTCTATAGCTTTGATCCAGAAACTTGTTTCAATGTCATTGCACTCCTAACCCACAAGACCTTTCTGGGTGAAGTTTGAACAAAAATGGACTAAGTGAGAGACAATATGCTCCAGTCAACAGGATTTTAATGAAGTGTTTTATGATCTTGACATCTGATCTTGAAAATTGGTTCAGGTTCATTGCAACCATATTACTTAGGGCACTCTACAGGTGAAGTATGAGCCAGATTGGACCAAGAAGAGAGAAAATATTCTTCGGAAAAGATATTGAACTGACGGACTGATTTCTAGTTGACTCCTGAAAAATAGGGATGCAGGGGTGCACATTTCTAGAATAAAGGTCAAAGTAAAAAAAATTATAAGTAAAATCTTTGTCTGGCGTATGTTTTCTCTCTTGTTTGTTGCCTTTTGAGGCATCTCAACGATGCCTTTTAGTATTCTACGATTGAATTTACACTTATGTTCTAGGGTGTAATTGAGTAAATTCGAATTGTGTTACATACAAATATATTTAGTTTGTCAATCAAGGGCCCTCGGGGGGGGGGGGCATATTCAACTATAACAATATTATCAATTTGAATACATTATGATACAAAATGTATAAATTTTGGATCATGGTCTAGTATTGAATCAATGAAATACTGAAGATGTATAATACCACAAAAGATGAGACATTCTGAAATATACTAAATAAAGTAAAATAGAATAATACATATAATATTTGATAATGAAAATAAACATATTACACATTTTTCCATCGACACATTTTTCTATATAGGCCGTATGAAAAAACTATTTCGTTAAGGGAAGGGGTACATCCTTTCAGAATTGTTGACGAGCACAAAAATAGCCATCAGATTTAAATTTGAGAGGTTACAACAGTTATTTCTTCATTGCATGTTCGTCGCCCGCGTGGCGCAGTGGTTAGAGCGTCTGCTCTAGAGTCGCAAAGTAAGGAGTTGATTCTTACGTCGCGGGTTCGAATCCCACTGTGGGACGTGGAGACCGGTCCTTCGGATGAGACCGTATAAACCGAGGTTCCGTGTCGCAGTAGATGCTGGCACGAAAAAGATCCCTCACTGCTCAATGGCCGTAAGTGCCGAATATAGGACAAAATTTCCAGCTCTCCACCGGCAGTGGTGGCGTCTCCATATGAGTGAAAAATTCTCGAGAGGGACGTTAAACAACATACAATCAATCAATCAATCATTGCATGTTCTATTCTGTTGTATAGTATGTACTAACAAAATTGTTCCATTATTAGGGGTCACAGCTGTTATTTATTTTTGGTTTCAATTGAAAAGTATACATACTTTCAAAAGTATTAAGAAAGAGGCACATATGCCTCTCCCTTCTCTTCGTACGGGGCTGTAATAAAAAGGAATATACAGAAAAATTCTTGGGGACAGGCCCCTCCCCGTACACACGGTTCTACGAGCCTGTTATGAATAAAACAAAGCTGTTAAAGTTAATTAAATTAATAGTTAATTAATTAATACCGTAGATATCCTTCATATCCAGCTTACACGTCACACACAGATTGTATCGATTGTTGAGACACTATTGTCTATACAGTTCGCTACCGAGATGCATTAGGTTCGACTCTGTTCATTCCAATTTATGTAGGCACATCAATTACCTCCCAGTCATTCCCAGACAAACCTTTTTTACTAGAAGGAAAGTTAGGATAATATAGAAGCCTAAAAGATCAGAATCAAGTCCGTAAGAAGCAATTTCAGTGATGGTGAAAATACTTAATTCCTGTAATGTAAGAGGCGTAAAAGCTTCCTAATAGATCTGTAAAACAGATATTTTTTTGTTCAGAAGGATATTTGGGTTCCATATATTTTTTAATTACATATTCAAAAGAAATGAATAGTTTTTCGTTCACTTGCATGTTTGATATAACATTGTACTCTCAAAAGAGTTAAATTATAACTGAAAACCAATTTTCACCATTACTTATCTAGAATTAATTTTATAAAACGATTCTAATAAGATTTTTTATCTCCCGAATAGTGCAAATATTTTTAATTCGCGAGAACTTTATTTTGCATAGTTACGGGAGACGGTCTGCTCATGAAAATTTCATTCTCGTGTATATTTTTATTAGTATAGATTATAGAATTCGTGAAAATTTTGTCTCGCTTATAAATACCGAATACCTACATCGCGGAAATAAGATGTAATGAAAATTTCGTGATCTATAGTATTTATTGTGTGATTGAAAATCGTAAACATGGATGTAAACAACAATTTTAAAAAAAAACAAACATTTGACTGTTTGGGTCAATGCTGACCTGGATTGTTTGTTCGCCCTCGCTTTCTATCGTGAGTATTTTTCTATTTTCTATTTCTATTTTATATACTGATATGAAAGGATCACATTTGAAATGGATTACAAAAAAATTATACTGGTAAAGATTTGGAATATATCGTTTTTACGTTCTAAAAACTTTTTAAAACATTGTACAAAAAATCAATTGACCCTTACATTTAAACCGACGAGAAAAAAGGTACTCAACAAAATGTACCATTTCTTTTTGTTAAGACTTCATATCTGTGCAATATCTTTGTATATGTGTTATTATATAGGTGCAGTTTAAAAGAATCATGAAAACTGTTTCAATTTTTTGAAACTCTGGAATTTTGTTCTAGGATACCAAATCTCTCTTAATATATAAACTGAAAAAAATTTAACCGCACATTTTTTGCCCACATAGTTTGAAATATGCTCTTTCAGACCCCTATAAGAAGATAGTGAAATCAGATATTGCACCTTAGAATATGCATTTTTTTTTTTTAAATTACCGATCAATCTATTGCAAATTTGTGTGATGCTTATTATAAATACAACCTTTTTGTTAAAAAATTTCAGTAAATTATATTGATACCGGTATATTTAAGTAAAATGTGATGAAAATATAGAATTGGTTCAAATTAAGTTTAACAAGTTGTCTTTTATCGTCTTTTTTTAAAAAAGTTTATTTGTTCGTAACGCAGTCAATATCATATTTTTGAAGCAATGCAAAGGAAATAAAATTTTCCTTTGATTGACTTTTAAAATATCCTCCTGTTGCTTTAACTGCCATAATTGTTTTCAGCTAGATCGTCACATAGAGGAAACATTCATTATTTAATGCAATAGGAAATTTGAAATACGAAAGCCCTAGCATCAACTATTCAAAAGTTATGGGCAAGATTAAAGTTTCTGTGGACATACACACAGATAGACGGACAGACAGACCAAAACTATATGCCCCCGAATCTTCGATTATGGGGGCATAAAAATATATTCCCAACATGCCATATATAACCATAATTAAATTTTTTGAACAATAATTTGTAAAATTGCAATTGTTGTAAATGCTAGTACTTAATTTCAAATCTGCAATCAATAGAGATGTATACTGCATGTATGAAAACAGGATATCATTAGGATTTGAATCAACTATCGAGAAAGATGTACTGTCTTTGAGACTAAATTATGCAATATTTCTTGCTCCTACATTTACACAATAGATAAAATTCAGAGGCACTGGTACGTTTTACCACTGCAAGCAGCAGTGAAACGTAACAGTGCACAATTTACCAGTTTGCAGAAGAGAGTGTTTTTTTTTTATTTCTTTTTATTATACAACAACTCAGATAACCAAAATAAATCAGTTCTGCTAGAGAATACAATAAAGAGATTCTGGGGAAAGAATTCTGTGTCACTTCCTCTTCACTTTGACGATTGACCTATTAGGGTACGTGTCGCCGTAAAATTAAATTACGTCCTTTTTCTTTAATGAATCCCAATTTGGAATAAAATGGGACCATTCTTTCGTGACATTCAACCGAAACCTTGTAGCAGCCAAGCTTCTTGCTAAGTAACGTTAAAACATCAAACAATCTGGCAGAAAAAAAGGTAGCAAAATAATTTATTAAATTCAGAGGTTCATTTTCATACAGACATATAAATATACTGCATATAGAGGGAATTGGTTGTCTGTAATTAAGACCATTGAAATGTCTCGTTCTCAATTTAAAACAGATGCAGTGTACCCTTTTCCCAAGTGAATGGATTAATTTTCCCAACAGTCATTAACCCCCCCCCCCCCGGACTCAAATAAAAGAACATACATGTATATTTGGATATGGATATATACTAAATAAATTGCTACTTATGTTTCTGTATGTTGAAAACAGAAAAACACCAGACATCCAAAATATAATGAGTTTTAATGTTTAATGATTTTCCTATATTTCCGAAAAGGTGGTTCATTTTCCCAATTTTCACGGCCCTAGCCAAGTACGAAAAATGGTATAAGAGCCCTGAATTATACACTTAAAAAAACTAATAAATATTCAAATTAGCATCTTCGTTAGTAAAAATGCTTCAAAACGCTTTGGCTATGGTAAAATTACCCTAGACAAAATTGCTAATGCACCACCAAAGCAAGTTTCTTATGATGTATTTAATGTATAAAAATGTTACATAATTTACAAGTAAGACATTTAAATGTTTAAACCGATAAATAAAACCAGGGCTGTTAGAAAAATTCGCAGACAAATTGTACTGTAAGCGCGCTGTTCAGCTATATCATTAATATGCCCTACAGAGCAAGTCATGTTTTTGCATATTTTTTTTTTTTCATTATATAAACAATTTTGTGAAATTAAAATTTTTACTTTTCTAGCGCAAAAATATTTACTATATTTTTCCTGCCTCTACAATATTTTTGAAACATTATTTGTTGAAATTTGAATTGGTGACGAAATGACTGTTAAATCGCTAATTATAGATGCTCAATGCGTAAACCCAAAGCCAAGAATCGTAACGTCATAGAACGTCTTGGAGCACCGAGCTGTTTAAAAATAATGTGTGCGGACAGAAAAAATGCCCAGAAGAGATGAAATGGTATGATATGCTGCTGGTGATTGCCTACACGTATCTGGAACCAAATTGTTTAAATGGTAGCAGCTTTTCAAGGATAGAATGATTAAATTGCCATTTTTGAGGCTCAACTCCTGTAATAACCCGCTTATCACCTGGGCATTGCTTCTATGGAATTTGCATTGTTTCCATATCTAAACGTTAAACTGCCTAGACAATGATTTTAGGATCTAATTGATATTCGATAAGCCACAAAAGACATTTTAGGAAAAAAAAAGTAACGTCTTGCTATAGTTATACATTTTTAAAAGAGAAAAGACAAAACAAATCTGTAGAATTGAAAGATATTAAAAAATTTAATTTAATCAAACATAAGTCTTTTTGTTTCAAAATACACAATAGTTTTTCTGTAAATCACAGTGCCCGCAAACTTTTCACAACCCTCGTACAATCAAACAACCATTTCATAGAAAAACATGAAAATCGTGCTGACTTTTCTGGGGAGCAAATTTCCATTTTCTTCTTTGTATTTGTGTTCTTTATGTTTGTACTAATAAAAACCTCAGAAAAGAGATGACACCCATACGCGGTGTTTGACCCTAGAAGAGCTTGCTAAAGTCTGTACGGTTGGAGATATTTTAAAAACTCAATCAGTTTAAAGATTTTTCTTTCTTCTTGTGAAAAATTGCTTTAAATAGGTTAACAATCATTAAAATGTTTTCTATAGAGAACAATAACATGCAGTAGTCACCATGCATACCACGACTGCAAGATTATTCCACAAAATTGGGGCAACCGGAAGTGTGTTGGACGGGGTTTGGATACCATTTCCGTTGGTGACTACTAGATGATATACGAGGGTTGTTCGGAATGTTCGTGGACTATGCCAATCTTCGTTATAATATCTTCAGAAATTTAAAATGAGCACATTATCATATGTAAAAATAATTATTTTGTTGAATTGTGAAGTTTCATTCCATGTGATTTAATAGAATTCATGTTATTTAATTTTAAAATCAACTCGTTTTGTAACTACAGAGCAAACTCAACAACACGGTAACGTCACTATACATTTCACACAGTATTGCCCAATACCAGTGCACTCATAAAAACGTTTTTCTATCACTTGAAATCTTTTTTGCTAACAATTGTTCCAGTACCATCATTTTGTTTGTCAATGTTATATTTTTTTCACTGCATAAGTGTGCTTTCATTAGATCATCATCTGTGAAGCGCCAAACTGTTAGCAATACGTTACTAACTTTTCAATGTTTTTGATAAGATTTTTACAGATAATCCGTTTTCTCATACATCACCATCGTCTAAGCAGAGTAGTCTATCATTCAAATACCGCTTGTACCATGTACACACACATGCATGACTCGCTTTTGACATATTTCTACTTCCTCCGGCATTTCAGAGTGGTTTTTTTGTTTTGTTTTGTTTTTTTTTTTTTAGTTTTCCAGAGTAAAACACAAAATTGTATGGTTAACTGTTGGTCCGTGACGTTCTACGACGTCATCTTTTTTGCCTTTTTCAATGAGGACTACCTATCCTCTGAAACTGATTTCTTTTCAACGAAGCAAAATATTAAGTCATAATTTGGCAGAAACGACAAAACAATTTTAATTTGAAGGTGTAGAATTTTTCCGTTTTTGTGTCATTTTACAGAAGATATGACTTCAGACATTATTTAGTGTCATCATTGTAAATTACAAAATTTCGACCTGCTCCGTAATCCGATTTTCGCATTTTTTAAGTCTAAATAAGTTTGAAATAAACCACGATATTTTAAAAGCTTTTATTACACATCATTTGAATTTACTGTTGAAATATTTTCTTCAAATTTGGATATAATATGACGTTAACTAAAATAGTTCTGACGGTAGTCCACGAACTTTCAGAAGGACCCTCGTAATAAACGCATCGATCTATATCATTTGATTTTTGAAAGGGAGACCGCTTCTTTGCAACATCACTGACCACCATTGGTAACCACTAACTTCATAACAGCTCAAAAATGGTGCTCAGTGAACTTTCGGAAATTGGTATTTGGACAATAAGGTCATTTGAGGGTCTTGTCATGACACCAAGACATTTGACAAGTCGACTGCCTTAGGCAAGACATATTAGATATACTAGATCTAATTAGGCAAATGATCTGTAAAGAAATGAGAACAGAGTTGTTTGTGCGCAAGCAATTTTGTCTAGTGTATATTAACTGGATATCAGGACTAGGGTTATAGCAAAGAAATTCATCTGTTATAGATAACCTGCTATAACCATGATAACCATGTTTTACAGTTAAAGCACTATAAATGCTGGTCCAGCTGTATCGTGATTTCCTATCGTAACCCAAGTTATTTTCACTTACAGCTTGTCCAACTGTTTTCCTTGGTATGAACTATGCACAACCACATCTTCTATTCTGCTTTTCTGCAATGGAGAAATGAAGTGTTAGTGGAGTTTTGTTATTAGTTTCATAAAAATAGTATTTTTGATATAATCAAATGAATCAATGATTCATGTTCAGCGTAGTGGTATGGCGTTTGCTTCGTGATCGGGAGGTCCCGGATTCGACTCCCTTTTGCGGCGGCCGCTTCAAACCTAAGACATAGGTCAAAAATTGTCGCATTTAACCTAGAAGCAGGTGAAAAAAATTTCGAATGAGACGTTTATAATATTCAATCAATCACTCATATTCAGTATCTACATTTTTATAATTCTCCAATAAATCAAAAGTTTTACAGAGTAAATATATGTATTGTGATTTCTAATATTACTCAATACTTCTACATATATCGCCAATCCAAAACTGGTCTCGGTAGTCCAGTTTTAGGGCGTTCGATTCGTGATCAGTAAGTTCGGGTTTAATTCTCGTTTTCGGGGTCACGTCAAACCTAAGACTTAAACATAGGTATTGACTGTTCTTTCACCAAGCACCCGGCAGTAGGAGTGAATGTCAAGGGTCTTTTGGATAGACCTTAAAAACCGAGGATCCATGTCATGATATACGTTGAAGGGAAGAAGATCGCTCACTGCTACGGTCAATAAACGCCATGTCCAGGGCAAGTTTAGGCATTGCACCTGAAGCACTCTCTACGTGAGTGAAAAATTCTCGAATGGGACGTTAAACAACATACAATCATCCAACCCCCTGCAAATCATGACAAGTGCAAAATTTTGAACCATATGAATCAGCTTATGCTCTAAGACCCTTCAGTCGAAGAAATATTTGACTTTTTTACTTTGAAATAACAGAAGATTTTTTAAAAAGGGATACCGGAGGTATTTATATTACATACAATACCACACTGTAGAACAAACTTCAATTGTTTTATTAGAGTGGCGGATCCAACGACTTGGTGGGTGACTGTGTCCTCTATCACTACAGTGTAGTACAGGTTTGACTGGGACTTCATTAAATTGAATCGCTCTGAAATTATACTTTATTCAGTCATCATTCCTTACAAATATGAGATTAATTTAAAAATCTGATCTTTTGTCAATTTTTTTTTATAGAATGACACGTTAAGTCCTAGTTCTCTTTATTCAGTAGCACTGACACTTAATTTGTGGGGAAAATTCACAAATGTTTCACTACACCAAATAATATTCTAGGCTTTGTATTCTTTTGTGTTATTCTTTATAAACACCGTAAGGACAATATTTCAATAATTTTATGATGTGTTGATTACCTTCAAACTGTTCCTTGGAAATGTCACCAACTTCTGTAAGTTGCTTGAGGAGTGAAAGGTAACCTAAACAAATCAAACAGTGATAAGTAAGTTTTCATCAATTCAAAAATAGGAAGAGAGAAAGAAAGATAATGAATGTGTATTATCTCACTGACTAAATAATCTTAAGGTTAAACCATGATTTATTATTTGACTTGACTTGAAATCATTTTTTAATGCAAATTTTCATTAATTTTAAAGCACATTTTGTTTCAGAAAACATAGAGCACAAACTTGATTATCTACCAAATTTATATATTTCAAACATTATTATCAGATGCATCTTATGTATAAAAATCTCAGATAGGCAAGCTTGTGCTCCATGTTTCCTAAAGTGAAAAGTATCTCGAATTTGATGAAATTCCACCAGAATCGAGAAAATTCATAAAAATGTTCTACTTCTGCACCCTCTTGTGACCTCCCTGTAAGCTTGGAATCAAAATAAATGCTGGTTTTAAAACAAGCATCATTTTAAGTTCTTAATTGCAAACTATCACAATTTTAACTGTGTTTTGACTTTTACTACATCAAATAAGGGTCCAGATTCGGCCATTACCGTACCTTGTCTTTTGCACTGGTAAGAGGTACATTAACCATAGAAAGAATAATCTGTGTCTCGGGACAAAACCTCACTACAATTAAACAGGGTCCATAGGATAACCTAAATTCTCCGATAAAACGTACGTTCTACCATCAATAACCACAAAGCTACCCAGACATCCAAAAATCCAGAAATCCAATGCATATAGTTCAGACACTGTACCTCTACTTTGTTTTGCAATCGTGGAAATTGAATATACAGAGCAATTATCCTGTTTATAGCAACAATCTACCACAAATTCTCCTTTCACGCAAAACTCCAAAAAGCTAGATACATGCACATGCGAAAAAAATTGGTTTACTGTAACTTGAATGTATCTGACCTTTATCATAGTCTGAGATACACAGGGGCCTTATTCTAAACCCCTCCCCAAGGTCTGTCAGATTGATGTTTGGATTGTAGCTGGCACTTTTCTGATCCTCAGATTCCAGATCATGTAGGATTTGTGGATCAAATAAATAACACTCCCCATAACCATTCTGAAATGTTGAAATGAAACAAACTTGATATCACTGAGATGGTAACTATATCAAAGGGTCTCGTTTTTTACCAAAGACATAAGGATGAAAGACTCACGTGTAAGGGACTGTTTTTGACGTTTGAAGTTGAGCTTACACTTTTACTTATGGGCACTCTTTGAGTAAGGTATATACCAGAGGCGCCAAGAGATGAGAAAATATGCTTGAGTTAAATATTTTTCACAGAGATTTGCTATAACTTTGACCGAAGTCCTATAAAATTAGTTCAAGGTCACTCACACTCTTAACCAGTGAACACCTTATGGGTTAAGTAGGAGTCAGATGAGACCAAGGGGAGAGAAGATATACATTGGGAAAAGAATTTTATGCCATGATCTTGACCTTTAATCTAGAAAAATAGCTGTTGGTCACTGCAGACCCTTATTGTATCAACAACCTCCCTAGGGGTGAGGTGTCAGCTGAATTTGAAACAAGGCAGAAGAAATTATGCTCAGGCCAAGTACTTTACAAAGAGATCTTTTTACCTTGATCTTTGATCAAGATATTTACTCAAGGTCAATGCACATCCTCTACCAACAAAAATGGGTAAATTACTGTACGTGTACATAAATTGACGTATTCAAAATTTAGCGGAATCGCTGGGTATGGAGTTGTTGGCGAAATCATGAATTAGCGCTATACATGTCCATGCAGTATATTGTATTTATAATTGATTTCTTAGCGGTATTAATGAATAAGCGCATCGTTGTCCGCGCCAAAGCCGCTAAAACATGAAGCCCACTTTTTAAGTACACATACAGTATGAGCCAGAAAATATGCTTATGACAAATATTTCACACAGAGATCAATCCGTTTTGACCTTTATTCAAGGTTGTGTACAACCTTATCAGATGAACACTCTCTGGGTTAAGTTTGAGCAAAATGGGGCCAAGAGAGAGAGAGAGAGAGAGAGAGAAATACCCTGCAGACAAGGATGTAACAGAGTTTTTCTTTTACATTGACCTTTGAGCAAAGAAATTGGTGTAAGATCATTGCACAGCATCTACCCACAAGCACTATTAGAGTGAGGGATTCAGCAGATTGTCCAAGGGGAACATATGCTCATAATAAGGCTTTCATCTAGATATCTGCTATCACATTGACCGCTGACCTAGATAATTTCAATTTGTTTAAGGTCACTGCTGATCCTTAACACACAAACACTCTATGGGTGAAATATGAGCTAAGTAAGACTTAGGGAATAAGAAATATGCTCTACCCAAGGACACACAGAAATCTGATATGACCGTGACTTTTGATCCAGAAACTGGGTACATGTAAAAGGAAAGGTCACTGCTCTTTCTTTACTTTACCCACAGAAAGGACAAAGTGGAAACAAAATATGCTCCAGACAAGGCTTTTATCAGAGATATCATGCTATGATCGTGAAATATGACCCAGATTGGGCCAATAGGTTTCGAACCTCTCAGGTCCCCCAGTGGACAAAGAGGAAGTAATACAGAACAGATGAGCGGACGGACAGAAGGATTGATTCCTTTTGGGCACTTGAAGTGTAGGGGTGCGGTGAGTTTGAACCAGTTTTCTAAGGTAAAAAAAACCTTTATATGGAAAATCTTTGCCTGGAGTATATTTTATCTAATATTGATCCTTCCTAACTCGAACATCACCAAATAGAGTGCATCTGGATAGAGAATGTTGAGTGATATTGAGCAAATGTTTTAAATCAGTGAGTCATATCAAAGATTTTGTGTAAACTCCTCGTCGGGATCATATTTTCTCTCCCTTAGACTCAGTTTAGTTTAAATCTCACCCATAGAGTGCCTATTGGTGTGCAGTGACCTCGAACCAATTTTCAAATAAAATATATGGTAAAAAAATTAAGTTAAAACAAAAACTTTGAGAAAAAAATCTTTGACTGGGGCATATTTTCTCTCCCTTTGACCCTTCCTGGCTCAAACTTCATCCATGAAGTGCTTGGGCGAGAGGGTGTGGGAGCTTGAGTCAAGCTTCTAGATCATTGGACAAACTTCTATCTAATATTCTATAAAGTTCTCGTTTGCCGCATACTTAAAAACCGCTTTCATTTTTATGTCCTTTGCCGTTTGAGACGGTCACCATCTCAACGATGTATACTAGTATAAGTATTATACGGTTGATATTACACATATGTTCTAGCGTGTAATTGAGTAATTGTTTTACAATTGTATACGTTTATTTATCAATCAAAGGCCTTCCTCAGTGTTTCAAACGTATCGCTAGTTTTGTAATTCTTTGATAAAAAATATCTACAATAGGTTATCTTTTTTTAAAAGCACTCATTTTGAACATTAGCAATGGACCGGAAGTATACAAAGAAAAGGGAGAGTTAATCATGAAAACTGCATATCAAATAAGAAAGTAATAAGTATTGCAGTTGACAAAACTGATATCGAACTATAAATACTTTATTTTTTAAATATCAAAGAAAATATTTTACGAGAAAATTCTCAATAATTTCTGGGAACACTATATAATAATAAAAATAAACTTATTACACATTTTTTTTCTATAAAGGCCCGTATAAAAAACGATTTCCTTGGGGGAAGGGGATACGACCTATAGGAATTTTTAACAAGTGCAAAAAAACACTCATCAGACTTACATTTGAGTGATTACAACCGTCAGCTTTCTTCATTGTGTGTTGTTTTCTGTTGTATAGTATGTACTGGCAAAATTGTTCCATTATGAGGGGTAGCAGCTGTAAGTTATTTTTGGTTTGAATTGAAAAGTATACATGCTGACAAAATTATTGAGAAAGAGGCATATGTCCCTCCTTTCTCTTTCTATGGGCCTGAAATAAATAAGAGAATAAACTGGAAAATTCTAGGAGACACACACCGGCCCGAACACACGGTTCCTGTTCTAAATAAAACAAAGCTGTTAAAATTAATTAAATTAAGAATAAATTAAATCATACCGTAGACATCGTTAATACCCAGCTAACACGTCAGACACAGATTGTATCGATTGTTGAGGCACTAATATCTATTCAGTTAGCTACCGAGATGTACATGTATTAAGTTTCGAGTCTGTTCATTCCAATTTATGTAGGCAAATTAATTACCTGCCAGTCCTCTCCACACAAACCTCATACGCATCGGAAGCAATTGAAAGTTGAGGGGGGGGGGGAGCTAATAAACCAACAAAAAACGTATTTGGGGCTTCTTAAAAACAGGTAGCACTATTTTTTTCAGAAGGATTTGGGGTCGATTTATTTTTTGATTACACGTTCAAAGAAATTGATAGGTTTTTTTTAGGTCACTGGCATCTTTGATGTAACATTGTATCATCCAAAATAGTCTAATAATAACTGAAAACCCATTTTCATCATTTTTAATAGAATTGATTTTTAAACGATTCTAATTAGATTTTAATCTTCGAATATTTATTGTGTGATTAACAAGAGGCCCAAGGGCCTTAACGGTCGCCTGAGTATAATACAACAATTTAGAGAATCCATAGAGTATAAAATGAACTGAAAGGTGAACCTTTGTTGCCCAAAAGCAAGAAAAATAGGGTGCTCAGGATCAACAATATAATTAGTCTAGTTTTCATTAACAGTTCTAACCTGTCCCCCATTTATCACTCTCATCATTCAGTATATTAACAAACTATCAGTGCTTCTGCACTATCTTAATTCCTTGTTGAAATCTCTAGCATTGGCCTCTCTTGGTTTTTGATGATCATTTAATAAGACAAGTTATTTTTGTCTCATTTTTATTTATCTATTACTTACAAGTCTACCTGATCATTTAAACTATGAAAGTACTTTTTGTATTACACAATAAAAATTCTTGCATAATTCTCCTATTCTCTTAACCTTTCAAGTACATTATTTACAGTGATTAATTATCAAAAGTAAATAGCAAAGGGGAATAACTCCTCACAGTAGAGTACAGATTAATAGAGCCCTGGCCAGGACCAGAACACTTGACCAAATGGTCCAGATGTTCAAAAATCTGCTTAAAATACCCTTTCTTATTAAAACTTTTACTCTTATTGCCTCTGATATGCCCAGGTGCAGAGAAGATTTTTAAAGAAATAATGCATTTTTACTACAGATTCAATATATTCACTAAATTATCAATAGAGCCCCCCCCCCTCCCCACCGAGAAACACCAGAGCCTCTCACCCTGGGACCAGAAGTTTGCTCATCATAAGTAATCACTTTGTTTATCTGCTTAACACTAAGGAGCAGACAGGATTATTTAATAGAATTAATGCATTTTCACTATATTATCAAGAGCCCCACACTTACACCAGCACATCTGACCCAGGGTCATGAAATTCACTACTCTGGAAGAAGCACTCTTGCTCATCATAACTATACACTTAGCTTCTTTGCTTTTTAACCAGAATATTTTCAAAGAAATTTTGCTTTTTCACTATATAATCAATAGAGCCCCCCTTTTCACCAGAACCCTTGAGCCTGGGGCCATGAAATTCACAATTTTGGAAGAGGCACTCTTGCGTATCATAACAATGAACTTAGTTTGTTTCAACAATACCCAGGAGTAGAGAAGAAGGTTTTCAAAGAAATAATGCACTTTCACTATATGATCTATAAAGCCCCGCCTTAGCACCAGAATCCCTTACCCTGGAGCCATGAATTTCACAATTTTGGTAGAGTCACCCTTGCTAATCATAACTATGTATTTAATTTGTTAAAATAATACCCAGGGCTAGAGAAGAAGATTTTCATAGAAATGTTGCTTTTTTACTATATAATCAATAGAGCCCCCCCCCCCCCACACACACACCTTTTCACCAGAACCCTTGACCCTGGGGCCATGAAAATCACAATTTTGGAAGAGGCATCCTTGCGTATAATAACTATGTTTTTAATTTGTTTAAATAATACCCAGGGGCAGAGAAGAAGATTTTCAAAGAAATAATGCACTTTCACTATATGATCTATATAGCCCTGCCCTAGCACCGGAACCCCTTACCCTGGGGCCATGAATTTCACAATTTTGGTAGAATCACCCTAAGTATAATATAAAAAAAACAACAAGTAATTAAATGTAGTTTCTTCGGTTAAAATAACAGTATGGAATGGCAACCGATACAGGTGTGTATTAAAAACGCTTTTAAATAAACTTCCTTGTCGCTTGATCCGTCACAGAGATTCTTTAGGGAAATACATGCATTGAATCATTTAGGCCAACTTAATTTAAAATAATGTTTGCTTGAAAAAATTGGGTCGGTAGGTAGGTGAGAATTTTTTAAAGAGAATTTCAAAATCAATGCTGAATTTACATTTTTCCCCCCGGAGTGCATAAAAAAATTGCTTTCTGGAAGTTAAAAAAAGTTTTGAGTCGAGTCATTTTTAGCCAGTCGGTCGGGAGAGGGCAACCAAACAATTTTTTAACGATGGCCTTTGTTTCCTAAAGATGGGAATATACAGGGTGTTTCAACAAACATGTCCCGACTTTTGATGTCTATATTTTTGCACAATAATAAATATTTACAAAATTATAACTATATTTTATAGCACATTTTACGGCAATATAATTGTGATATAAACAATATAAAATAACTTCATCATATTTTTTCCATTGAAGTTTTGATTACATCTTCAAAAATCAGGTTGTCAGGTTTTTTTTCCCTCCAAAAATGGATCTATGGATGTTTTGAACTAATCAACACAAAAGGAAATCTCCAAATCACTAATACTAGTGCATAAGATTTTGAAAAAAGAAGTACTCATATGAAAACCATCTTTCTAGGAAACAGACTTTTAAATGATGTCAAAATATATGCCATACAGGACTTCAGAGACAAAATGAGGATGCTGACTTAAAAACGTTGTGGCTTTTTTGAACACATAAAAATGACGTTAAATTGAAAACTGCTGCTGAAGTTCAAACTTTAAAAATGCCTTTCTTAAAAAATAATTGATTCAGCATCACTCCAACTTTCATATTGATAAAATTATTTGGTTATGTGGTTTTCATTTTTGCAAAAAATTTCTTACATTAATACTGTCTAACTTTATATTGAATCTGCAAAGTCGGGACAAGTTTGCTGAAACACCCTGTATATGTCTGTTTATAATTCCGTCTGACTGCAATTCTGCCGGAAACTATATGTTGAAATTGTAAATTGTGCAACTTATTTTCAGGATAACTCATAATTCTTTGTGACTGAAAGAAGATCCCTATTGATTTTTAGGTTAAACCTGAAGATATGGACAATAAACAAGTTTAAAAGTCCATTGGAATAATACAAATTAGGAGGAGAGCAAACACCGACCACTAGAAACCCCAGAGATGGGATCAGGTGCCATGGAGTAAGCATCCCCTGTTGACCGGTCTCTTTGTCAAGATCGGGTAAGCGGGAAAATCAGTAGCAAATTCAGCCTGAAAATAATGGTGGAACAATTTTTATGAAAAACGTCAGCAACATTCCACTTTATGATAGATTGTACTTGCTAACAGGGTCATTGAATCGACCAAAGAATTTGAGAAATGTTGCCTTTAATCCAGACTGCTGACATCCTTTTATCATCAACTTATTTATCAAATGCTGGCCTTTTAAGAATAGAGAATCAACGTAGGGATGAAAATGTATATAGTTAATTGATAGGACGTCGTCAATATATATATATGTCAAATAGAAGGCCACAGCAAGAGACTTCTCATTTTTTAAGTAGAAGTATTTTGATAAATTCTGCTTCATATGAATACAAAAATAGGTCTGCTAATAACGGGGCACAATACAACATATAATAATACTGAACCTCACAAACAAAGACAACGTTGTTACCTGTTTTGGCAGTACATATTGATTATGTAATCTATCTAATTCTATTGATCGTGTAATATATATAATTCTATGCCGAAACAATAGATGATTTGGCTAAAATTAAGTTCAACTATTAAGTCTATCGAGTCTTTGATTGTCTTTTTAAAAAAGATAACTAGTTCGAAAAACTATTAATATCATATTTTGTAGCAATGTTATGAAAGTAAATTTCTCCTTTGATTGGCTTTTAAAATTTCATCCCCTTCCTTTAGCTGCTACAATTTTTAAGCTGGAACGTCTCATGGATGGACCATTCATTATCTAATACAATAAGAAATGCAAATATGTGATATCACTCCTTCGAGTCGGTTATACCAAAATTCAAAAAGAATAGGTGGGTATCACCTTTTCAAACGGGTGGTATCACTCATTTTTTTCTTGTAGGTAAAATCAACTATTCGAACACAAATTAGGAGCAGAGTATAGACAAGGCCTGTAAAACAGGTGGGATCAGGTGCCATGGAGATATAAGCATCCTCTACCAATCGGTCACACCTGCTGTGCACTTCTTGTCATGATCGGGTAAAACGAAAAATCCGTAAACAATTCGGTGTGAAAATAATGGTCTAACAATTTGCATGAAAAAAGTCAGTCAACATTCAACTTAACGATGATACATTGTATTTGCTAACGAGGTCATTGCATCGACCATATAATTTGCGAAATGTTGACTTTAAACCAGACTGTTGATATCCTTGCATTATCAATTTATTTGTCAATACCTAGCCTCGTTTCAAAAACTGTTTGTACATAGAACATGCTCTAGAGTATCGAATTAACTGGGAGACATAAACTCCATATGCAGGTGGTAATGGTATATTGCTACATAAATACGGAAAGTTGATGATGAAAAGTGGAAGTCATCACATTTATCATAAAGTTAAGTATTACGTTTGTCATTAATGTCTTTCTTTAGTTATATATCCAAATATGAAAGAGATGTGTCAAAATCTGCGGAGTCTTTTATTTCAAGTTTTAAAGGATATATCGAATCAATCTAGGAATAAAAATGAATATTGTTTATTGATAAGACGTCGTCGATATATATTAATGTCGAATTGAAGATCAAAACAAGAGACTTCTCCTTTTTATGTAGAAGTTATTAATAAATTCTGATTCATATGAATACAAAAAAATAGGTATTGGCACAATATAACGCCCATGGGAACTGATCTCCGAAAACTACATAGATACTGTCAATCAAAATCTCAAGCATCTTTCTAATATCAGCTTCATAGTATTTGTGTTTTGAATCAGAATGCTTTTAAGAAAATAATTTTGCAAATGACCAATGATAAGGTATGTTAGTTTAAGAGTTCCATATTTATTGAAAAAGCAGTTGTCTATGATGTCAAAAAGCATGATCTTTAATATATCGTTGGAAATTGTTGTATAAAGTGTTGAAAACTCGTAAGTTTTGATTTTGACTCTATTGATCTTGGTAAAATTGTGTAATTTCAAATTTTCTAAAAGATCCTTGAAGTTTTTAAGTATCTTCGAGAATATCAATCCGAATAACACCACTTCTGGAATATGTTGTTATACATTACTCCTGAAGTTTCTTCTACACTGTTGTTAATAATTTGGTGAGGAGTAAAGAAAGAGGCGCTTGGTAGAACATTTATAAGAACCCGCTATGTATCTTTGTGGGGATTTTTAATTTAGTTTAGGAATACAGTAAGGTATAGAGATTCAATTTCAATTTGATTGTTGGGAATATTAGAAAAATTTAAAACTGACATATGATTTTGAAGAATTTCTTCCTTTGAAAGGGAACTATGAGTACATGTTGTTTTGCAGAATTAAATCCAATTTCCTCTAAAAAGCAAGTATAATAATAAGTCTTACAAACAAAGACAATGTTGTTACCTGCTTTGTCAGCTTGGATCAGTACATATGAATCGTGTATCCTGTCTAATTCATTTTTCACTATTGAATTATTAAAGATAGAAGGATAAATGGTTTTCATATTGCCCCTCAACTATTTTAATGCGAGATTTCAACATAAAACTGATACTTTAAATACATCTGAAAGAGTGTCAAGGTTTACATGTATAAAAACCCTAGCTCCAACCGTTCAAACGTTATGGCCAAGGTTAAGGTTTGGTAAATTTTTGAAAAGTGGGTCGAACTCTAAGATCAAGATGTCAAATATGTACCCAAAGAAAGGTCGTGACACCAGGAATGGACATGTGAAATATGAAAGCTCTAGCATCAACTATTCGAAAGTTATGGGCAAGATTAAAGTTTTTGCGGATAGACAGATAGACCAAAAACTATTATGCTCCCGAATCTTCCATTACGGGGGCATAAAAATATAACCCCAACATGCCATAAATAACTATATCATTAAATTTTTTTTGAACTGTACACAATGTTGTGTGAGATTGCAATTGTTGTAAGTGCTAGTATCTTATTTCAAATCTGCAACCTACATAGATGTATGATGTATATATATTGAAAACAGGATATCAAAAGGATTTAAATCAGCAATGAAGGAAAGATATGTCAACTGTCTTTAAAACTGAATTATGCAATATTTCTTGCTCCTACGTTCACCAAATACATGAAATTCAGAGGCACTGGTACGTTTTACCACCGCAAGCAGTAGTAAAACATAACACTTAACCATTTTTTCAGTTTGCAGAAATTAGTGTTTTTGAACTTTTTTTATTATGCAACAATTCATAGAATCAAAATAAATCAGTTCTGCTAGAGAATACAAAAAAAGATTCTGGAAAAAATTCTGTGTCACTTCCTCTTCACTTTGACGATTGACCTATTTGGGTACGTGTCGCCGTAGAATTAAGTTACGTCCTTCTGCCTTAATGTATCCGAATTTGGAATAAAATGGGATCATTCTTTTTTGACACTCAACGGAAACCTTAAAGCAGCCAAGCTTCTTGCTTAGTAACGTTAAAACATCAACAAACCTGGCAGAAAAATAAGTAGCAAAATAAGCAGTTAAATTCATAGGTTCAGGTTTTATAAAGACTATAAATATATTGCACATACAGGGTTTCAGGCCTTTGAAATGCCTCGGTCTCAATTTTTAAAAGATACCTTTTTCCCAACTGAATGGATTAATTTTCTCAAAAGTCATAACACTTCCCCCACCCCACCCCCACCTTACCCCGACACAAATAAAAAAAAACATACATGTCTATTTGGATACCGGGTATATACTAACTAAAATTGCTACTTATGTGGCTGCATATTTAAAGAGAAAATTAGCCTATAACAATCACCAGATATCAAAAATAGAATGAATTGTAAATTTTAATGATTTTCCTACATTTCCGAAAAGGTGGCTTATTTAAGTTATTTTTCCCAATTTTCACGGCCTAGCCAAGTACCAAAAATAGTATAAGAGCCCTGAATTATACACTTACAAACTAATGAATAGTCAAATTAGCATCTTCAATAGAAACGCAGCACCAAAGAAATTTAATATTTAACTTTTCAAAAGTTGCTTATGATGTATTTGACCTATAAAAATGTTACTGAAGTTAAAATAAGTTTAAACTGATAAATGTAATAAAATATTACCATGAAATATATGGAGATAACGAACAGTATTCAAGCTCAAAAGTCCATTAAACATTACAAAATAGGGGCAGAGCAAACACGGACCTCCAAAACATCAGAGGTGGGATCAGGTACAATGGAGGAGTGAGCATCCGCTGCCGACCGGTCACACCCGCCGTGTGCTCCTTGTCATGATCGGGAAATAACGGAAAAATCTGTCGACAATTCAGTGTGTAAATAATGGCCTAACAATTAGTATGAAAAACGTCAGTCAGCATTTGACTCAATGATAAATTGTATTTGCTGACAAGGTCATTGTATCTACCATAAAACTTACGGAATGATGACTTTAAACGAGACTGCTGATATTCTTGTTTCATCAACTTGATTGTCAATAATTTACCTCGTTTTAGAAATTGTACATACGTAGAGCATGCTCTTGCGTATCGAATCAACTGAGAGATATAAACCTCGTATGCAGGTGATGAAGGTATATTGCTGCATAAGTAAGGGAAGTTGACGATGGAAAAGTTAAAGTCACGTTTATCATAAAGTTTGGTTGTTAGATTACCATTAACGTCTTTTCCAAGTAAAATATCCAAAAATGAAACATATGTGTCAGACTTTAAGGTATCTTTTATCTCAAGCTCACCGGGATATATCGTATCGACATAAGAATGGAAATAACCATTGTTAATTGACAATACGTCGTCGATATATCCAAATTTCGAGTTGAAGGCCACAGCAATTGTTTTCTTCTTATCACGTATAAGATTTTGGACAAATTCTGCTTCATATGAATACAAAAAAATGTCTGCTAATAACGGGGCGCAATTGGCAATAGATTGTTGGAAGATCTGGTCTCCAAAAACCACATAGATATTGTCAATCAGAAACTCAAGCATCTTTTTAATGTCAACTTCAGAGTACTTGTGTGTACAATCAGAATGTTTTTTACCATTTCATAGAAAAACATGAAAATCGTGCTCGCTCTTTTTTGAGGAATAATTTTTTTTCTTTGTGTTTGTACTAATTTAAAAAACTCAGAAAAGAAATAACGCCATACATGATTATTGACCCTAGAGGGATGTGCTTAAGTTGTCAGTACGGTTGGAGATATTTTATAAACTAAACCAATTTAAGGATTTTTCTTTCTTCTTGTGAAAAATTGTTTCAAATAAATTAACAATCATTAAATGTTTCTATTGATGGTAATAACATTAAGTAGTGACCATGCATACGACAATTCCAATGCAAGATTGTTCCACAAAATTGGGACAACTGGACGTGTGTTGGACGGGTTATGGATACCAAATCGCTTGGTGACTTCTAGGTGATATAATTGACAAATCACGCTATGTCATTTGATTTTTAAAGGGGAGACCGCTTCTGTTGCAACCTCACTGATCTCCAACTTCATTATCAGCGCAAAAATGGAACTTTGGGAAATTGATTTTTGGACAAGAAAGTCATTTGATGGTCTTTTCAGGACACCAAAACATTTGACAACTCGACTCCGTTGGGCAAGCCATATTAGATATACTAGATCTAATTAGACAAATGTTCAATAAACAAATGAGAATTGAGTTTCATGCGCAAGCAATTTTTTCTATTGTCACTATATTAACTGGACATCAGGACTAGGGTTACAGCAAATAAATTCATATGTCGTAGATAAATTGTTATAACCATGATAACCATTTACTGTTCCGGTACTATAAATGCTATACAATTGTATCGTGATTTCCTTTCTTTCACTTACAGCTTGTCTAATTGTTTTCCTTGATATGAACTATGCACAACCACATCTTCTATTCTGCCTTTCTGCAATGGAGAAATGAAATATTAGTGAAGTTTTGTTATTAGTTAAAAAGTATTCGTGACATAACCAAAAAAACCAATAAATCATGTTCAGTGTAGTGGTAGGGTGTTCGCTTTGTGATCGGGAGGTCCCGGATTCGACTCTCTTTTGCGGCGGCGCCGCTTCAAACCTAAGACATAGGTCAAAATTTGTCGCATTTAACCTAAAAGCAGGTGAAGAAAAATTCGAATGAGACGTTTACAATATACAATCAATCAATCATATTCAACATCTACATTTTTATGATTCTCCAACAAATCAAAAGTTGTACATAGTAAATATATAAATTGTGATTTCTAATATTACTGAATACGTCTGCTTATATATCGCTAATCCGAAACTGGTCGCGGTAGCCGAGTTTTAAGGCGTTCGATTCGTGATCGGCAGGTTTGGGTTCGATTCTCGTTTCCGGCGTCACGTCAAACGTAAGACGTTTAAAATAGGTATTGACTGTTCTTTCTCCAAGCACCTGGCACTATAGAAGTGAAAGTCAAGGATCTTTCGAATAGACCTTAAAAACTGAGGATCGATGTTACGGTAGGCGTTGAAGGGATGAAAATCGCTCACTGCTACGGCCAATAAACGCCATGTCCAGAGCAAGTTTTAGGCATTGCACCTAATGCACGTGACCTCTCTACGTGAGCGAAAAATTCTCGAATGGGACTTTAAACAACATACAATCATCCAACCCTCTCCAAATCATGACAAGTGCAAAATATTTAACCATTTAAATCAGTTTATCTCTTTGAAGAATGCTTTAAGACTCTTTACTCGAAGAAATATATGACATTTTTACTTTGAAATAACAAGATTTCAAAAGGGATACTGGAGGTATTTATATTACATACAATACCACACTGTAGAACAAACTTCAGTTGCGTCACTAGAGTGGCGGATCCAACAACTTGGTGGGTGACTGTGTCCTCTATCACTACCGTGTAGTACAGGTTTGACTGGGACTTCATTAACTGGAATCGCTCTGAAATTATATTTCATTTAGTCATCATTCCTTGCAAATATGAGAGTATTTTAAAAATCTGATTTTGTGTTGATTTTTTTTATAAAATGACACATTAAGCCCTAGTTCTCTTTTTTTCAGTAGTACTGACACTTACTTTGTGGGAAAAATTCACAAATGTTTGACTACACCAAATGATATTCGGCTTTGTATTCTTTTGTATTATTCTTTATAAACACAGTAAGAAGCTAAATAGGTTTCCGCTCTTGTACCCTCAATTCCTTTTGACAGTCGAGGGGTCCCTCCCAGACCCCTCCTCCATAAAGAGATGAAGGTCTAAATATGAGATCCCGGGATTTAGCCAGCTCCTGGTTCACGGTTTACCTATTCCATCCATTGTCATCATTTTGGTCAGGCTAGCTACATTGGTTTGGGGTCCTCACTCTTCTTTTTAAAGTGATGTCTTTGATTTGCTTCTTTAACATGTATTATACTGAGTTATTCAGGGTTTTTTTGCTTTTGTTTTTTTTTTTAATATTAGGACACTTACGGTAATTTGAATAGGGAACCGGCCACAGCATGCGGTTCGCCATTCGAATAGTCAATAGAGAATAGGGAATAACCTTCTAACTTCTGATTGCCGTAAGAACAATATTTCAATGATTTAATGATGTGTTGATTACCTTCAAATTGTTCCTTGGAAATGTCACCAACTTCTGTAAGTTGTTTGAGGAGTGAAAGGTAACCTAAACAAATGAAACAGGATTAATTAGTTTTCATCAAATCAAAGATAGGAAGAGTGAAGGAAAGACAATGAATGGCTGTCATCTCACTGACTAAATAAGAGGTTCAACGCTGATTTATCATTTACTTGAATTGTATTCATCTCAAATCACTCGAAGGAAGCAATCTCTTTTGGTGAACAATTCATGAATTATGCCATGTAGTAAGTCTAAACCACATGACACACTTATAAAATTTTCAAATCAAAAATATCAAAAATAATCCTCTATAAGGAAAACCTTCTTAATTGCTGATTTTCAGTACGGTTTAATTTTAATATCCATTTTCACATTAATTAATACACAACAAACCTAAATGCAGGAAAAGTAAAACATAATTACTAAGTATTTTGCATCAATGAAGTATCAACTTTTACAAGTTATATTAATTTTTTGATGAGGTCATTACTGGAGGAAGCTAAAGATCCCCCCCCCCAAAAAAAATTCCCTCAAATCAACTAACCAAGCTCTTTGACATAAAATTAACCTTTCTGTATGGTGATCAAATTTGCATTGGTTAGAGGTAACATTAACCTTAGTAAGAATAATCTTTGTCTCGGGACAAAATCTCACTACAATTAAACAGAGTCCATAGGATAACCTAAATTCACCGATAAAACGTACGTTCTATCATCAATAACCACAAAGCTACCTAGACATCCAAAGATCCAGAAATCCACTGCATATAGTTCAGACACTGTACCTCTACTTTGTTTTGCAATCATGAAAATGGAATATACAGAGCAATTATCCTGTTTATAGCAACAATCTACCACAATTTTTCCTTCCACGCAAAACTCCAAAAAGCTAGTTACATGCCAAGAAAAGTTGGTTAAGTGTAACTTGAATGTATCTGACCTTTATCATAGTCTGAGATACACAGAGGCCTTATTTTTAGCCCCTCCCCGGGATCTGTCAAGTTGATTTCCGGCTTGTAGCTGGCACATTTCTGATCCCCAAACTCCAGATCATGTAGGATTTGTGGATCAAATAAATAACACTCCTCAAACCCATTCTGAAATAGACGATATTGCAAACCATAGAATCTCAGTTTCAGGATGGTGTATTTTTGTATTGTGTGTTTTTCTGTCTGTCTAAATACATTGATTAAAATAAAAATCGCTAAAATTAGTAGTTTTTTTAAAAAAATGTATTTCTTTGTACATAAATGTAAAATATAAAGAATGCAAACAGTGACTGAATTCATAAATCCAGTGAAGAATTTGATTCCTGAACCGGGCAAAACAAAACGGACCCTAGAAAACGTTACAGAGGAGATCAGGTGCCTTGGAGAAGTAAGCAACCCCTGTCGACTTGTCACGCCCGCCGTGAGTCATCAGTATTGATTAGGTAAACAAAGTAATCCGCAGTAAAAATGGTAAAAGAAGCAATGGCCTAGCAAATGGAGAGAAACATGTCAGTCAAAATACGAATAAATGTTATTCGCAATCAAGGTCATTATAATGACCATAGAATTTTCGAAAAATTGACTTTAATAGAGATAGTTGAGATTGTTGAAAACCTTGTAACATAAACTTATTTCAGAAACCTATCTCTGTTTTTAAAATTGATCGTACGCAGGGCAAGCTTTTGCGAAATAATACCATATTTGGTTGATGTTTGAATATTACAACATAAAAAAAGTTTTTATTAGCCGACACGTTTTCTATATTCTTATAAAGCAGATATTATTAAATAAAAATTTACGATGTTTTGATTAATTGACGTAAGCGAACTAGAAAAAAAACACCACAGAGTCATTTCACTATCGACGTTAATTGCAAGCTATATGACAAATGAGATGACTTCAACTTTTCCATCGCCAACTTTCCATTTATGTTCATATAGAAATACGATATGTGAATACTTTTTTTTTTATAAATTGCTAATTTCAGTTATTATCTATTTATGTATTAATCAATATTTTAACAGACGTATAAAAACACACAAAACAACATACAAGTACGATCAATTTAAAGTACATTATAATACAAAATATGTAACATTTGCTTTCTGAAATTAAATCAATGAAATATTGAAGACGTACATATCAAAATTACAGAAATGTTTTACCATAAGTATATAAGGTGAAACAGATTATAATAATAAAAAAAAACCTGTCATTGACAATTTTCTCTAGTTATAGGCCGGTGTAGGAAATGATTTCAATTGGAGATAGAGAGATGCACAACTTAAATTAGCTTTGTCGTTTTCTATTGTGTATTAATTATATACTGGCAAATACTTTCCACAGATATCTTATTAAGGTTCATAAAACCTCTGATCACTCATGTAAAATGTTACTTAAACTCTTACGATTTCCAAAAGAAATGTATTCTATAAGTAATATACATATAATCATAGCATAGTTTGCGGGGTAAAATTGGATAAAAAAAAGAAGACATTTTAACTTGACTAATTTATAAAGGAATAAATCCGAATAATAGACATTTATACCATTAAGAGTTATCTCTCTTATCAGAGTATCAATGAACCTTAAGTACTAAGACAAAAGTTTTCCTTCTCTGTAAAGTATCTAAGCAATAGTAGATAACAAAAAATCTTTCATTTCCATTTCATTACAATTATACATGTAATTAATATATTAATCAAACAAATCACAGAATTTTAACATTTCGAATTTAGCCCTTTTTAAGCTTTTTTTAATTTATTTATTCTTATTTTATTTTATTTTAATTTATTTACTTGTATTTATTTATTTATTTATTTATTTATTTATTTATTTATTTATTTATTTATTTATTGGTGTAAAAAGGACTACAGTTATAATTGAAACAAAGCTATAAAAAGTCGATAATACATAAAACGAGAAAACGATTACCGAAGACATCTTTACAATCCAGCAGCTTACACGTCACCAAGTATAATTCATCTTCCACAAGATGGGGTTTCAATTCAATTCGCTACCGAGATTAACAAGTCCATTCAATCCTATTACTATCTGGTACTATAGAATTCTAATTTAACAGTTTAAGCCCAGAAGCCCTAAACATTTAAAGACGAAACAAAACCTAAATGTCTTGATTCCTGTAAAGTAAAAGTCGTAAAAGTTATTATAAATAATCAAACTTAAAGAAAGTCATATTCTGAGGAAATGTAGTCGATATATTTTGTGAATTACACACTCAACAGAAATTGATGGTTTTATGGTCATCTTTGATATGATGTATCGAATCATGAAAAAAAAGTAGTCTAATCATAATTTATGAACAATTCTCTTCAAAATCTATCCAGAATTGATTTTTTTAATGACTCTAGTTTAATTTTTCATCTCTCAGATATTTATTGAGAAATTAAAAATTGTAAACATGGATATATTGATTGATTGTATGTTGTTTTACGTCCCGTTCGAGAATTTTTCACTCATATAGATACGTCATCATATATGAAAGGGCTTCAAATTTAGACCTTTACTCGGCACTCAGGGCTATGGTGGCATATTTCTGCCCCCTACATGCAAGATAAATTATGTTAACATGCAACTTAATTATGTAGACATGCAATCTATTTATGTCAACATGCAAAATGATTATGTTGACATGCAAGTTACCAATTTCTTTAGAGAATCTAATTTTAATTTTGGTAAACTTACTTACTGATCTCATTATAAGACATCATACAAGCAAGATACAACAGGATTATGTTGACATGCGACTTATTTATGTTAACATGCAAGATAATTATGTAGACATGCGACTTATTTATGTCAACATGCAAGATAATTATGTAGACTTGCGACTTGTTTATGTCAACATGCAAGATAATTATGTAGACATGCGACTTATTTATGTCAACATGCAAGATAATTATGTAGACATGCGACTTATTTATGTCAACATGCAAGATAATTATGTAGACATGCAACTTATTTATGTCATCATGCAAGATGATTATGTTAACATGCGAGTTAATTATGTCAACATGCGAGATATGTATGTTAACATGCAACTTATTATCTTGCATGTTGACATAAATACCTTGCATGTTAAAATAAACACTGTAACTCGCATGTCATAAATAAGTTGCATGTTGACATAAATAAGTCGCATGTTAACATAAATAAGTTGCATGTTAACATAATTATCTTGCATGTTGACATACATAAGTCGCATGTCTACATAATTATGTTGCATGTTAACATAAATAATTAGTATATAAGTTAACATAAATATCTTGCATGTGTTAACATAATTACATACATAAGTCGCATGTCAACATAATTCTGTAGCAGCTTGCTTGTATGATGTCGTATACTGGCGTAAGTGAGTAATTTGACCAACATCAAAATTAGATTTTCAAAAAAGATTGGTAACTTGCATGTCAACATATTATCGTGCATGTTGACATATTTATCTTGCATGTTGACATACTTTTCTTGCATGTTACATGTAACATAATTTATCTTGCATGCAGGGGGCAGAAATATGCCACCATACAGGGCATATGAGCAGTGAAGGTTCTTTGTCGTGTCAAAGCCTACCATGACACGGGGCCTCGGTTTTTAAGGTCTCATCCGAAGGATCCGCAGCTTTCACTTCAAAGTGCCGAGCGCTTGGCGAAGGAACAGAACTTTGCTACCTATTTTTTATCGACTTAGGTCAGTCGCGGCCGTGATTCGAACACGGAGCGAGCGCTCTACCGTAATCATGGATATAAACAACAATATGGAAAGACTGACTGTTTTACAGTCAGTGTTGACAGGGATGCTTTTTTAAAACACTTTTCGGGGAGGGGGGGGGGGTATTTTTAGGTGCATATTATGTTATTTTCGAACTCTGAGGAGTGGAATGCAGTTTTGAGAGCTCGTCCTCACAACGTCAAGGGTAGTGCATGACAACGTGTGGACTAAGGAATCACAACGTCGGGGTATTCCATGTGTGGATTAAGGACTCACAGCGTCAGGGGTAGTCCACGACCACGTGTGGACTCAGGACTCACAAAGTCAGGGGTAGTCCACGACCACGTTTGGACTCGGGACTCACAACGTCGGAGGTAGTCCACGACCAGGTGTGCATGGACTCAGGACTCACAAGGTCGGGGGTAGTCCACGACCACGTGTGCATGGACTCAGGACTCACAAGGTCGGGGGTAGTCCTCGACCACGTATGGACTCAGTACTCACAACGTCGGGGTAGTCCACGACTACGTGTGGACTCAGGAATCACAACGTCAGGGGCAGTCCACGACCACGTGTGGACTCAGGACTCACAATGCACCATGTCGGGGGTGATCACGTGTGGACTCGGGACTCCTGACGTTGTGAGAATGTTAAGAGCTTTGCACTCAGGAATTCCTCCTATTTTTGTACCAGAAATTGTGATTCCGCGGATTTATGACTCTATATAGAAAAAAATTATAATTATAGGTTTACAGTTATCCCGCCTAAACCGTGAATCAAATGCCATATCCAAATATTTCAAATCATTGAATATCTCCTGTTTATTTTCCCATATGACAACTACATACATGTATTAAGTTTCATGCCATAATACAGATTTGTATTAATAAATAGAAATTATGTTAGAAAGATAGCCATTCTAAATTAATAATTTGAATTACAAAATAGTAATTTGCAGCTCCAAGGTAACAATTTAATAAAATGATAAATATGTAATTACAACTTTAATTTTTAACTAATTTCATAATTCATTCTTATCCTTAAAAATTAATAATTTTTATATCTAAAAAAAAAAAGATAAACCTGACACAGCCCTTAAAATCTTTCGTAGAACCTCTTGTTGGGAGAAATTGATCACAGCGTAACAAATTGGGTTTATGCTATTTTGGTTGTACTTAAACACTGTGTTGACTTTGTACAGACTTTTAACCAATATTTTCTTCTCTCCGTGGCATTCTTTTAATCGCACCTCTTAAATTTTAAATATTGATAACACCGTCAAAGTGTCTTGAAAATCCAATAATTGATTGTGAAGGAGAGCCGATCTCTCTATAAGCAAGTATCTAGTTCACAATGGACATCCTTGTTCATTCACGTCAAATAGCAATGCTTTAGTAACACTGTCAGAAATGTTCCCAATAGGAAAACATTCATCGTAACATACCGCTAAATAAAGACTGAATAAAATGAAGGGGTGTATTGAGAAAGTTGAAAAACTGCATGGGGATACTATATGAAGTTATAGGTCAATCTTCTTAATTATGCCAAGTATCAAATTAAATATTCAAGTCTGCAGAATAATATTGATAAATTTTGAAGGAGTATTTTCATATAATTTTCAGAGAGAGAGAGAAAGAAAGGGAAAAAAAGGTGTGTTCGTTTTCAATGTCATTAATTGTCTATTAATTTTCATTCTGAAATTGAAACTTGATTACATTATAATTGTGTTGTTATTTTCAACTTCACGCAGATTGGAAATTAATAAATAGAGGGAGAGAAAGGAGATTCGTCTTTGGGTGAGTTTGATAAAATAATAAAGATGTACCTTTATAAAGAATTTAAAACATCTGGAAGATTATTTGAGCAAAATTTGGATTTTTCTGTCCTGGTGGACATAGAACATAGGAAGAACATAGATACGTTAAAAACGTGTGAGAATAAGCTTTTTTTTTTTAAATTATCTAACTGTAAATGTTCTTTTTATATGTACAAAGGGTCATTTAAATCGACGAGAAAAGAGGTACTCAACCAAAATGTGCCGAGCTTGCTGCAAGTTCAGGACGTGTTTAAATATCTTTGTCTGCGTGAATACACATGTTCAGCTTGAAAAGAATGAAAATTGTTTCTTTGCACCTTTTCAATAATTGCAGTATGCTTCTCCCACTATACCCCAGTTATTGGACAATGCTACAAGACACCACCGTGTTTTGTTAGGTATTCCTGCTTTCACGTGTTCGAATTGAAATCATACACGCGGAGATTTTTAATTTTGTGCAGTTTTATTAATTAGTATGAAAAATGTATGCTAAATGCAAACCATACTGAAAAACAGCAATAAGGTTTTCATTACAGAGGATTATTTTTGATGTTTTTGATTTCAAAAGTTTATGTGTATCATATGGGCTTTAGGCTTACTACATGGCATAATTCATGAATTGTTCACCAAAAAAGATTGCTTCCATAAACATTTTTCAAAAATTCTCATTCAAATACTTTAAACACTACAGATTTATCCATAGGACATGAATGCCCCGCACAGGGTACATTTCTAACAGCAAGAAAAAAATATCTTTCCTCTTTGGTCTGTGATTTATTCATCCCATCTAATGTCTAACAGTTAATAAAGTCTCATTGTTTCAAGTTCGTTCTCTCATATTTTGCATACTATATTTCTTAAATGTGTATAGTAAAATACTCCTACAGAGATTTATACATGAAATAGGTGAAGATAACGAACGGGGATCGATCTCAAAAGCCTACAAACAAACCAAATCTGTGAACAGGGCATAAAAACACGGACTCCTCGAAATTCCAGATGTGGGATCAGGTGACTAGGGGAAGCGAGCATCCCCTGTCGACTGGTCACGTCTGCTTGAGCTCTTTGTGTTGATCACCAATATACAGTGAAACTTGTCTAATCCTGATGTGTGTACTCTGAAATCTTAATAAAATGTAAACTTTAAGTCTCTTTCTTTAAATTTAATTGTTTGAAATATTTTCTATTCTGGAATCACGGTTGTCTAATCCAGCCAATTTCTATAGAACTAGTGGTGTCAGAATTACACAAGTTTTACTATATAACAATGCATAAGTTTTGAAAATAATATCTTAAATAGTTACTTTAAAACTGTGCTTTATGCAAAATAAGTAATAGTATGTCAAGGTCATACATGTACAGGTGAAAGTCACAAAATTATTAAACGGATATATAGCTTTCACCTTTATATATATCGGTGTTCAAGTTTTGATGAGAATATCTTGAATAGTTACTTGTAAACTTTGCTAAATGCAAAATAAATAATAATGAGATCAAGGTCAAAGGAAAGGTCAAAGTAATAAAATTATGAGCAGTAGAGTATCTCCTATTAATATTTTTCAGTGTATGAGTTTTGATATATTTTGAATAGTTACTTTGAAATTGAGCTAAACACAAAATAGGGAATAGTGAGGTCAAGGTCACAAGGAAGGTCAAGGTAAGAAAATTATGCCACAGTTGAATAGCTCTCACCCATAATATGTATCAGATAGTATGTAGGTTTTTATTGTTATTTAAATAATTTAAAAAAAAAATGATTTTCTTTGAAACTGAGCTAAATGCAAAGTATGATGGATGAACAGATGGAAGGACAAGGATGGAACTTGAAAGATCGGAAGGATGGAAGATGGACATGACAAACTCTATACGTCCCAGCCATATTCATAGTGGGGCATAAAAATCTGTTGAAGATAAATTTCCTTAAATTAATTCCATGCAGATACCTGATATTGGCCATGTAGTTCTGAAGAGGAAGTAATTTATGTGCTAGTCCCCTGAGCCACAATGCTCACCAATCATATAATAACTGGAAGAGATACATCTAAACAATACAAGCATGCTTCTAAACTTAGAATCAATCTATTCCTTTCTGATTAGCTTATTCACCATTTATCACAGAAAAGGGACATTTTTGATGTACTATTTATGATAGGGACTTAGGAAGGGGTTTATCCACAGCTGAGGATTGTCCGAGCACCAATAGTGATCCGCCATTCCATAACCTTATCCCTATATATATAGACAGGAGTCCATTTTTCAACAAAATATCTTACTAAACCCTACGAAATTGATATTGTAATTTATTTCAATCTGTAGATTAACTTCAATGAGATTTTAGTTGTACAAGAGAACTAAAATCAATAAGCATTTTGTTTCACACAGTGGACTAGATTTTAGAACCAACTAAGATTACCGGTATGCCACTTAGATTTCACTGGGACCAAGGATCTTATCTAAAAGTTTGAAATATATGATTTTAATTCAAGTGGAATTGGATATACTTCAATCTTTGGTATCAAAAGAAGAATATTTTTTTAATTTTTTTGTTAACCGATATGAATGTACAACTTTAAAGATAGCTGGGTATTACAAGCTTATGGCATCCTAATGTACATAAATCATTTAAGGTTCAGAGGAATTATAACCAACAAAATCGTGCATTTGAGCAACTTAGGAAATAACAGATTGTATCCACTAATTTACAATTATCTATGACCAGCACCTGAGCATGTGTGCAAATGAAAATCATGAAAATAATTAAAAATACAACTAATCTTTTCTAATCTTTAATTGTGGCAAGTAATGTAGCCTTTATACATATGCATTCCATGTAAAAATTGACGTAGCTTAGGTATTTTTAAAAACATAGATAAAGCATATCACACTTAAAATAGAATCAATAAATTTTGTCAAAACTATATAAATAAGCCTTCCTTGCTGATCAGGGTGTCAGATCCAAACATTTCACCTTTAAAACAATTTACATTCGTTTAAACATAATTGATCGATGTTGATATGCATAGCAGTCTTTCTGTGTCTGTCTACAAAAAAATCCTTGATAGAAAATCAATACAAAAGCTTTAAAAGCCTTCAATTTTTGAAGATGATATATTGTATATATTATAGGGTAATCCTGCCTATTGCACTCATCAAAATCCGACATCTGCTTACATCACATACTAAGTCTATCACAAAAACAGTTAGTGACCAACATAAACATTGTTAAATACTTCTGTAAACTGTAACAAGAGACTACTAACAGCACCAGATTTATACAAAAACAATCTACAATATCTCACCGGCCGTATTTAAAAATTCTGTTTTAAATTCTCAGATTTTTAAATTAATGGAACATTAAGATGTTTATCAGCACATTTCAATTCCATATTAAACTGAAAGGTATCTCATCGTTAAATAATCAATGCCTTATACCTTGTCCTACCACAATATCCAAAGAGACGTTTCAGATTTCAATTCTTTTGTATAATTTATTTAATTTAAATAATATTTATTTCCAAAAGAAAAGAAACAGATCAGACAAAAGGCATGAATTGCTTTTCAAATCCTCACCATCATTTTCTTTATTACATGCACAATTAATATTCAGCTTCTTTAGTTCTTGAATAAAATGTCCATTGACTGATTTATAATAAAGCTTACATTTCTTTAACAGTGGTAACACAGACATTGAGAGCATTTAATGCACTTGTTTTGGGACACTACAGGGACATTTTTATGGCCTCATGAGTTTCTTTTGATAAAGAATGTCACATAATTGGAAAGACATTTAATTGACAAATTACACTTAAAATCTTTAAATCATGAACACGCTGTATGATGAAAAAAAAAAATTTGATCTACCAATCTCAAACAAAATTCAGAAGGGGGCATGCGTAAAAGCATCATAAATCTATTGGTTCGTTGTAAAATATTTAAAAAAAACAGTACAACAAAAAAAATACTGGCCCTGCTAACATTTTTCTTTTTTACACACTGGAAACTATGCCTGCACTGCTTACACCACAACAATAACTCAAAACTCTGACAACACGTTCAAAATTACAGACAGGTCCATCATAAACGAGTGATTCTTCATTGTGTTACTCTTAAATGTCTACCCTTTAACAAGGGGCTTTTGACTCATGTGAGCTAAAAATATAAAAGTATACCTGTATAGAATCTCACTATGCTATCTATAATAGCAGAGCTACATGTTCTGACACTTAAGCAGCTGTCATACGATTGATGCCACATCTAGATAAAACAGTGCAAATTATTCCAATGTCTTAAATATTAAAATAAAATATGGTGTACAGGTACTGGGAAATCTGCAGATTTCTGCACTATTACAAACATTCACACATTAGAACTCATAAAATCATAAAAACATCCACAAATGGTTTATGAGTACTATGAAAGGGATGATGTTAAATTTATCACTCAATTTTGCTAAAACAGCAACATTCACAAACCTCCATCAAAAGTTTACCCAATTTATAAAATTAACAAATTTGTCTCGTTAAACTGTAAACAAATCATCTTTACACTTAATCAGGTAAACTCTACATTTCCTCCCTCAATTTTGACATTTCCAACAGAGGAATATAACATCATAGTGCAAAACCAAAATTATAGTCTCTCTTACTAGTGAATTAAGAGTTTGTAAAGACAGACATACAAATACTAGTAACCATGGTAACAGACATGCTAATTATCCTTTTTTTCTTCCGATTCCTTAATATTTCTTCTCACTCTAGAATATGGCCCTATCTCGGGGTCCGTTATAAAGTCATAAATGACCTTGACCCAAGAGTCATAGTGAGGCAGGTTGTCGTAATACTCTGGCGCAATTTTCTTTACCTGAAAAATCAAAAAGAAACCTTTATATATCTGTCAATCATTTCATTAAATAAACACAGAGAGTATTGCTGAAGCAGTTCATGCCCCCCCCCCCCTTCAGTCACAATGCACATATTTGTTATCATAGAGGCTTATACTTGACAAGTACTATAAACACCAAAATGAACCTAGAGAAACATGTATAATCCTATAAAAGACTCTTCATCTTAGACATAAAAAAAACAAGTATTTTAGAAGCCTCTTCATGATAAAGAAGTCAGCTCTCAGTGTCATAAATAATATTAACAAAATAAATTGTGTGAAGGCATTTTTAAAAAAAATTGAAACCCTGAACTAGCTAGATTGATCAAAAAAAAATCCACTAAGTACTGCTATAAAATCATTAAAATTTTATACAAGTTCATGGCTATTCAACCATGACACAAAGTTAAACTTTGTAAATTGCTGTTGTTGAGTCTTACCTCTGGTAGACGACACCCAGGGATGCTGGGAAAATCATGATGTTCGTTATGATATCCTACGTTGAAGGTTAAGAGATTCAAGGGACCATAATACGAATAAGTCTCCTGGCCTTTAATAAACATGTAGTGCTCGGAGATAAAATGTCCTGACATTGGATGTAGTCCAGTGCCTAGGAAAGTCCCTTGTATAAAATAGAAGATGGCCTTGATACCAAAGTACTTATACACTATAACATCAAAGGTCACTTGAACTATGAAGTTGACAATCTCCAGTGTCGAGACTGGCATCGGTCGTATAAACAAGGGTCGGAATGCATAGAAGTAGGGTTGGAGAATCACCCAGATCAATTTTGTGAATGTACGATTGAACATCCTACCCTCAAAATCAGAGGGAATATCCACATCCTTCTTCTCATCACCTTGGTAACGGTGATGCTCTAGGTGATATTTTTTGAATGAGACAGAAATGGGAACACCGATGGGTAGATTAGCGATCATTCCCAGGATTCTGTTTGCTAGAGGACGACTGTGTCCAAACGCAAGATTGTGAGCAATTTCATGAATGGCAAGATTCAGGGAGTGGTTGATGGTCCCCCCAAATACGTAAGCCATGAGGAACACTACCATCCAGGACTGGGAGGAGATGATAGACATGGCCAGAATCTGCAGGGATACCAGGAACAGAACTTTGTACTTCAGATTGGGGTCTGGTCGCATCAGCTTCTTTATTTGTGGGTATTTTGCTGTAATGAAATGAAATTTCAATTAGTTTAAGAGTTGAAAGCACTTTTTTTGCATACAGTGTTCATATTCATTATGCTTGGCCAAGTTGGGATTCTGGGTTAAATGCAGAAATCAATAGAAGAACAGACTGTACGCAGTGACATTATTTAAAAGTGTTGTGATTCCTCAAGTGTAGATTCCAAGAAGTCTGATGAAAAGGAAAGAAATTGAAATCGATACCTCCAAAGAGCAACAAAGAACTCAAGAACAAGAAATTTAACATTGAAGCTTACACCTGCATAATAATTAAAAGCCACCATTGACCAAATTACAAAATCCATTTATTAAAATCCCAAACTACTTTACTATGAAAATGAACTGGTTTTCAAAGAATCCTATTGAAGAAAAATAGATACCTTCTTCCTGTTTTACACTGAATTTAACAGTAGCATTGTCATCTAATACTTTAGCTATTCAACAACTCTTGGTTCTCATATATTGTTAAAATAGCTAGCTATGCATTCCCTAAAAGTGGTAATTAAATCACAAACTTAAGACTACCAGGTAAATGGATAATTAAACTAGTCAAACTCAAACCAGACATAAATTCACTAGCTTTTTCATTCTGACTGTCAATAAAAAGAAGCCATGTAAGGTCTGATTTTAAGTAAACTGTTCATTAACTGAATTTACTTTGAAATTCCTCTAATATTAAAAAATCATCAGAGCTTTTTTTCTATGCTTTTAAGCAGCATGAAACTTTACAGAATAAAATACTTATGTGAAAAGTGAAAACAGAATTTATTGCAAATAAAAGCAATCAATTACAAATTCAAGCCAGTTATAATTACTTGTTTTATAGTCTATGCCATTTACTTACAATTAAAGTAAAATTGGGGCATGATAAGAATGAGACAAACCATGACTCCTTATATAAGAGACTGAGACCTTCTCATGAGTAAACTATTTACTATTAAAATTTACTATTTCAACAAAGTTAATTTTTTTCTCTCCTAATAGAGTCCCCTGTATGCCAAATGTATGAATGGCATAACTGGTCTTATGTCATTCTTAAATAATCACAAGAAATAAAGCCTCTTGTCAAACATATCTGTGTAGTTTAAACGATTTAAATGTTCTGTTAGACATGACACATTCTGCTTATTTTCTAAGCAATCAAGCATAGATCACTGAATATACTGAAACAATTACACATTATTTAAATGACCCAGTACATTTATATAAACTGTTCTGTGTTAAATACATTGCTTCCTTGCTTCTTGTCCTTTGTTAGATATGATCATGAAAAGCTAGATTCAAATAAATCATATTTTAATTTGAATATATCTTTCATGTTAATTAAAACTTGAAGCATTACATTTGGAATAGATCTTATATCATCAACATTAAAATTCTTAAATCGAAGACAACACAAACTTTAATTTCACAACCTGTGCTTGATACATTACATCTGAAATTAAATATCTCTAACTAACATACATGCTACTGTATATCTTAAATCAAATACAATTAAAACTTTCATAACATCTTATTAGCCTTTATGATTAAATGCATACTTAATTATATCCATTTCAGTTATATAAATTATAAATTAATTCTTTTGACTGATGAGCATTTCACCTTTCAGTTTTCTTTTTTTCATAAATCATACCTTTACACCGTTGCTTTAATTTAAGTATAACAGTGTTATACGAAAAACAATATGATCCGCCACATTTACGTTTAGATTTATGTAATTTTACAAACAGGGATGCAAATTCTAGCGAACGAAATGGGGCGAAATATGCTAAATCTTAAAAAAGAAGAAAAAATCCAACTTTATCGTAATTTAAACTAATGACCGTTTAAAAGACTTTAGAGTTCCATGATTTTAGAAGTCAATGCATAACCTTCATGCACCGGCATCATGCATCAGTTGTGAAAGATGGCGCTGTCATGCGGTTTAATAACGAAAAAAAAATAAATACAAAATGTATTGACTTAAATACCCATAATTTCTTTCCTTCGTGTCGCGTGTGGTTCCTCTGTGTACACCCATTCGTAATCTTCTCTTGACACTCGTGCACCCATTTTCAGTATCCGTCTTGATGAAATGGCAGACACGGCCCTTCTGATCGCCTCACGCACCGATCAATCGTACCACTCCAACACTTATGAGTCACGTGATCGTCTATGCAAAACAAGTCATGTGACTCAGAAGTAACTACGCGATTTGACCCCCAACGAAGGTATCCCCGCCATTAACGTCAAACCAACATGGCGTCCGTCATCGGATCAGAAGTAGAAATACAGGAGGTGGAGGTTGAATCAATCCCAGTTGAAATGCCCATAGAGACAGTTGAAACAACAGATGAGACAGTTGAAGTTCAACCTATGATAGCTCTTCAACCACTCCCAGATGCACAGGAAGAAATTGTTTTACAGACAAGAGAAGAAGTTGTAGGTGATCCGAACCTCGTGTACGCAGATTCTATACCTGTACCTGCTCCTGAAATTGAAATAAGTACAGAGGAGACACATACGTTGAAGAGAGGTAGAGGAGGAAAGAGGAAGGGTGCTAAAAACCGTGGACTTTTAAGCGGTTTAGGAACGGAACTAACTCTTGACTCCCCTTCATCAGCTAAAAAATGGGAACAGAAACAAGTGCAAATAAAGACACTGGAAGGAGAATTCTCTGTGACTATGTGGGCTACAGGTATGAAATAGCATAATTTAATTCAAAATTTTTATGCTGTAGATTTATTTCATTTTTATTTTAGTTTTAAATATGTTTACTTTGTTGCTAAAATGAGCAAGCGATTAGAATAGGTCGGAGTGTTAAAATGACGTCACCATTTCAGGCGCCCCCGAGATATGTATATTTCCTATCTATATCACCCGTTGTCATCTTTGAGTTTTGGCCATTTACTCAAATGTAGCTTCATAATCGTCTTTGTTTTGGTTTGGTGTCGGCCATCATGTTTTGCTGGGCGCCGCCATGTAAAGAACATGGCGGTGGCTCAGCAATGGCGACTGGCGGCCATTTGTATCAGGTACATGACTACTTTGCAAAAAATTCATAGTAAATAGTGAAAGAGCAATCGCAAAAGATATGTAAATTGTTAGCTCAGTTTCCTTTTATTTTAATTTGACTAACGTAGAAACACAACAGTGCCCTGAATTTGGAATATTTGCTCGCATTCTTTAGCAATAGCAGTCGACCTTGGTTATCAACAACATGGCTTCCTTGCCGAAATCACCATTTTGGCTCAGGTTCAGATTTTGTGACGTCAGTAAAAATTGGCCAATCACATTTCAAGACTGCCAAAGAAGGAATTTATTGTAAATATAATTAAAGGAAATAAAAAAACCTTAAATATATAAACAGTGTATACATAATAAATTTATTTTTCAATCGGTCTTATTCTTGTTTTAAAAACTTAAATTGAGTGAGACATGTTTTATGTGATATATTGATTAGACTAGTATTTGTCTTATTAATAAAACCTAATTTAGTGTACATATAAATTTCCTTGCAGGAGTTATTAATCAAGGTAAATTTTCTACCATATTAATCAAAGTAAAATTTCTACCTTTACAAATTCAAGGGGGAAAAAGTATTTTTGCTCTCTTAAGCCAATTAATTCTTTTTTTCTTTCCATGACCTCCTGCACAGGCCAGAGGCTGATATTTTTAATTTCTCGAACATGATGATTGGGTACCGTACATTAGTATCATTTGGAACATCTGGATGATCATCCTGACATTTATTATACATTTGATTTTTAAATTTGCAGTAGACTTATTAAGATACTAAATGATGAAGTAGAAATTTTTAGGTACAGACTTTTACAAACTTTTAAGATGTAAACTGTATTATATTTTATATCTTGACAAAGATGTTAATAATTTTGCACCCACGGTTTTATGGGAAGTCTCATTTGCAGGTGCTTATAATAGCCTATTGTGTAGTGAAAGGTGAATTGGCAATTCATAACCCTATGAATGTATAGAAGATAAACTTTTTATGCCCCCTTATCAAAGATTTGGGGGTATATAGTTTTTGCCCTGTCTGTTTGTCTGTTTGTCCGCAAAAACTTTAACATTGCCCATAACTTCTGATTGGTTGGAGCTATGGCTTTCATATTTCACAAGTGTATTCCTTGTGACAAGACCTTTCTTTGGGTACAACCATATTTGACCTTGACCTTGGAGTTTGACCTAGTATTACAAAATTTTATCCAACTTTAACCTTGGCCATAACTTTTGAACGGTTGGAGCTAGGGCTTTCATACTTCAAATGTGTAATCCTTATGACAAGACCTTCCTTTGGATACCAACAACTTTGACCCTTTGACCTTGACCTTGGAGTTTGCCTACGTTTGAAAAACTTTAACCTTGGCCATAACTTTTGAACAATTGGTGCTAGGGCTTTCATACTTCACATATGTAATCCTTGTGACAAGACCTTCCTTTGGATACCAACAACTTTGACCCTTTGACCTTGACCTTGGAGTTTGACCTACTTGTGGAAAACTTAAACCTTGGTCATAACGGTGCTTCAGCTTTCATATTTCACTGTTATATTTCTTGTGAGAAGGCCTTTCCTTAGGCACCATTATTTTTTACCATTTGACCTTGACCTTGATGTTTGACTTACTTTTGAAAAACTTTAACGTTTACCATATCTATTCAATGGTTGCTGCTAGGGCTTTCATATTTCACAGGTATATTCCTTGAGACAAGACCTTACTTTGGGTACCAACATATTTGATTTGCATTTGAGAGAGTTTAACCTTTGCTATAAGTTGTCATAAGGGGGCATCAGTGTTTCTCAAACACATCTTGTTAATTTAAGGTATTCAATGTATAACGACCATAATTTGTATCTAATAAATGAACGGTCCTATATTTGTACTTATGGTATCATTTTGAAGATATTATGAGATAAAAATGCTCCACCAAAGAAAATTACAAAAATTTGATTATTGTCAAATTAATTGCACCTTGAATTTTACTTTGAAGTCTATGGACAATGCATGTGTTATTAAGATATTGTAAAAAGTAATTTGAATTTCATAAAAAGCTCTTGGTGAAAATATTCATACACTCTCTCTTTATTAAAGTATGAAATAAAATTAATTACCGCAGATATTTTGACGAAATTAAAATTTTCTTCTTTGCATCAAGGACAGATAACTCTTCAAAAACTTTTAAAGTGCAAAATGACCAGTTTCTTATATGTTATCAGTCATGTGAATTTGGTTCATTTCACTTTCATCATTATCTAGCAATGCATTTTTAACTAGTTTAAAATGCTTCAAAATTGTTCAAAATCCCTTCATTATACATTGAATACCTTAAAAGAAAATTCCTGGTCAGAAAAGTTTTGAATTTATGAAAGCTGTCTGCTTAAGAGATGTACAATAATATAAGTATTTCTTCAAAAAAAAATTCCAGGAACAGATGATAAAATAAAACTAGAAGAGGATGCCTCAGTATCTGAAACTGATGCAGACTTCACAGAGTATATGACAGGCAAGAAACTGCCACCAGGGGGCATTCCAGGACTTGACCTCAGTGACCCCAAACAGCTGGCAGAATTTGCAAGGTATCTCACAGTCCTTAGTTGTAATCTTTAGTATATATATTGATATAGCTTCATTAAAACCATGGAATGTTAATGATGTAAGAATCTGGTCAGACTGTATTTTTACTATCACTGGGTACAAAAAAGTTTCACCCTTAGATGTACACATCATGATATATGGTCATTTTTTTATTTGTTAGAATGTTCATGATTGTAGAAAAAAGATAATTATGAGATATCAATTATATATACAGTTATTAATTAATTTATATCAATAACTTGCATCAAAAATATATTGATTTCAAAGATAAAATATTGAGAATTTGTATCAGTGAATATTAAGGCAAATTTCCTTATGTAAAATATCTTGTGCAGAACACATGCTTTGAAAAATGAGCTTTATTGACTTTAATTAGTTTCTGGATCAGCCTAAATAAATCTGATCTGTATATGCTGGTGAACTTGTCTGAGGGTGAAAACATGCAGAGGTCAAACTATTTATAATGCAGTAGGGACATGCATGAATTTGGAACATTTTTCTGTAAGGGCTAGCATGAATGTTGTGTGCGAATGCAGTTTGCTTCACTTCTTTTCCATTGGGTGAATGCCTGCAATTTGCAAATTTTACATATGTTTTAAAGATTTTCTCTTCACTTTAGTAGTAAATTCCAATACACATATTATCAGAGAAGGTTTATAACTATTGGGGCAATAGTTTTAACTTGTTTTGGGTGCAGGCGTCCTTGAGTGCTGACACAGGGAGACCTAAGTAATGATCTGTTTTGTTGTTGTCTCCTTTTTTCAGTCTCCAGCACAGGGACACGGCTCTGCTGCAGCACTCAAGGTATTTATCTCACCTGGCTAAATGGGAACCACCCTCTGTCGCTGTTTACCCTGCTGATCGTGCTGCAGTGTAGGGTTCTCTTGTCACTGAAACTGTCCCCCGTCAGGTTCTCATTGCATTAATCGTTTGCTCTTATTTATGTTTGGCATGTACTTTTTAAGGAAAAAAAAAACATATTGAAGAAAGGCCTTAGTATGCTTTGGAAAAAAAGAAAAGAATTTTTTTTTTTAAATTATTCTTGAAGCTTTCAGTGACAGGAGAGAGCTTTTTTTCTGTTCTCTCTTCTATTTCAACTAATGATTTAGCACAAGCACTAGAAACTCATTTATTTGCCACATTATATTTTCTTCCCTCTGCTTGCTTTGAGTAGGAAGTAAAAGTTGACAAAAATCACTCTTAACATATGCTTATGATTTACATGGAAGATGATTGTTTTGTATGGAAGTTCAAGGTCACATAAAAAAATTAAATCAGGAATATTTTATGAAAATGATTCGTGTATTTTGCTGAGTAGGAAAAAGAAAAAGGTATACTTGCATACATTTTATATGTCTGCTTTATGTAGTTTTTTGTTTAAGGAAAATGCCCTCTGCAATACTTGTTTTGTGATTTGAGGTATAAATGAAATTTCTGCTGTGAAAGTATAATAGAACAAATCTAAAATGACAAATCATTAATGTGTGAGTTTTTTTTTTTTCAGAATTAAGCCCAGAAAGCCAGCAGATGATGTTCCCCGGACAGTCCCGTGCCCTCACAAGGTATAGCTAGTGCTTGATTAGGTCCTTTTCTTGCCTTAAGACACACAATTCCCAGAGCTGTGTCTTTCTTCATTCTTATAAAGTGTTTCATGAAAAATGTATCTTGATAAACTTCAATAGTTTGGTTCAACATAACCAAGTTATTCTAGGTGTATCAATTATACAATGTATTATATGTATAAATTAGTTATACTATACTATAATTATGGCATGATTTTATTCCAAGCACCACATTACATTTTTTGCACATATATTTATGTTTGCATTTTTGCGTTAGGGCTGCAGCAAGATGTTCCGAGATAACTCGGCCATGAGGAAGCACCTACATACACATGGTCCCAGAGTTCACGTCTGTGCAGAGTGTGGGAAAGCTTTTGTGGAGAGCTCCAAACTCAAGAGACATCAACTGGTTCATACAGGGGAGAAACCTTTCCAGGTACTCACACTATTTGTATATAGAGAGAGACAAGCTCTCTGAGGTCATATTTATAGCCCTGTTGAGTTCACATTTCTCAAGTTTTTATGGTCCATTTTGTGTGATTGACAGTGTACCTTTGAGGGCTGTGGAAAGAGATTTTCTCTGGACTTTAACCTTCGGACACACGTCAGAATCCATACCGGTGACCGTCCATATGTCTGTCCGTTTGATGGATGTAACAAGAAGTTTGCCCAGTCCACAAATCTCAAGTCTCACATACTGACTCATGCAAAGGCAAAGTAAGTCCACAAATCTCTCATCTTGTATACTGACTGGCATAAACTGAAAACAACTTTAACATAATGACTCCTGCGAAGGCAAAGTTAAATCATATACTGGCTTAAGCAAAGGTGAATTTATGCAAAGCAAAGAATTCATAAAAATTATAAAAGACAAACATACTTGTTTTAAGAGTCAAGTTTGAAATCATTTCACATATTTAAAGGGAACTTAGGTGTAAATATTTATTTTTCCTGCTTTATATGATGTCCTTTTTTCAGTAATGTGATATCTTTTTTCAGTAATGTGATATCTGTGTATTTTCAGTAATGTGATATCTGTTTATTTTCAGTAATGTGATATCTGTTTATTTTCAGTAATGTGATATCTTTTTTCAGTAATGTGATATCTTTTTTCAGTAATGTGATATCTGTTTATTTTCAGTAATGTGATATCTGTTTATTTTCAGTAATGTGATATCTGTACAGTTAGGGAGTGACAGTAATAGCAGTGTAGATCTGTAAGTACTGGTTTGAGAGAGGAAAATCATCAGTATCATATAAAGATTCTCCAAATTCAGTAACCTTTACAAGTGAGCAATGTTCAGGATACTTTTAAAATGTTGAGTCAGAGAATTAGCATGGAAAACTTTAATGAAAACTTAAGAGTTAAATGTACATTGAAGAAGAAATTTGTTTTTCATATAGGAATTAATTACCTTTTTTAAAATAGTGATTTCATTACGTTTTTATTTTAAACATGTTTTGATAGTGAACATTTGAGAGAGATATTTCCTTTTGTTTGTAGAAATCAAGCCACAGCATACCAACTGCCATCCTCACAGTAAGTAGATGTATAATTTATGTTCAAATCAAAGGAATTTAATCAAAAAATCTGTCAAGGCTACTCTATATTAATTAATAAGGAACATTTTTACCAAGAACTTATATTCTGGACTTTACCATATGAAGTTTTTGTATAAAGGCAGATCCAGTTTATATAGATGTCTTTTTTTTTTAATAATGGACAAAAATATCTAAATTGATGTATTGTTAGGAAACAGATAGAATTGATGATGATTCTAGCAAGATATTTAGAATTTCAAAACGTCTGTTTTTATTTACAGAGAGACAATGTTGATAGGGTATGCCTATGAAGAGCAATGATAATTATTTTTGAGGTAAGTACAGCTTGTTATTCATTTTCGGGTTGTTCAGATAAACAGCTATTCTATCGTGACACAAATTTTTGATTGTTTCAATGTAAAGAAGAATTTCTGTTATTTACAGATACATACAGGTTTTCTTTTTGGAGTAATCCTTAACACATTTTGTCCGATACCAGCAATCTGTGAAGAAAGCAGGGACTTTGACTGATGACCATCAAAGTCATTGTTGCCCAAACTTGGGTCTCAGACTTCGGCATCGTGTTGTGGTCAATGACTGTCTGCCTCATTGACATTTCATCCTTACTCATTATTTATTATGTTGTTCATTGTGGAGTGGATTCATTCGAGAAGTGCTTTTCTGACATTGATAATGTAAAGCCAGTGTGAATTGTGTCATGCCTTTCTTCAATTTATCTCCAAATCTGTACAGATATATTTATTTGTTCAACAATGTGATCAATTGTCATCATCCACAAAGATTGCTTTGCTGCCCAACAAAATACTTACAAAGAAATTAGTGGATACTGTCCCCTGTTTAATATGGCATTTTAAGCATGAAATATCGAGATATACTACAGATTTTTTCAGTATGTACATACATGTATCTTCACAAATAGTTTATCCAGCTCTTGTTAATTACTCCTTTTCTGGCTGACACAGGTTTCATTAACTTGTTTACATGTAAACCCATTACCACCATTTTAACACCCTCCCCCTTATACACACACAAACATCCAATTATTGCCTACAACAAACTTTGTATTTGGTTGGAAAAGCAGCATTTTAACATCATGTTTTAATGATGTATTATTCATGTAGATGAGGGATAAATGATCAATTTTATACAGAATTATTGTAAATCTAACATGTACAGTTTGACCTTTGACATTCAGTTTAATTTTTTTTTTTAAAGATTTTGGTAAAATTTAAACAAGTTTGATCCAAGAAATCCCTCTCCATTTCCTGTTTTTAAGTTTATTTTTATCTGAATTATTTGGTGCAACTGCTACAGTGTATAGAACTTAAAGGGAAGCAATAAATTGTCATTCCTCAGTGGTCTTCTCTTGAAAATAAAGACAGCAAAAACTCTTCTGTTTGGTTTGTGTTTTTGTAAACTCTAGCTGCATGAGACCTGTGAAGATACCATTTACCACACAATTAAAGAAATATATATTAACCCTGCAAGTTATCAATTCACTCTTGATGTACCAGGATAAGAGTCTTGGAGCATCTGCAAGTAATTTATTTCAATGGTAATAAAAACTAATAATTGATGGAATAGTGGGGCATTTTTCGGCAGCCATTGGTAAAGGTAAAGTACTCTATTATCTTGCAAACAGCTTGTTTGAAAAATGGCCATTGATAAAGAAGATGTCATGAAATGATGCATTTTCAATATATATATATATAACCAATTTGGAATCTGAACCTGGGCCATGAATTTTATGGTCGATTTCATGTTCTTCCTAAACATGCATTCAGAGTAGATTTTTTTCCAAGGTTATATTTTCAAAATATGAACATTTTGGGCCCGCCTTTGAGGCAGAACCTCTGCCCTGGGGGGAAAGGAAAAATACAAAGTAAAAGGGCCCCAGGTTCATTCAGTTTACCTTGAAGATGTGCAGGAGGAGTTGAGAAGATTCTCCAAGATCATGTACATTTTCACTATATGATCATTTTGATCACTCCTCGGGGGCAGAAAACCTGCCCTGGAGATCATAAAAATAAAGATGGAGGATTTCATGCATTTCTTACCATGCTTTCCATTTTTTCTAGACATATTGGAGTTGAGAAGATTTTCTAAGATATGTGCATTTTCATTATATGACAATATTGTCCATACCTTGAAGGAAGAACTCCTGTCCTAAGAGACATGAAAAGTCTCAAACATTAAAAATACCTGATTTTTTATGTGTGTAGAACAAGTAACATTTTATGTTTCTTAATGTGATCCAAGATACTTTGCAGTCTGAGTCTGCGAAATGGTCTTGGAAAAAAAAATACTTGCACTCTATAAAGGAGCTGAATTTCTGATTACATTTTGTCTGGCCCAGGGATCATGAAACATCTTAAGCTTAAGTCAAAATCTTTAGGCTTTACTAAAATATTGTAGAAGTCAATCAGTCCAAAATTAAAACATTTTTCAGTATTGTGTCGCAAAAGGTTTGATATCTGCAAATTTAGAGATTAACTAAAAAAATAATAAAAAATTTACAGGCACTTGAAAATTTGACTTAAGTCTAAGTCCATTTCATGATCCTCAGGCCTGATGTCCTTCTAGCACATGTCTGTCCATCTGTAAAATATTCATCATGGCAGAAAGCTTTCACCTAAGTTTTATCTTTTCTGGTCCAGTGGTTCGCTTCCTGATTTGGAGGCCCGGGTTGGATCGTCGTTTGCTGCACCAGGTCAAACTTAAGATGTAAACATAATTAGTGACTGTGTCCTTGCCAAGTGCCCAGCATTAGAAGTGAGTCATGGGTTTTTTCGATTGGATCTTTAAAAATGAGGTCCTTTGTCACATTAAGTGTTGGGATGATAAAGAACCCTCATGCTCAATGGCCCCCCAGAGTGCAGAGTGTAGGTCTAAATTTGATGCCCATCACCAGCATACCGTGATGTCTCTATGAGTGAAATATACAACTAATCAATCTTTTAATAACCCCACCCTATTTTGTGTTTTCTTGATTATCTCCCCTGAAAAGGGGACTTTGGCATTTCATTTGTGTTTTTAGAAACCCCTTAATACAAAGATGCACCATGCCACCTTTGGTTAAAATTAGCCAAGTGATTCTCGAGTAAAGTCAAAAATGTGAAAAATTTGTAGACAGATGGAGAGACCAATGGTGGACAATGGGTGTACAGAAAAGCTCAGAGTTCAACTCAGTAACATCACTAAGAAAAGAGGATAATTATTTTTAAAAGATTACTGAAGATGAAATACATTGCTAACATTTTATCAATGTTGATGAATAAATACATGTATACACCAACATCTTGTAAGAGAACGCACATGTGGTACAGCGGTATGAGCATCTGCTCTAGAGTCCCGTTTCGCAGTAGGTGCTGGCACGAAAAAGATCCCTCACTGCTCAATGGCCCGGAGTGCCGAGCATAGGTCAAAATTTGCAGTTCTCCACTGGCAAGTGGTGGCGTCTCCATATGAGTTAAAAATTCTTGAGAGGGATGTTAAACAACACACAAACAAATCTTGTAAGTGATGAATTTCATGAATGGATTATTCATTCACCATGGAAGAAGCATACATTATATCACTTTTCTATACCTCATCAACCATTTAATACCCGAGTCCTGCACCCTAAATTTTAGCTAATCATACAGAGTAATTCTAGTGACAGAAAAAGAAAACCAGACAAGGATCCTGGTTATGAGATTTTATTTTTAGTACGGATGACAACAACCTTACATTGGTGAAATTACCACAGTTTACCTGGCAGTCACAATATTGCAGTACATCCCAAAATCATAACAAAACAAATTAACAATGTCATATATATCACTGAATTCTTAAAAAAGGGGAACAAAAAGGAAAAAAATTCTATCACACATGGAAAAAAATCGAAATTAAAAATGTAATGTGCACAATCCCTCCTCTCTCGCAGAGCTCACATATTGCCCACTCTCTGTAATGCAGACCTGCCCACCCAAAACAAATGTTTTCTGTAGTTTTCTATCAATTTGTCCATAAGATTTGACTTTTATGCAAATTTTGTAAATTCAATGCATTCACAAGAAACAATCTTACTCATTGTTATTAAAACATATGCTAGTCTTAATATTAATTTCGACAAGCTGATATTTTAGACAAGTAGGTGGATATATCTAGTCATTTTACATTAAATTTAAATTTGTGAACTGTCTGCCGATATACATGTGTATTTTCACATTTAAAAGCATCTGACTGCTCAAGCATTATAATTAATGATTTAAAAACCAAAAATGGTGAAAATCTGGAGATTCGGTTTAGGGGTCAAAAACCTTAAAAATTCTGGGGGTAAATTGGGAGATTCGGCAGGCCTGCTAATGGACTAATACAAAGTTCTTAAACAGAAGCACAATAAACAGATATATACAAATCAAGACTCTAATAAAACAATTTTATTTTCATGACAAAATATAAATTGCTCTGCCTTAGAAATGACTATTTTACCCTAAATATAAACTTCATAATAAATTGTTGACTACAGCTCATATTCATTGCAAAACTTAAATTAGATTGACGATTAACAAATTAACAAAAAGGATTTCATGATGCAGGCATTAACAACAAATATGACCCTAAAACGAGGTCATTTGAACTAGCCCAAGGTCACTGAATGACTGAATAACTTGTTGAGGACACAATGTACATAAATTTTGTTGTCACTTAAAGGAATATTTTAAAACTTAAGACTAGTATACACAGAGACATATTGTTTTCTGTTTGTTCTATGACAATTTACACCCTGTAACACTAGTTTATATCAAAATAAAAATTATGCAAATCTGCTAATAATAAAACAAATAACTCAGCTTTAAAGATGTGAATAAAATCAGAGCCAGTTTTATACCTCTACAGTGCAAGAACACATAAGAATATTCTTATAAAATATTTTGGCAAGCTGTCTGCTTTATGGCAGTTAATGCTGATCTCACACTGGGTTATGATCCTTAAACAAGAGGCCCATGGGCCACAGCGCTCACCTGAGTAACTTTGGACTTGCTGTTTGTCATCTGATTTCTCCCCCCCCCCCCCCGTAGTACTTATTATGGCCCCGCCCTACCCCCGGGGGTCATGATTTGAACAATTAATAATCTACACTACCCCAGGATGCTTCCACATAAGTTTCAGCTTTTCTGGCCCAGTGGTTCTTCAGAAGAAGATTTTTAAAGATTTTTACTACATATTTCAAGGTAAAACTTGGATTCCCTTTTGTGGCCCCGCCCTACCCCCGGGGGTCATGATTTGAACAATTTAGAATCTACACTACCCCAGGATGCTTCCACATAAGTTTCAGCTTTTCTGGCCCAGTGGTTCTTCAGAAGAAGATTTTTTAATGACCCCACCCAATTTTTGTATTTTCTTGATTATCTCCCCTTTGAAGGGGACTTGGCCCTTCATTTTAACAATTTAAACTCCCCTTCACCCAAGGATGCTTTGCACCAAGTTTGGTTAAAATTGGCCCAGTGGTTCTTGAGAAGAAGTCGAAAATGTGAAAAGTTTACAGACGGACGGACAGACGGACGGACGGACGACGGACAACGGGTGATCAGAAAAGCTCACTTGAGCTTTCAGCTCAGGTGAGCTAAAAATGACATGACATGGCAACATTGAATATAATGCTTTAGTTTACAGAAAATAATCAATTACATGTACATGTTTCAGTGAATTGTTTACTAGTTGTGTTCGGTATATGTACAGGTACATGTAGTAATGATATTGATGTCCAACAGGTAATATAAAATGATGGGACATGATCACCATGGAGTGTCAACGAAAATCGACACAATTTAAAAAATCCCAGAATGAAATGCCATGCTGCTATATCTTAACTACCTTAAACCAGGAGATCCATCTATAAGTCTACCCCTCAAATCATCTGTCGTTAGTCTCTAAGACAACATGTTACACACAAGTACCGGTATAGTCATGTGGAGCATCTCCAGATCGTAGATACATGTATATAGAACAACACAAACATTACAAAAGTAGGGTCATGTCAGAAAAATTCCAACATAAAAAACTACATGTACAAACACGGGCTGGTTAATTTTCCTGTACACAAGTTTTGTTCTTGGTTAAATACACATTGTACACATATACACATAAAAGTTTGAACATGCCCAAAATGAATTCCACAAATAAAACATTAAATTATCTTCATACAGAATTAATAATACATTTTTTTTTCAATTAAGTACATTATCCGTGCAGAGATTAGTCAATGCAGTACAATACTGAGGACATTAAGACTTAATAACACAATGACAGGGAGACAACTCTCTACTGGCCTTGTTTGATCTAACTCCCTATAGAAAAACTGAGACAACTCACTGACATAATCTTATAATTAAGCACCTATGAAAAAATGTCACTTGAAAAGGACCTACACAACAAAATGTGTGAAAGCAAATCCAGATGACTTATGCTTTCTACAGAGTACCACTCTCTCACTTTCAACAAAACACTCAGATTTACATTAGCACTGTTAATGATCTTTATCACAATATGTACATTACTAATCATTTGATTGGAAAATATTCCTATATTAATTAGAAAAGGAATATACATGTACAATTCCAATATTTTATTATGAACAATGTTGTCGTAAACTAAGAGGCAAGTCAAAGCTTTTTTATAATCTAATGTACGTATAATTGCTAGCACTTGTCTGCATAAAAAAACTACTCCGTGAAAATCACAAACTATTGTCATGAATCAAGTTAATATGGCTGGTTATGGTAAGCTTATCTTTGATAAAAATGTGTTGTTACAAAAAAAAAAAAAACTCTGGTAAAAGAGGGAAGCCCTGATATATAAAACACCTCTGTCTGAATTTTCCCAGGATGCACCTTGGTGGTTAGACACTGTGAGACCTGCTGGAGGAGGAGGTCAGATGGGGTCGGGATTCCCATGGAGGGTGATTGGAAAATGTTTTATGTGGGTTTGCCAATTTGTTGACAACTGGAAAAATTTCACCCCTGTCCATTCCACCCCATCCACCATTACTGTAAATTAAATAATCATCTCTAATTAAATTCATTTCTTTACATTATCTCAATTTTTGACAAGGAACAGCAAAGCATCAGCTTTCAAGACAAGAATCTTTACTCACTAAAATGAATTTTCTAGATCTGTAAAGGACAAAGATATTCTACCAGAAGGTGGAAATCAACATGAAATTTGAGCAAATTAAGTACATGTATATCATAAGGGGAATTTGATACAAATCAGACTTTGTAGTGCTTCCTATCTCAACTGTCGCAACACCTTTATGTGGTGGCATAAATGTGGGGCTGACTTTAGACTGAGAGGTCAAAATTTGAGATTTTGACAACGACATTGTTTAAAATGGAAACGGTAAATCATTCCAGAGTTATCTCTTAGAAGAGCAGAATTCATCCTTAAATTTATACATGATTCTCTCATCTTTTAATTAACAACATAAATTTATGATATATTGTCCTCAACCTATACATCCAGCATGTCTTCCCTTACCTTTGTGAGAGTAGCTCTGTATCTTACCTGTGAGAGAGTAGCTCTACGTCTTACTTGTGAGAGAGTAACTCTGTGTCTTACCTGTGAGAGAGTAGCTCTATGTCTTACCTGTGAGAAAGTAGCTCTGTGTCTTACCTTAGAGAGAGTAGCTCTGTGTCTTACCTGTGAGAGAGTAGCTCTCTGTCTTACTTGTGCAGGGTTCTCCACATTTCAAAATTTAACCATGGAGGAAGCTGCGCGAAGGAAATATGACCGAAACACGAATGCGTGTTAGACTTCCTAACCTTCATTAATCAATGATTTATTTCACAAAACTTAACCACTGCAACACAAAAAGTTGAATAACCAAAAAAAAAATTTTAAGTTAAAAAAATATAATTAAAAATAAAAAAGATTATTTATCTTACTTTACAAATACACCAAAATTGACAGTCTTCAGAGTATAATAGATTTAGAAACCCTCTCTCCTGATCAAATTTTGAATTTTTTAAGTCACAAGATATTAATCATCAGCTGATTGACTCTCCATTGTCACGCTTCACTGCACTGTCGCCGATCAACGACTGTGTTTGTTTAGCACAGTCCACTTTCTATCGAGGCATGCGAGGTGCACGGCTGTCGTAGTATAAACACAATTAACTACTCAAGTCTTTAAAAAAGTAGGTGTCAATACTGAAATGCAATAAAAATTTAACCATGGCGGCCGCCGATTTTGACCATGGCGCAGCTCGTTTAACCATGGCGCACATAAATTTAACCATGGCGGGCCGCCATGGTAAAACCCCTTGTGGAGAACCCTGCTTGTGAGAGAGTAGCTCTGTATCTTACCTGTGAGAGAGTAGCTCTGTGTCTTACCCTTGAGAGAGTAGCTCTGTGTCTTACCTGTGAGAGAGTAGCTCTGTATCTTTCCTGTGAGAGAGTAGCTCTGTGTCTTACCTTAGAGAGAGTAGCTCTGTGTCTTACCTATGAGAGAGTAGCTCTGTGTCTTGCCTTAGAGAGAGTAGGTGTGTGTTATACATTTGAGAGAGTAGCTCTGTGTCTTATCATTGAGAGAATTGCTCTGTGTCTTACCTTAGAGAGAGTAGCTCTGTGTCTTACCTGTGAGAGAGTAGCTCTCTGTCTTTCCTTAGAGAGAGTAGCTCTGTTTGTTACCTTTGAGAGAGTAACTCTGTGTCTTACCTGTGAGAGAATAGCTCTGTGTCTTACCTTAGAGAGAGTAGCTCTGTGTCTTACCTTAGAGAGTAGCTATTTTGTGTCTTACCTTAGAGAGTAGCTATTTTGTGTCTTTCCTTGGAGAGAGTAGCTCTGGGTCTTACCTTTGAGTGAGTAACTTTGTGTCTTGGTTGTACAGATCAGTCGATTAATTCCCTCCACAATCTGACTCTTAGATTCTCCCTCCTTGGCTTTCTTCCCCAGCCTCATAACTATAAACAGAAAAGGAGATGCAAGTATAATTTAATATCTCTGTACAAAATTCAGTAAAAATACCTAAAAAAGTTTCTCTGATATTGAGCTAAAGGCAGAGAAATGGATAGAAGATAGACATGATATACACTTAAATCATACATTGCCAGGCATTAAAACTTTGCAGTCAAAGTGAAAGGATGTAAAACTTAAGACTAAGGGGTTTCAAGAAATATTCCCTTGTTTGAGAAGCATTATTTCCTACCCTCAGTGTGTAGGAGTCTCACTTACTTATATGTTTCTTCTCCTTAGTAACCACTACCATGGAAAAAGCATTGAGGTCTACAGGATTCTGAGCCAGACGCTGTACCTGTAGCGACCGGAACGTCGTCTTCAGTGTACACTTATTACTGTCCTTTTTACTGGCCTTGTCGGTTTTCTCAGTGCTGTCAGACTTGGAGGCTGTTGTCCAGTAGTCCACCTGTAGTTCCAGAAATTCACCAGAGGGAACCATGGTGGGGGGCATGGTGCTTTGACTAAAAATAGAACAACTCAGTTACAGCATGTCACTTACATATATATCATAAAATAATTTTTCATATTTTATAAGTGAAGTACAACTTACATCAGTGCAACAGCAAAATCAATGCTAGTAAACACCTACCATTATGGATTCAAAAAAAAAAAAAAACTTAAAATTTTTAGTGTATAAACGAGACCCATCTGATACCTGGTGTTTGTGGAGACACTGACATTGGGGGAGCTGGGAGGGGTGGAGATGTCCATCTTGGGTTTGTCCAGGGTCATCATGTTACTGGGAGGAGAACTGGACAATGATGGAGAGTTGACCAGTGTATTACCAGTGTCCTCAAAGTCCACTAAAAAATCAAAATACACAACCCTCCAATAAAAGTTAAATACTGTGGATGTATTTATTCTTGGCACATCTAAAATTAAGTGCAAATGCATTACAGTTGAACTTCGGTATCTCAAACACTTGTATCTCGAATACCATGGATATGTCAAAGTAATTTGGAAGTCACAACAATTAATTCCTTAAGTTTTTTTTACTCTGTATATCTTGAATCCTTGGATATCTCGAAGTATTTTCTCGGTCCCATCAAGTTCAAGATAATGAGGTTTGACTGTATTTGGCTCCATCATACACAACTGCTATCAGTGATGATTATATCTTTCTTAATATCTTTCTTAGTATAAAGGTTTATATTTTGGCATTGCAGAATTGTTTGCTATAAACTGCAACAAAGCATTCTACTAAAATAAATATGCATACAATACCCAGAGTACAGACAACCTAAATTCTTTGATGTACATTTGATGTACATGTAAATAATAAAAAATATAAGAACAACTTACTGGAGGCATTCATAACATCACAACTGCCAATCTTAACCTCCTGGAGAAAAAAAAAAGACAAAACACATTTTAGCTCTGATACAGTCAACTCTTACATCTTCATAAAAAGTAGAAATGTTTTGAGATCTTTAATTGTAAGGATCCTGACAGCTTCCCTAATGAAGCCAAATGTGCTGATAATTCAACTTATATGTATTACTATAAACAAATACTGAATTCTGATTTATTTTTTTTTTGTTATTTCAGTTCAAATTAGTTATTGAATGGGATCAATAAATCTTACACTGATGAATGGAATCAATATTTGAGATGAATCCTCTTCACCACTGAAAATAAACAATTACATTGTACATTATCTTAGAAATTTATATCAATAAAAAAATTAGATTGATAGCTTTTTTTGGGCCAAGTATCATTTGGCAGAGCTTCCATATGACCAGTACTGAGCAACTTTCTTTGTTTTGAACAAGAGAAAAAATCTTGGAAATAACATGAAAACAAATTTCTCGCTTATAACCCAAGGACTTCAGTATTACTCTCAGTTCCACTACTAAGTGTTATAATCTTCCTCTGAGATCATACCTTTTGGCTCTACACATCACCATAGCCTCAGCGATCGGGATTTGTACCACTGACCCTGAGCAGTTGACATACTTTGATACTCGACTTATAATGTCTTGAGAATCTACAATTGAAATTTAACATACCAAGCTCAAACAATACAGAACCTACAAAAGGAGACAACAGGCCAAAAGACCTTAATGGTCACCTGAGTATAATACAACCCTGTGAAGGATCAATTATATAATAACAAAGAAAAAACTGAAACTTAAAAACAAGCTTAAGAGACATAGGATGATCAGGGATCAACAGAATAGTTAATCTGGTAATCAGCAACCACTCAGCCACTTGCCTGCATCTGCCAGTACTATCTACTACTATTAACAAATGTAACGAGACAATTGTGCTTTAGCATAAATATACTCTTCGCACAGTAACACCGTTCACATAGTTACTTAGCTCAATTCCATTGGCATTGGCTCTCTTTGTCTTTGAATACGATTTTTATTCATTTAATGAATTAAAATAGTATTCAAAGACCAAGACAGCCAATGCCATTGAAATTGAGCCGAGTAACTATGTGAACGGTGTACTTTATTATAATATTTACAAGTCTACTTGACTATCAAAAACTATGAATGTTCTTTTTTGTATTATACATTTAAAATTCTTGTATAATTCTTTATTTAATTTACCTGTCAATTACATTATTTACAGTGGGTTTTACGAAGGGGAATAACTTCTCTTAAAGCAGAGTAAAAATTTCCATACATGATCATAATAGAGCCCCACCCATCTCTAGAGTTTGGGCCATGGATTTCACAATTTTGGAAGAAGAACCATGCACTTAAGTTTGTCTACTAAATACCCAGGAGCAGAGAAGAAGATTTTCAAAGTATCAATGCATTTTCACTATATGATCAATAGAGACCAGCCCTTATTCCAGAATAGGGTTGGTATCCATACCATACCAAGTAGTTGTTTCAAAATTACTGGTAAAATACCATTTAATACCATAACCAATTTCAGTATTTAATTTTTTTTTCAATATGCATATCAAGCACAGGATTCTCAATCGGCCGTTTAACATGGCGGCCCCATCACAATTAAATTTCTTTGTGCCACAGTTTAAAAATCAGCTCCCTAGTTCTTACACAGTTAAATATTAGCACCACAGAAGAAATGTCAGGAACATAAATGTATAAATTTATTATTCTGAAAATGAAACTCTACATTACATGTATGTACTGTTTTTTTTTTTTTCAGTAACTAACGGTAATTTGTTCATTTACTCTAATTAGGCCTGTTACTCAGTTGTTGTCTTGGCTTGCATAGGTCTTGGACGCTTAGCAAAGAAGAGAAGCAGTTTATCTCAAACTTGTCTTAATTGTGAATTTTATCAAATTGTACTTCATCCTTTTAGATTATGTTTACCTGTTTATTTTCTAAAATCTGTTATTTTTTCTAAAATGTTTCAAGACATTATCTGTATAATAATTTCGTTTAAAAATTACATTTTTCAATAAAAAATACTGAAGTATCAAGGTATTATCAAAAAGTACCATATCATTAAAAAAATACTGGTATGGTATCATATTGTTTCATCCTTAAAGGTAATCAACCCTATTTCAGAACCCCTGAACCAGGTGCCATGAATTTCACAATTTTCAAAAAGACACCTTTGCTCTCCATAACCATGCACTTAGTTTGTTTGCTAAATACCCAGGAGCAGAGAAAAAAAATTTCAAAGTATTAATGCATTTTCAATATATGTCAGATCCATAAAGCCCTGTCCTAACCCCAGAACCTCTGACCCAGGGGCTATGAAATTCACAATTTTGGAAGAGGCACCCTTGCTCATCATAGTAAATTATGCATTTGTCTGCTAAATACCCAGGAGAGAGATGAAGATTTTCAAGTTATTAATGCATTTTCACCAATAGGATCAATTAGAGCCCTGCCTTAACCCAAGAATCTATGACCCAAGGGCCATGAATTTCACAACTTTTGCACCCTTGTTCATCATATCTATGCACTTAGTTTCTCTGCTTAATATAAAAGGTGGGGGGGGGGGGAGAAAATTTTTAAAGAATTTATGTATATTCACTATATTATCAATAGAGCCCTCTTTTACACCCCCAGTTCCCGGGATCTTGAATTTCATAATTTTGGTAGAGAGATCAATATATATATTACAATCATGCCAATAGTTTGACTGTTTGCTGTCCAGGATGTATGGACAGATGAACAGACAGACTTATGTGGCAATTCCAGATTCCATAACTTTATTGTAAAGGGGGGGGGGATAAAAAGTTGAAAAGATTTGTAACTTACCCAGTTTTGGGGCATCATTCTTTTCAAATGTATCCTTCCAATTTTGGTCAAGGAACAAAGCACTGTAAGTACTGTCCAGACTACCTATGTACTTCCCTATAGAACTGGAGCCTGGAAATGTACAAGTTCTATACATATCAGGTACACTTGGGGTACTTCTGAGGTTTAGTAATGTACAAGTTCTACACATATCAGGTACACTTGGGGTACTTCTGAGGTCTAGTAATGTACAAGTTCTACACATATCAGGTACACTTGGGGTACTTCTGAGGTCTAGTAATGTACAAGTTCTATACATATCAGGTACACTTGGGGTACTTCTGAGGTCTAGTAATGTACAAGTTCTATACATATCAGGTACACTTCCCTATAGAACTGGGGCCTGGAAATGTACAAGTTCTATACATATCAGGTACACTTGGGGTACTTCCGAGGTCTAGTAATGTGCAAGTTCTATAAATATTAGGTACACTTGGGTTACTTTCTAGTCTAGTTATGTACAAGTTCTATAAATATTAGGAACTGTAATTGTGAGTATTCATGATGTAACACTGAAACTTATAAAATTGTAGTTATGAAGTAGAAAGTATAGAAAATACCTTTTATAAATTGAAATGTAGCAATTCATGACATCTGAACACTGACTACATTTCTTGCACGATTTTTTGGCATTTACACTCACCAAACTTTAGGATATTAGACTGACCAATTGGTATGATAAGGAACTTGAAGTTTGGTATCAATACTCACCAAACAGTATGAAAATGAACTTGCCATTTGGTAATTAGACTCACAAAATTGAATGATAAGGAACTTGATTTTTGGTTAATTAGACTCACCAAATGGTATGATGAGGAACTTGACGTATGTCTGCCAGTCTGGAGGTTTAGCTGAGAACTGCTCAACATAGGGTCTGAGGACTGTGTTGATATAACTATCACTTCCCGCTATACACACCTTGATAGCACTTGGGGCCTTGGAGTTACTGTTACAGCTAAACCAATCAAAAATCAGTTAATGACACAGCATATCCAATCAGAGCAAATTTATTGTTATGACCAAAAAAAAAACAAATACAAAAACAAAACTGTTACACTCTAATCAATTAAAATTCATAAATTTTTACAGCTAAACTAATCAGATCAGTTATTTGTAAAAGAAAACTTTGATGTGTTAATACTCATGTTAAAACACATTATATTATGATCACCAATTTCAATTACTACCTTCTTCCGGGATCTTTCTATTTACTTATTCTGAGGATGTCCAATAAATACAGTTAAACCCTGTTAATCCAGACACTTGTGTTTCCATAGCAAACAATCATGGGTAAGGAATCACCAGTATATAAATATAAATTCTGTTCACCACAAATTTCGTCTGGAAGGCAAAGCAACTGGATTAACACATCTTCGCTAGCCAAGGGTTTCTGATACGCTACTCTCCTCATAAGCCCTTGGCATACGGTGTTAAAAAAAGTTGGGATTTTTTTCTCAAGTTGTGATTGGAGTTGTTCGGCATCGTTCGACCAATCAGCAATTGTTTTTTGTAAATGACGATATTTGCGTTCGGGATGTATCTTGACTCTTTAATATCGGGAATGAAAAACGCAAGTAAACAACGATCCGTGCCATTCTATGAATAGCTATATGGTGTCATCCAATATCTTAAGCTACGTGCAAAATATGATTAAGAATCAGTACTGAAGATGTAGATTTGCATTTTAACATGTTTAAATAACAAATTAACATAACTCAATACCTTCTTGTTAATTATTCTTTAAAAACATTATTTCTTTAAATACGCTTTTTATTTCTGTCGATGACGCAATCTGTGCGTACCTGGTAAGAATCGTGATCACGTGATGAAAACAATCCCGTCTTTTGTCAGCACCGTATGCCAAGGGTTTATGAGGAGAGTAGCGTATCAGAAACCCTTGGCTAGCGAAGATGGGATTAACATGGCTTGACTGTAGAGCTTATTTGGGCTAAGGTGATTTGACTGTACTTACTTGTCTGGATTAACATGAATTGACTGTACTTACTTGTCTGGATTAACATGATTTGATTGAACTTACTTGTCTGGATTAACTTGGCTATTCTGTACTTACTTGTCTGGATGTATGTGACTTGACTGTACTTACTTGTCTGGACTAACTTGACTACTAACTTGTCTGGATTAATGTGACTTGACTCTACTTACTTGTCTGGATTAATGTGACTTTACTTACTTGTCTGGATTAAGATAAATTGACTGTACTTGTCAAGATTAACTTGGCTTGACTGTCCTTACTTGAACAGAATACTCACTATTTCTGAATTTTGGACACCAGAGCATTAATAGATGCCTTAACATCAGGTTCTCCACACGTACATATAACATTATAATTGTGATCCTGAAGCTTCTGGTGAAACAACTACAACAAATCAACGAATACCAGGTTAATCCTAATCCTTAAACAACTACAACAAATCAACAAATACATGATTAATCCTAATCCTTAACAACTACAACAAATCAACAAATTCAGGCTTAATCCTAATCCTTAACAACTACAACAAATACCAGGTTAATCCTAATCCTTAACAACTACAACAACTACCAGGTTAATCCTAATCCTTAGCAACTACAACAAATCAACATATACCAGGTCAATCCTAATCCTTAACAACTACAACAACTACCAGGTTAATCCTAATCCTTAACAACTACAACAAATCAACACATGCCAGGTTAATCCTAATCCTTAACAACTACAACAAATACCAGGTTAATCCTAATCCTTAAACAACTACAACAAATCGACACATACCAGGTTAATCCTAATCCTTAACAACTACAACAAATACCAGGTTAATCCTAATCCTTAACAACTACAACAAATCAACACATACCAGGTTAATCCTAATCCTTAACAACTACAACAAATACCAGGTCAATCCTAATCCTTAACAACTACAACAAATCAACACATGCCAGGTCAATCCTAATCCTTAACAACTACAACAAATCAACACATGCCAGGTTAATCCTAATCCTTAACAACTACAACAAATCAACACATGCCAGGTCAATCCTAATCCTTAAAAAACTACAGCAAATCAACAAATACCAGTTCAATCATAAGCCTTAACAACTACAACAAATCAACAAATACAAGTTAATCCTAATCCTTAAACTTCTAGATCTGTAAAGGATCACTATATTCCAGGTTAGTACATCCTGACCAATCTTTATCATGTCTCTGTGACCTTCAGCTTACTCAACATTACATCAAAGTAACTCTCAATTATTACAAAAATTACATTTTGTTAATTTCTTGTAACCTTGAATAACAATAACTCTGTGTCAAGGTCATGTCACTGTGCTATGTTTATCTATTCTTACCTGTCCCTGCCAATCTGAGGTATTGACCAACATGACAGATTCCGGTAGATTGTCTTCTGATCCCCCAAACACCACCCCTAACTGTTCCATCAAGGCTTTCCTCGGCTGGAGTAAATAGATCTTAATGTAACACGGTCAGCTAACAAAACAACTGTATCTAGGATATTTACTACTGAAGTTTAACGACACACAAAGAAAATCTGTAAATTTTTGGCATGTATTTAAAATGCAGTTAGAAGAAAGTCAATAAAAATGTTACCATGCCAGAGTATGAAAAAATTGTCATTTCCCAAAGCAGTACAGATAGAATATATAAATTAAACATACATGTTTAAAAATTTGAATTTAAGAAATTTAGTAACACATCAGATCACAATCCCAGTTTATGGCTTTTTGGGTCAAAAGGAAATCACACAGAAAAAAAGCTCTTGTCAAAGGACTAGTAACAATTAATACCACTCTCCCGTAATGTTACAACACAGGGTCCTCAATTAAAATAAGACAGGTGTCAGTGAGGTGATCATCCTGGTATAAATTATCTAATCTACTTCATTTTATGTATGTTATATTGTTGGACATAATAAAAACTTGGGTTAGGTTTCACTCATCAGTAACTTAACTGATGCAAGCACTTGTTTCAAACAGGAAGCAAATTCTATATGACTGGAAAAAAGAAAATTCAAAAAATAATTTAAAATGTGGCTAGAATAAAAATCACTCTTCATGCAGGCTTAAGATTTGGAAGCACTGAATAGTTGGGGGAAAACAGATGGAGGAAGATATAACAAAGCAGATTCAAAAAGCTGTATGCTATATAAATAAACACTACTTTCACTTTATACATGTATTAGCAACCACTCAAATGTTAACACCTCTACAAACATGCTATACAAATTGACCACACATTCAAAGCACCAAGATGGCTGTTTTTCTTTGCCAGCATGTCATAACAGATCTTTATTATTAACATTGAATTTAAGATAAATTTTGTGGGATGGATTTTATGACAGTGGTTTTGTTTAAAACCCTTTAAAACAAACAAGCTCATGGGAAACAATGCTCACTTGAGTAGAAAAATCTCCCAAGATTTTGTTCCCTTGTTTCATTCCCATATTGATCAAAGGGACAAACTAAACCTAAATTAAACATACAGCTGTACATTAAAGTAAGATAGAACATTTTTAAGAGAATAAAAAGAAACACACTTACACCTTCCCCTGTATAAACTATGAGGCCAACAATAAAAAATGATTTGTTTGATGTACTCCGACTGACCCATCAAAATTGCCCCCTACCTGATCATTTTTTCCAGTATTTTATTTTTTTTTTTTTGGAAGGGAACTACAGATTGTCCATATCATTTTGAAAGATAACGTTTTATCATTTCTCTAAGACACATTTGACTGAACCTTTTCTTAGCAATAAATATTAAATCTGTCTAGCTGTCCTGTTTAAGATGAAAACATAAATAAAATTCTAAGTTTTTGATTTTTTATTATGATTATCAATGTGTAGGATAATTTTTTTAAAAAAGCAACAACAAAAAAACACCTTCCTATCTACCCACCTTGAAAAATGTCGGTCAGAGTACATCAAACAAAAAAATTAATGATGGCTTGAACAATTTTCTGTAAATATTCATATTGGAAACAGTCAGACCTCTATAATGGTGCAAGGAAGCATGGTTTGAATAAACTAGAGACTACAATGCACAGTTTTTTCATCTGTTTATATTCTTCACCTGTGAAAACTTTGTGCTTTCACAATCAAGTTGTGTAGGTTAAAGTGTTAGTAATGTGGAAAAAGTCAATATTCTGAAAACTTGACAAAAGACAAACATAGATCAGAAAAGCTCATTTCAGCCTTATGTGAACATTAAACACATAACGGATACCAACAAATCCAGGACATGCAAAACAGAAAAAAACAACCACCCTTTCCTTCAGAGGTAACCAATGTACATGTACCCTCAATGGCATAGCTATAAAAAGAATAGTGGTGCTGATCAAGGCTAGAGCAAGATGCCTACGAATGTGTGAGGTACAGAAAATAGAGTATTGTGTAATATAAGATACATGTAAGTAATCTGTCTATATCAGGCTAGCTGTATTGCCTCAGGCCACATACACTGTGTGTTAGTTCATGCTCCTTCTCCGCGGTACTAACCGATCCGTGAATTAGACCAGTACTGTGACGACGATGTCGCTCCCCTTTATTGTGTTTTCCCTCTCGATACGATCGACTGCGGCCATGACTAATTTTGCCTTTTGTTTCTGGAGAAGATTTGTGATCTTCTACCTGTTCTTTTTCCTATTTCCGTCAAAAATTAACATTTACTATTGAAGCATATTTCATTGTAAATATCAATTACTGTAGACAATTAATGATTGGGTAAAATATATACAGGTACATTACATCGAAGCTTAGAAATTTACATGTATGAATTGCCAATGATTTTGAACAAGATTTACTTTATTTAAAAAAAAAAAACCTGCTGATAAATTACTTCAATATCAATAACAATAAAAATTATTCTAGGTACCAATTTATAAAAGTTTTATGAATATAGTTTTAATTGGAGAATCTGAGAGGTAGTCATGTATTATAACTAAAAACTTATACATACAGACTACTGGGGATTATAAAAAGGGGACACTACCACAATTATGATACATGTATATATATCATATAAATTGTCTAAAACAGCTGCTCAATTGGTGCTCAAATATATATGTGTAAAACTGGTGTCAAGTGAATCACAGAAAGTAAAAAATGGGGAGAAAAAAAAGAAAAAAATCTTAAGAAATTTGAGAGGAACACAAGCTACAAGGGTTCTCTGTAGTTATTATATATTTTAGTTCTATTTATAACCCAAAACCTGCTACACAGGCCCTCAGAAGATGGCAAAAAAATAAAAGGGACATAAAAACATAAGACACACAAAAATACAGTATTGGTACATAAACACAAACAATGATGTACATCACTGATACATCACACACATGCAAGCACTGACGTTAGAATAGGATATGCACAATAATACTGGTATGTTAGATAAGTAATGCATCATTAACGCTTTAAAATGGCTGATGCTTAGGAGTCAATATGCACTAACTAGTTGCTTCCCTTCCCATGCCCTTTCAAATCCATTTATCTATGGGATAAAAGTTGTTTGACAGCCAAGTGTGATTAAAATTAGATCTGGGAATTTGATTAAAGGCAGTTGTTTTAAGAACACCTTTATCAAATTATCCTATATCAATAAAGAAACAAGTGATTCATGCTGAGTGTTAAAAGCCATAATCCATCCTGCTACAAAATGTTTATGTGAAATACAATATAGTTTGTGAATATATATATATATGTCTTTCAAATATCGGAAAAGGTGGGGTTTCTTTTAAATCCCTAAAGGCCAATGCACACCAAGAATTAAAATAGTCTTTGATAGTTAGAGTAAAAGTTGTATAAATTAAAGCTATAATACCATATAGATTTATAATGCAGATGACCTCCATCATGCTATATATTTTTACATGGAATATGAAGCCTACTTTTACATTTTGTGACCAATAGGTCTTATAAACATTGCATGCTGAAGACTATAGTCAACCTCCTATTCAACAAATGCCAATATATAAAAATGTATCAAATCAAAAACAAAAAGTTGAAAAAAATTTACCCAATGATGCCAATCCCCGCCAAAATGTCTGTTTCGTAATCATGTAATTTTTTTCATTCGAGGAAAATTCTTTTGTAGTATTGTCTTTTAGTTGTCTTAGAACTCAATAAGATTTAGTGATCAAAGTAACATCAATATGATAACAAGATCATCAGACACATGCATTATGTGCATTATGATTACAGGCAAATGACTTGGAGTGTGGGGGTGTGTGTGTGTGTATGTGTGTGTGTGGGAGGGGGGAGGTTTACACTTTGGCACACTAGATTATTATTTATTTGTGGTGTTTAAATGAATCTTGATAATAAAACACAGCTGCATTATCCATCTGAGAAAAATCAACACTGAATATACATGTAAAAGGACTAAGAAATATATCCACATTTGGCTTTAAGAACCTACTGATATTAATAAAGGGGGGGGGGGGGTTAAAAGTTTGATATACATTGCTTTATTTAGTTATTCATAAACTGCAGACTAATTTTACTTATTGGATTTGATTTTTAAAAAGTATTACTGTAACAAATAATATACACAATTTTAAAAAAAAAAAGAATAATTTAGAAAAAGATCTTAAAATGAATTAAGTAAATGTACTATGGGGACAGGGAGGAATGATAATAGAAATCATGATAAAATACCAATTAATGAGGCACAGAAAGAAAACTGTGACCTTTTTACACTTACCATCAGACTTTCAGGTTCCTTTTTGATGGAAGTTGCATCATCGCTATTTTTATCAGGGTCCTGTGTATACAAATAATCAGCTGTTTACAACATCCAGCTCTGTGGCACTGGCAGACAACATTCAGTCTTACAACTAAAGGTCTAAAGGCTGAGATTAATAGAGATCTATATACCTTACAATGTTTTACTTCTTAATAACTGAACTGACACATGCTTTAATGGATTAAATATAATCTGGTAGAAAATAAACCAAAGAAGCTTTTAAAAGAAATAAATTGATGCGGCAAGACGGGATGACGATGAGTTACTGAGCATGCTTACTGGATCTACACTGGTGGTCTTACCTTACTACCATCGTCAGGTTCTACAGTGCTTGTTCTGCCTTGGAAAAATGGTCTAGAAAAGGAAAATAAATTGATCATAAACAGTTAACAAATTATTTTCTAGCATTTTCTTATTCCCATGAAACAAAACTTTATATATTTAATTAAAATCTATTCTTTCTGATGGATAATGAATTTATATTTAAAAGGAAACTTATATGCAAAAAGTTTTAATTATAACACCAATGCAGGTCTCAATTGAGTCTGAACTGTTTAGATAACAAACTCAAATGAGTCTTGGTTTAAAATTTTAGATAACAAACTCACCTGAGCCCTGATTAATAACAAACTCACCTAAGTCTTGGTTTAGATGTTGAAATAACAAACTCACCTGAGTCTTGGTTAAGGTGTTGAAATAACAAACTCAACTGAGTCTTAGTTTAGATGTTGAAATAACAAACTCACCTGAGTCTTGGTTTAGGTGTTTAAATAACGAACTCACCTGAGTCTTGGTTAAGGTGTTGAAATAAACTCAACTGAGTCTTGGTTAAGATATTGAAATAACAAACTCACCTGAGTCTTGGTTTAGGTGTTGAAATAACAAACTCACCTGAGTCTTGGCTTAGATGTTGAAATAACAAACTCAACTGAGTCTTGGTTAAGATATTGAAATAACAAACTCACCTGAGTCTTGGTTTAGGTGTTGAAATAACAAACTCACCTGAGTCTTGGTTTAGGTGTTGAAATAACAAATTCACCTGAGTCTTGGTTTAGGTGTTGTAATAACAAATTCACCTGAGTCTTGGTTTATTGTTGTAATAACAAACTCATCTGAGTCTTGGTTTATTGTTGTAATAACAAATTCACCTGAGCCTTGGTTTACTGTTGTAATAACAAACTCACCTGAGTCTTGGTTTAGGAGTTGAAATAACACTGACAGCATCTGGGTCCATTTCCTGGCCACTGTCACTCATGCTCTCTGCCAGCTCATCAATTAAGTCTTCGATGTCATCGTTTGGGTCCTGATTTGTGTCGGGGAACTCTTCTGGGTCTAATGACTGAAAAATAAATACGTCAACTTATTATCTCTGTATTATACCCTTCTTCTAAGTTTAATTGCATATGCAAAGATCCTTTCAAAAAAGTTATTTGCTTAATTGTAGGAATAAAGAGTTTATTTGTTTACTTTTATTACAAACTTTATTAGATTAAAGGATGGAGCCTTTTAGTACTGAAACAAAATAGAGATAAAGACAGTGTTTGAAACTCACCATTAAATTTACATGTATATAGCTAGTCATGCAGGGCTGGCTGCTAGTAAACATTGTCAGCCTTGCCAAAGATCTACTTGCCAGAAAAATTAATTGACTTTTTAAATGTATTTTTAATATACATGTTAAAGCATATTACTTTTTTTTTGTCTCCTCATATATTTTTTTTTCTTCGCTTTGTTATCCACCACTAGAAACCCTAAGAAGTTGCGTAACATGTTTAACACAAACTATGTTTACCTCAATCATAATCTATACTTTAATGAGAATCTTGATCCAAGTTTAAGGTTTACACTATTAGATTGATCAATCATTACGTGACTTGGACTCTATCAACATAACTTCATTTCTGATTAAAAAGATTTACGAGTTCAGTCCCTTTGGGTGTTAAATTTCACTACATGTATCAGTACAATTCATCAAATTGATCTAAATTCATTACGCAGAAATTTTAACGCATCCAGGAGGGTATCGATACGAATTTTTGCACCCAGCAAAATTTATGCATCTTGGGTGATTTACACATGGTTATTTCAAACACTGATATAGGCAAATCTGTATTACTCTTACAAGAGCAATTTTATGTCACTCTTTAAAAGGATATTGAAAATTTTGGTTCAAAGGTAAAATGTCAAAATAACTTTGGTGAATGTGTTTCTTCGTAAAATCAAATTTTTCAACATAGGAAATGAATCCCAAAGTACATGTATTTGTATGAAGTAGACATTTACATGTACATGATGTACCCCAACTAAACGAGGCTTGTAGCATGTGCCTGATAGAACAGGGGCTTGCTGTCTTAAGGCCTTCATCAGACTCCATCCTTTGCAAAGATTTTAGAGTTACTTAGATTTATCTGTTAAAAGCTTGAGTAAGAGAAGAAAGCAAGTGTTGAGTTATAAGCAAACCTCCTCTGTGATCTTGAATTTTCGAAGCAATGATACAATTTTCTGTTTAAAATTCCTCTGTTGCTGAAAAACAAAGAAATTAGCATAGCATACCTTTCCGACCACATCATTCTAATCTAATGTGATACTTAATTGTGAATAAGCCACTGTACATATATATTATATTGTGCTTACAATGTCCCCCAACATTCAATATGTTCCATAAGGCCAAAAAAATATCTTTAGTTTCTGGGGCCAAACTTTCAAAATAAGGCTAAGTAAAATTGAAATTATAGTTCTCAGGCCAATTTCCTTTAAAACAGATGAGGACAGAAGGCATTTTTTTCCAGCAATAAATTTTATGCAAAAGGCATTTTTTTCAGAATTTTCTATAAAAATAACAATGAAAATTCTTCCTTCATAGTTTCACTGGTGTCATTCAGTAGATATATTTAACTTCTCACAAAATTACCAAATATATACATTTTTTAAATTTTCCGTGAACAAAGTGTCCATGTTGAATGACTGTCAATGTCCATGTTTATCCATGTTTATACAAAAATACAATGAAGAATTTCAATGCAGCTACCTTAATATAGATGTGTGCACCGTAATTTCAATTTTATGTAGCCTAAAATGCGACAAGCACGTTTTTAAGCAAAAGCTATATTTTTTTAGTACTTTAAATTTGAAACTCAATAAACTTTAAAAAGTATTATCATAAGTATTTTTAAAATTATAATATTGAGTATCCATTAAAAAAATTTATGAAACATAGGTAATCAAAGATTACGAAGCTCACCTCGACGAACGTTATCTACATGTAAGGCAAATTTCACATCATATTTTTTTTCTAGTTAGGGTACATCCCAAGATCAATATCCATGCAAGTTTGATTTAATTATAGATCTGCTCAAAAAACTTTTGACCTGTTTAGTAATCAAGAAAATTTTGGTCAGTTCCAACATCCAAAGCAAGTCTGGAAGTTTTCATCCTTAGATGCACCATCTATGCAAGTTTTATCATAACAGGCCATAATATTATATAGCTACTCCAAAAAATTACCCTGGTCACTCATCTGGAAAATGTACGTCAGATTCAGAATCCAAGGCAAGTCTGGAAGTATCCATCCCTAGATACATCATCCATGCTAATTTGGTTAAAATATGGCTAAAATTCACTCATGTGGAAAATCTAGGTCAGATCCAGCATTCGAAGCAGATTGGTTAGTGTACATCCCTAGATGCATCATCCATGAAAGTTTGGACCAGGTAGGGCTTATAGTTACTTGGGAACGAGACTACTCCTAAATCTAAACCTGGTCTCACATGTGGAAAATCTAGGTCAGATCCAGCATCCGAAGCAAGTGTGGTAGTGTCCATCCCTGGATGCATCATCCATGCAAGTTTGGTCAAGGTAGGGCTTAGAGTTACTTTGGAATGGACCTGCTCCTAAAACTTTAACCTGGTCACTCATCCGGAAAATCTAGGTCAGATCCAGCATCCGAAGCAAGTGTGGTAGTGTCCATCCCTAGATGCATCATCCATGCAAGTTTGGTCCAGGTAGGGCTTATAGTTACTTGGGAATGGACCTGCTCCTAAAACTTTAACCTGGTACACATCTGGAAAATCTACATCAGATCCAGCATCTGAAGTAAGTGTGGTAGTGTCCATCCCTAGATGCATCATCCATGCAAGTTTGGTCCAGGTAGGGCTTATAGTTACTTGGGAATGGACCTGCTCCTAAAACTTTAACCTGGTCACTCATCTGGAAAATCTAGGTCAGATCCAGCATCCGAAGCAAGTGTGGTAGTGTCCATCCCTAGATGCATCATCCATGCAAGTTTGGTCCAGGTAGGGCTTATAGTTACTTGGGAATGGACCTGCTCCTAAAACTTTAACCTGGTCACTCATCTGGAAAATCTAGGTCAGATCCAGCATCCAAAGCAAGTGTGGTAGTGTCCATCCCTAGATGCATCATCCATGCAAGTTTGGTCCAGGTAGGGCTTATAGTTACTTGGGAATGGGACTTGCTCCTAAAACTTTAACCTGGTCACTCATCCGGAAAATCTAGGTCAGATCCAGCATCCGAAGCAAGTGTGGTAGTGTCCATCCCTAGATGCATCATCAATGCAAGTTTGGTCCAGGTAGGGCTTATAGTTACTTGGGAATGGACCTGCTCCTAAAACTTTAACCTGGTCACTCATCCGGAAAATCTAGGTCAGATCCAGCATCCGAAGCTAGTGTGGTAGTGTCCATCCCTAGATGCATCATCCATGCAAGTTTGGTCCAGGTAGGGCTTATAGTTACATGGGAATGGGACTTGCTCCTAAAACTTTAACCTGGGACGCCGACGCTAACGCCGACGCCGACACCGACGCCGACGCCGACGCCGGGGGTATAGCATAAGCTCATCTCGACTTCGTCGAGGTGAGCTAAAAAGGAAATACCTAAATTTTCTAGAGAAAATTGAGTTATCCCCCTTTCCATTATGTGAAGAAAATGGATCAATGCTGCTATGTTTGATTTAATGCAGGCAGTACCCGAGAAACTAAAGATTCTTTTTTGGCCTAACCCAGATATTCATAATGACCCTGCATGCATTATCCCCCTTCCCCTGACTTACGCTGACTCTTCCTCTAGCTGTGGCTACCCCTCGGGCCTGTGTTCGGTTGGATTTTCTTGCTCTCAGTCTTCCATCCTCGTCTAATGCCTCGGGATCACTGATGTCATCATTTGACCATTCTTCTTGATCGTCTTCATCGTACGATTCATTATCAATGTCTGGGGAACGATCTATAAAAAGTTTCAAGATATCAAATTTTTGTTACTAAGTCAAAAGCATGAACTTTGGGTTATCTCCCATGAGGATGTGATTTTTTTTCAGAAAGATAATACAGCGTTTATGGAATCAAAGAAACATTTCAAACTCACATATTCCAATCATACTGAAATGCACATATACTTTTGAGTTGTTTTTTCTTTTAATTAATTGAGTTAATCCCAGCAACCAAATTACTATAAACATATTACATTTGGCTGGGTATTCCTTTTAGTGCCTTTGGTGGAAAGCAACTTCCACTAATTCAAGTAAAAAGCTAAATGTCTTGCACATATACACATAAATAAGAATATTAAGAAATGCATTAAATCAAATCTAAACTAACTTGTTCAAAAATCAATTTCCGTCAAATACACGCTAAATATATTTACAATACTGTATAGGGGATTAATTTCACGGGTTGTAATTTTCACGTTTTTCTCTCCTCTGACACGATCGCGGTTTGTTGAATTCGCGGAATCGGTATATAATAAATGTTACATGTACCTCCCTTCAATGTCTATATCCGTTTTATCCATAGCATAGCTAGAACGACATTAATCAGCATTATGTATTCACTTCACAAACAACAGGGTAGATTTATATAAAATAGTTAGATTTAATAATTTACTGACGACTAACTAAAACAAGTGCAGTTATTAAAAGTCCTTGACTATAAACGTCAAATTACTTCCTATATGCTATTACGATGAGTACACCCCAAGATCTTCTTTCCCTGGGGATAATACATCGCGGCGAAAAACCACTGGACAGTAAGAAATGTGTTAATGTAGGACGACGAAGTAATATCTATCCAGATCATCAGCAAGTTCGATAGTTATTTGAATGATTTTTAAAAAACCAAAATGTCGATAAAAACATGATAATGCAGCTAACAAATACATGTGGTAATGTAGTTACGCACGGGTAATCAAAACCCATGACCCACGTGTTTTGATTGATGAAACATGTAGCGTTGGCTATTAAAACAGCTTTTTTTTTTTTTTTTACAAATACAGGTTATTATCTGCTGAATGATCTAAATTAAAGTAAAGCGTGATAATTAAAATCATTGAATGACAAGTACGATTCGTAATTACTGAAATGACCATGTACTGCACGCATAATTACCTATCGTAGTGTATTCTCAGATTTCCAAATATAACATGGAGGTTATTGAAAACTTATTCACTGTTTCTTGAATTCACGGATTTATTTACACCGTGAATATAGCGAATATTAACACCGCGAGTTATTTTCCCCCTATACAGTAATTGAAACTAGAAAATCTTGATTCATTTCTACTGGAATGTTCAACCTCACAACAACTCACCAACATCTGACAGAGTTGTCTTCCTCTGGCCATTCTCTGTGTGGTCCACAGGCTGACTAGACAGCTGTAACATGACCAGTGTGGCCAACTTCTCTGTGTTGTCTTTCTGATCACTGTACAGAGATAGGTCCTTATCATGTGTTCTCTGTAAAACCTAAACAGAAAGAAAGACCACCAGTTTATATCACTTTACTCAGACACATCCACTGTAAAACCTAAACAGAAAGGAAGACCACCAGTTTATATCACTGTATTCAAACACATCCACTGTGAAACCTAAACAGAAAGGAGGACCACCAGTTTATATCACTGTATTCAAACACATCCACTGTGAAACCTAAACAGAAAGAAAGACCACCAGTTTATATCACTTTACTCAAGACACATCCACTGTAAAACCTAAACAGAAAGAAAGACCACCAGTTTATATCACTTTACTCAAGACACATCCACTGTAAAACCTAAACAGAAAGGAGGACCACCAGCTTATATCACTGTATTCAAACACATCCACTGTGATACCTAAACAGAAAGGAGGACCACCAGTTTATATCACTGTACTCAGACAGGTCCACTGTAAAATCTAAACAGAAAGGAAGACCACCAGTTTAACTGTACATCATTTACAGAGACAGGAAGATCATGTTCTGTATAAACTAATCAGAAAGGATGACCACCAGTTTTTTTTTTTTTAATGTACAAAGATATATCACCAAGTTCATGAAGTTCTACAACTAAACAGGAAGGGAGGATACATCAAGTATCTTCCATAAAACCTGGGGTTTTGTTTACTTGTGTTCATATGATCCCTGATCAGGGTTTGGCTAAAATGTATCAAATTGATATTGTCCATAGCCAGGAAACAGGTTTTGCTAAAGTGTGTCAATTTCTTTTGGCCCCTGACCAGGGGATTTGCTTTTGTGTGTCATTTTGACAAGGTCCCTGGACAGAGTTTTGCTTATGTGATATCACAGATTTTTTTGTTAGGGGTTAATTTTTGTTGTTTTTGTGTTAAGAAGAGACCCATGGATTCATGTCTTCCACGTTAAAATTTCAAAGTACAGTATCATGTTAGTCTACCAACCAAGAAATTAAATCAGCTTGAATCAGTATTTTTTCAACAGACCACAAAAATTTGATCCCACAAAAATAAGTAACTTTACAGTATGTGTATCATGTTAATGGCTGCTTATATGTGTGATGTTGATGTGGCCCTGCTTATATGTGTGATGTTGATGTGGCCCTGCTTATATATGTGATGTTGATGTGGCCCTGCTTATATGTGTGATGTTGATGTGGCCCACTTGTGTGTTGACAAGGCCTGCTTTTATATATGTGTGATGTTGATGTGGCCCTGCTTATATGTGTGATGTTGATGTGGCCCACTTATGTGTGCTGACAAGGCCTGCTTATATATGTGTGTGATGTTGATGTGGCCCTGCTTATATGTGTGATGTTGATGTGGCCCTGCTTATATGTGTGATGTTGATGTGGTCCACTTTTGTGTGCTGACAAGGTCCCTACCCATGGTTTTGCTTTTGAGTCATATAAACATGGCCCGCAGCCAAGGATTTCCATACATTTATTATGTTAACATGATCAGGTTTTGCTTGCACATCATGTTGACATGATCCACAGACAGGGTTTTGTTCATGTGCCATGTAAACATGGTCCACAGCCAAGGTTTTGCTTACTTGTATCAAGTTGACATGGCCAGGTTTTGGTTACATGTGTCATGTTGATATGACTGTGTTTTGCTTACATATGTCATGCTGACATGACAAGGTTATGCTTACATGTGTCATGTTGACATGATCAGGTTTTGCTAACACGTGTCATGTTGACATGACTGGATTTTGCTTATATGTATCATGTTCACATGACTGGGTTTTGCTTACACGTCATGTTGACATGATAAGGTTTTGCTTACATGTGTCATATTGACATGACCAGGGTTTGTTAACATGTGTCATGTTGACATAACTGGATTTTGCTTACATGTTTCTTGTTGACATGACTGGATTTTGCTAGCATATGTCATGTTCACACGACCAGGTTTTGCTTACACATGTCATGTTGACATGACCAGGTATTGCTTACACATGTCATGCTGACATGACCAGGTTTTGCTTACATGTGTCATGTTGACATAACTGGTTTTGCTAACTCTTGTCTTGTTGACATGACTTGGTTTTCTTTAAATGTGTCATGTTGACATGTCTGGATTTTGCTTACACATGTCATGCTGACTTGACCAGGTTTTGCTTACATGTGTCATGTTGACATGACTGGATTTTGCTTACACAACATGTTGACATGAATGGGTTTTCCTTACATGTGTCATGTTGACATGGCCCACAGCAAGGGTTTTGTATCCTAGAATGGTCTTGTTTTTGTATTTCTTCCTTCTTTGTAACATCACTTGTAATTTGCAGTCTCTTTTTAAATAGTGTGGATACTGAAAAAAAGGATGTAAGTTCCATCATAGTATCATATATACCAAATATCACCTCATTAAAAAGAATGATATTTGAAAAAAAGGAAATTTTATTTCCAAACCTGAAGAGAAAACGTGAGGTCTAACTCTGTATCCAGTAAACCTCCAGGTGGTACAATGATTTCATTTGATCTCAAAATTCTCTTAGAATTCTAGAAAAGAAAAAGAGCATTAACTAGAAACTCATTGCGAGCAATGAGAGGTCTTCCGTCCAATTTTGAAAATAAAAACGTAAATTCAAGCTGAAAAGGTGATAAAAGAAATTCAGACACTCTGGAAATTTAACCCTGGTTGTCAGCGTGAAAATCCAACGTGCTAACCATTAACCATTCACTTTTTTGCATCACTTCCTGTCACGACCGGAAGTAACGGCGATACAAGATTTCTTCGCGATTCAAATAAACTGATGTCTGACCATCAGTTCTGAAAGTTTTAGACTTCAGTCATTTACTGTTGCAGAGCAATATTGAGAGAACAAATTCTAATTCTGAGGACAGGTAAACACGTGACTGGAAGTGAATTTTATAAAAAAAAAAAAAAAAAAAATCTCTGACGTTTCTCTATACATTTGCAGTATCTACAAAATGCATAAAAACATTTCAAGTACTTTATCGATAAGCAAAATTTATGAGAAAGTTAAATATCAAAAAAACGTAGTTTATCACCTAAAACCGGAAGTTGCCGTTTTTGTTTCCGGTGGAATCTAACATATTTCAAAACAGCGAAAGAGATGCAATAAAGTGATGCAAACTTTAATTTAAAAAAGAAAAGTTAAATTTTTTGGTTTCTTTGATCACTTCCTGTGACGACCGGAAGTTACGACGGACGCGTTTCACCAAAATGGTTTTGCGTACTCCTCAAGGTCTGCTACTCATAAAAATTTGGTGTTTTAATCTTTTACCTGTTTTGGAGATCTCGCTCAGACAATTTTTCATTTTGAGGACAGAAAAACACATGACCGGAAGTGAATTTTTGAAAGATATTTGAAGTTACTCTAGACCTCTGCAGTCTGAATAACATATTTAAAATTCATTTCAAATACATTATCTATGAAGAATATTTATAGCAAAGTAAAATACTCAAATTTTGTAGTTTTTCTCTTATAACCGGAAGTTGTCGTTTTCGTTTCCGGTGGGACCAACATCTTTCGAATCTGCGAAAAAGATGCAATAAAGTGATGCATATTTTAATGAAAAAAAGAAAAGTTGAAATTTTCAATTTCTTTGATCACTTCCTGTGACGACCGGAAGTGACGACTGACGCTCTGAACCCAAGTGGTTTTGGCTACATCTTAAGGTCTGTTGCTCATATAAGTCTGGTGTCTTAATCTCTTATCATTTCTGAGATCTTGCTTAGACAACTTCTCATTTTTAGGACAGAAAAACACGCGACCGGAAGTGAATTTTTGAAAGATATTTGAGGTTACTCTAGACATTTGCTGTCTGAATAACATATTTAAAATTCATTCCAAATACTTTATCTACAAAAGATATTAATGGGAAAGAAAAATACTCAAATTATGTAGTTTTTCTCTTATAGCCGGAAGTTGACGTTTTTGTTTCCGGTGGGACCAACATATTTCAAAACTACAAAAGAGATGCAATATTGTGATGTAAGAATTGATTTAAAAAAAGAAAGTTGAAATTTAACGATTTCTTTGATCACTTCCGTAAGCGACCGGAAGTGCCGACGACAGACGAAAAGGTGCCCTCTCCAATCTAAAAATCATGTTCTATCATCTCTAACAAGTCTCCAGTTAATATCTTAAGCCATTCTTGAGAACACTCAAGGACAAAATTGCATTTTAAAATCAGAAAATTGTCCATAACTTGGCTCTGGAACCGAATTTACCAAAAAACGGAATTTTATATAAAATTCATATAAAGACCTTTTATCCCTGAAAATTTCAAGGAAATTCATTGAATAGTTTTCGAGAAATCGCGTGCACAAAATTTTGTCTAAAAAAAAAAGAATAATAATAATAATAATAAGAAACAATAGAATCACTATAAGGTCTTCCGTGGAGACGGAAGACCTTAATAATACATCTATCTTAATTATTATGTACATGACAAAACTCAAAATTAACTTAAACTGGTCTAAAAACAGGAATTAACTTAAATGGCAGTACATGTATTTTTATTCCAGGAAAATAGGAATTCTTTATTTGTGAAATAGTGAAGAGTCTTGATCATGTCAAACAAATCTACTCAAGAGACATAAGATTTTAAATCTTCCTTAATGCCAGTGTATGAATTTGATAGTTTTATTTTAACATGTAACAAAATTAAAGAGTCTTGTTATATAGAAAAAATATTACAAGGTTACCCTCAAGGCAAGGTAAACATGAAAGTACATCAAATGACTCAGTTATTTTCATCACCACAGTATCTAAGTTACATATACTTGTATATCTATCTAGGCAATACAGAATCTTAAACTACTGTGTGTCCCTAGATGTATCTATCATCCATATATGTTTGGCCAGGGTAGGGCTCATAGTTACTTGGGAATGAACCTGTTGAAAAACATGAACATAGCAAGACACCCTGAAAATATAGGCAAGGTGATGAATTTGAAGCATAACTGGTAAAAAAACTATGAAACGTATCTTGATCTGGCCTTGATCTGGCCTAGATGTACCCTCCCTGCAAGTTTGGAAATGGGCCTCATCCAAAACTGGAATACCTAGTCTCCAAGCATTGCCAAAGCATGTCTCAACTTTGTTGATGTAGGCTACTCAGGGTTTGGTGAAGCATATGGCTCAGTGCTTATTTGGTCAGTAACCCAAAGGTAGCTGCTTCAAGACCTGATGTGGTCACTTGATGTTGTGTGCTGTTTCCTTAGACAAAGCACTTTTAATTATCTACATTGTCTCAGTTCACCAAGCTGTAATGCATACTGGCTTACACTGGAAGTTAACCTGTAATGAGCTGGTGTCCCATCCAGGGGGAGTCAGTGACTCTCATCCACTTAGCACCACAGAAACTAAGTTTAAAAACTGGCCTTTTGAGCCTCGTGGCTAAGACAAGGATTTAACTTTTTTTTATTTTAACTTAAGGCTTATATAAATATAAATCTATACAAACCTAATTAACTGTAATTCTTACAATATTACATTTGTTGAACCAGAGTAAATAAAGTGCATGTGTGAACTAAATGATGCTGCAACTTAGGGGAGGGGGGGATAATTAAGTGCACCCAGTAGATGACTATAAATTTTAGTCTTTTTAACATACTGAAAGAACAACATATAATTTAAAACCATAGTGTATGTATCAGATGTTTTATGTATAAAAGGTTTGCTAAAGCCACTACAAGGAGAATTTGCTTTTTTTAAACCATAGAGAGTAAACAGATATACCAATTTGTGTGAAATGACACAATATACAATGTATTACCCACTAAGATAGAATATACAAACTGGACACTGGTTATCCCATCTATAAATCAATACCAGAAAGTCTCAGATAGGATTGAAACATTTACCTGAAAAAGACCTTGTCCTTCTTAAAAAGTATACACAAAAAATGAGAAACTGACAAGTCTTGATTGACACATGTACTCAGCACATGTCATTTCAAGCTTTCAACGACCTATTAAAAGTGTGGTAAGAATGCAGCTATTACAGTTCCTTGTGTTATTATGAGTTTTCTAATCCTGATAGTTCATAAAAGACACAATCCAATGAATCTGACTGAAAATAAAATAATGTCAGTCACAGAGAGCATGACAGCATTAATTACATTTATTATAAACTTGATCTTGAGTGTAATCATATGATCATGAACTAAAATTACAGGAGCAGGGCTGTCCCTAAGAATTGAAAGAGCAGGGGACATTTAAGAAGTAGCTGGGGGTATGGGGTTGAGGGGGAATACCAGAACAACCAGGGGATTATGTCAATATAGGTGGGGAAATTCCCTGGCCCCCGGGTCTTAGGGACAACCCTTCAAGAGGTGCTACAACTATCTCTGTTAAGACAGTATTTCAGATTCTATGAACTTTTTTTCACAAACAAGTTCTCAATGTTAGGGTAAAAGTGAGATTACACTTAGAAAAAAAATTGATAGCCTTATGCATACAGAAAGAGGTTTTTTGAAAGCAAACATCTATGTGGGACAAAAAAAAATTTGAGATTCAAGATTGGTAAATGTAGGATTTAGTTTTGTTATTACTAATCATGCTAATAAATCCAATATTGATTCACTTTTAGCAATAGAATATATATGTTTTATATTTCAATAATAATTTAATTACTTATGTGAAAGGAGTTTTGCATTTATTCAAAAATCTTTTCTTGGTAATTGAAAGTAAAAGGTGTAAAGGAAGTTGATCTGAATATGTATATATGGAGACAGTGAACTTTTCCCTGTGGAAAACAAGGTCTACTTCCTGATTGTGATCACAACATTCTTTTTTTATGTGCATCAATATCAAATCTGCCATACAAGTTAATTTGTTGCCTAAGGTATATATAGTAGTAGGAAGTTTAAATTATTGGAAACCAAGATGTGTTTTGAATTTATATTTTCATTACACCAAGCACAACATAGTTTTTTTTTTAAGTACTGACACACTACATCATGAATTTTTTTTTTCAAGTAAAGAATACTCCTGCTATATAATATAAGCTCCCTAAAAAATGTAAACATAATTCCATGAAGAAATAGCAACAAAAGTTGAAAAAGTTTATTAGAGTACTAATGTCAGTCAACCACATCTTAAAATTTTCTTTGGCGAAAAATATATGCTCCCAGTTTAACTTAAGTTAATTATTTTGGAGAAATATATGATTACTTTGGATCAACTTCAACAGTTCCAGCACAATCTCTTGATTTAGCTATATAGCTTGATTTAGCTATATAGCTTTATTAAGCTATTAGGAGTAGCTTGATTTAGCTATTTTACCATACTTTTTTCTTAAATATGTTATTTTCTCAGCATGTACAAAAAGTCGCACCTTGGTGCAGTGATAATATTCAACCTTGAACTCTACTGAAAATTATACAATTAAAAATCACTCATCAAATTGCGTCTCCTAAAGAGACTTTGTACTCAAAGTTCTAAATGTTTTGGGGCTATATAAAGCAAGTGAAACAGTTACTTCTTCAATGAAATTATAAAGGAGGCCAGTTATGGTCAACAAGATAATTGACTGGTAATAATTCAATACAATGAGAAGCAATCACACTTATCCATGCCTCAACGCACACAAGGTAGTGTACAGTTACTCAAACAATGGAAATTCATCTTTTGCTTAAAAGTATTCAAAAGCTGCAATGTTAGAACTATTTTTGATTTCGATTGGTGTTTTCATAGCCCATCAGGGCTCGACATTAACTTTTTTTCCTACTTGTCCATTCGGACAAGTGACCAAGACATTTACTTGTCCGAACTTCAACTTCACTTGTCCGATTTTTTTTCAATAAAGATCTAATACTGTCAATTGGAAAACTAAATAAAATCCATTATATGTGCGTGATGTTATTTATAAATACAACAAACACTTAAAACAAAATTTTATCTAGACTTTTTGTCCTGACAACAACATCAATGTTCACAAGTGAAACTGTCAACATAAATTCGTAAGTTCCATGCCTTTGCGTATGCAATAAGTGAACTTCGATCCCGATCGAAGGTGAACTCAATAACATGGCGAATCATAGCGGGATCGAAGTTCGGTTTTTATGTACTGTTTCCGTATCTAAAGTACCGGTAAACTTTCAAGTCATTCTTTAATTATTTGGAAACTTCTTTATATTAAAATGCACTTGTCCAATCGGACAAGTGCCCAGCAATATCCACTTGTCCGTAATTTTTTTTCATTGGTACCGGACAAGCGGACAAGCGTTAATGTCGAGCCCTGCCCATAGTACATATATGCATAGTCAAATATTTACAACTTTTTATTTTTTACAAAAAAAGTTTTTGTGAAAAACTGCATAGAAATAGCTTTATCAAGCTATTTTGAATAGCTTAATAAAGCTATATAGCTATTTCAAGCTATATAGCTAAATCAAGAGATTGTGCTGGACCTGTTCAATATTATACTATCGATATATATATAATAATATATGTATTATGAAATTCATATTTCAGTTTCTCACCTGCATTTTAACAGCAATAATCACGGAATTCAGATCATTTTCCAGTGATTTATGTATGATAAGTCTGCTCAACGTGAGGGTACATAACCTGTAACACAACCGAAAAAGTGGTACAGAATTATTCCAACTTTTCCCACCCTTCTGTCAGTGTCATTGGGGCACAGTAAAAAAAAATTACAAGCTTGCGATTTTAAAATCAAGATTGCAATGCAGAGAGAATGTCAAAATAACTTCAAGAAAATACCTTGGAATACAACTTGGGGCTGTTTTCTCCACCTCCAAAACAGCGAAGAATTTCATAGGCACAGGTTTTGTGCCGATCCCCATCGTTTTGGCAGACTTCTCCGCCATGTTTATTTTTAATTAAATTTGCGCATGCTCATTGAATGGCTCTTCGAGTAAGATATTTCGTACCAAAACTGTTTCATAGTATGCCCCTGATTGAAAAGCGAGAGGTATACATGGTATATAGTGATGGGGTGTCCGTCCCTCCGCCCGTAAGCCCTTCTGTACAGTAATGTCCGTAACACTTGGGAGTACCCATCTCTTATCTGCAACAATAATAATAATTTACAGGGTTGCAAAACAGGGACCTATAATATTGGTCCCTGGTTGCAAATAATTTTGTGAGCTCAGTCCTGACAGTACCTCAAGTTTTCTATTAGTCTATTGGATAAAACAGAATGGTTAGTTTTGTCTCTTTCAAAATGATAAATATATAACGACATAAATCTTTTAATAACTTAACCAGTTACCATTTGATTCTGAATGGAGGGGAGGGATGCTGTGGGAGGCTAATTTTTTCGTGTAAGATTATTTATTATTATGCCAGTGAGAGACAGATTATTTATTTCCAAGATAATCACGGACAAATTATTTATTTTCTTCTTCACTGGAAAAAAAATTGACAAACAAAAAAGAAGGGGACTCAAAAACTCTTTCACGTGTTTATGCGGGGAGAGGGGAGCATCAGACAAGTACAGGTTATTTATTTTGTCCAGTTGAGGACAAATTATTTATTTTAATCAAACAGATATTTATGTCTAAAATTTTCCGGTCGCCATCCCTCAGAATCAAATGGCTGTACCCCCCCCCCCCAAAAAAAAAAAACATGTTTTCAAATTTAAAAGGTAATAACTATTTTTTTTTTTTTTTTACAAGAATTTGTAATAGGAAAGCAGAAAAAAATATGAAATAGAACTCTCTGTATTAATGGCCAGGTGCTCTAACCATAACCACTGAGTTACCCAGCCCGCGATATCCACCGCATATAACCCCAATCATTACATTCTTCCCTCCTTAAAACGTAACACCTCCGCACTCAAAGTTACACAACCCAGATTCTCTAGCTCCTGAACGGGATTTTTGCGTTTTTGCAATATTCTTTATCGGAGGCTTGTTAATTATTTTTTGTTTATTGAGAATTCTCAAAGTTTTATGGCAGCAGGGCCTGAAGATTAAGGGTCATCCCTACAGATCGAAGATATCTCAGCTTCACTCACTCTTTCTTTGCCGGAGTCTTCCCCCCCCTCTCTCTATCTCTGCTAAATTAGCAGCCACTCCCACGAACTAACTCACGTCTCCCCTATTTTTTGATCGAAGCGGAAAATCTGACAAAAGAACTACTCACGCTAATTCTCTATTCCCCACTACATTTTGACATTTTACGACACACATCAACAGTAACTGAATGGCAATTTGGCAATTAAAACTTTTTGTATGAAAAGAAGAGTTCATTATTAATTGATAGACAACTGAACTTTAATACCAGTGTCAGTTAATTGCTATAAGTTACAACTCTTTTTATTATTAAAAAAAAGAGGAGGGGGGTAGAAAAATTTATCCAACGAAATCAGGCTTTGAAACATCTCCAAATTTTTCAATACTCATGGATATATGGATAAATGATCCTTCAATCTTTCCATAAGTTTAACATATGTAAAATGAAAGATATAATATTGATAAGATAGAATTTTTAGTTGCAATCTCAATTGAAATTGGTAATAAAATCAACATTTTCAATACGTTTTTGTTTTTAAATATATTTCCAGTTCTCCATTGATTTCTATAGTGAAAAACACTTGATTATAGAGTTATCTCTCTTTGTGTTCCCAAATAAGTTATAATTTATAAATATTTACGGTATATAAATTCAAAAAATCATTCGAGTATGTTAACTTCTGAAAACTGACTTGGAGGTAGGCAGCAGAATTTAACACTAACATTAAGAAATTATCAATTTCTGTCAGCATCAGATGAGCGTATAAAGATTTTTGCAATGATAAAAATAAGTACATATACATTTACGTAAGAATATCAAATATATATACATGTATATGCCCTTCAATCAATCAGCCATGAGGAGGCTCATTAAGTCAGATATGTTTTAGAATTATCAGATATTACGTTTTGGTTTTTATTCCAATACAAGATAGAATGGTCAGTAATGGATATGTCCACTTACGACCAGCCCCTGTCCGATATGACCGGTCAATGGGCGGTTCTTTGGTGTTTCATCGTGCAATCATGACACGGACGTCCGGAAATTGTTCACAACCACTCCGGAAGTGAGATCGATGCAGGTTAGGTCGCCCTGGTGTGGACACCGGAACTCATTAGAGGTTACTTCGACCCAGTAACAGGTGCCCGTCAGACACAGCTGTCGTACGAATTATTGACATTTTGCTTCAATTTTTTTTCTTGCATCATGTTAAGAAAGCATATTGGAATCGCCAGTTTCATCGTATACAGACCACGCGATAACTGCCAAAATACGTAGCCAAGGAATGTGATTGAAATCGAATTATTACTTTTCCTTTCCTACGTAGCTAGCAGGGTTACAACGCAAATGTAATAACGACGCAAAATGTAATAAACTAGGATTATTACACTTTATGTTATTATATTTTACATCCAGATTGACGCAAAATGTAATGACATGTTTTGGTTTATAAAATTTTGCATCGAGATTCACTTGAACTTAGACATCATTGTCAACTGCATGATTTAAATCATATTTCCCGATGTTTCAAAAATCTGTCAACGTATATAAAAAAAAAACTGTCTTTAAATATATTCACATTCTGTGTTCCTTACATACTGTGTTGAGTTCATTCCATTCTGTGTTATTACATTTTGCGTTGGTTTTGACGTAAAATGTAATAAACGCTGTTTATATCTAAATAAAAATGCCTTCTTATTCTGGAGCGAAGGAGATTTTAATGTTTTTGATAAAAATATTCATATTTGAGTCCCCTTTACAAATGTATTGTGACATTTTCTGTCTTTATGTTTTTTTATATCCCATGCAACGGAAAAAATATTTTATTACATTTGCGTTATTACATTTTGCGTTGCTCTCGACACATAATATGTAATAAAGCTAAATGTAATATTCGTTGATTTTCAAATGCTACATTTCAAATTAAAATAATATTACGTTTTCTTTACATATGGAAGTTAGTTCAAATAATTTAGTTAATTTAAAGAAACATATTCTTTGCTGCAAAATGTTGGTTGATATTCATAGTTTGTGATTTTGAACCTCTCTTTGCGTTCCCTTTGTTATAGTAAAGAAAAATGTTCCGTGAATCCAATCTGTCGAGCTCATTAACGTGGTGGAAATAGCAGTGGAACCCCAAAGAAGCCGATTATAGGAAGCTAGACGTCAGAAGTGTTAGAAATGATGAGAAATCTCTTATAATCTGGCCCAATTATTTCACTGGTTTACAGCATTATTATACAAACCCGTTGAACTAATAGTACAGCGTAGTAGAAAGCAAAAAATATGCAGACATTGAAAGAGAAATAAGAATACTTCGTGCAGGTTACTCTGATTTTGGCAGTGTAGAATAGAAAGTTGAACAATCTACCAAGATTTTCCTATAGAAAACATAATAAGTTTATCGCACCTTCAGACGCTCGAGCTATCGGGAACACCAGACATAAAGATTTTCCTGCTTTGTTATAAGTGAGTATTTCCCGCTGAGCGTGTTAAAAATCACCTTGTTTTTGGTTATTTTGTAATATTTCAAAAGTTATCATCAAAGAAAATTATCAAATGGATGTTGGTTGTCCGTTAAGTTAATGCCTTTTTGCAAACATCAATTTTAGAAAAAATATGTGTAGATTGTCTAGACTTGTGTATGAAGAATTTGGAATAAAACTTTGACAGGCAATCTCGAGTTCTTTGCGCTTTCGCTTGTATATATTGTGATAAAATCTGCATAAATCTTCAGCTTTCCTTAAAATATTTTGTTTCTTAACACCTGATAGAATCCAAGTTAGTTTACAACCGCGTACCTGGCATTTTAAACGTGTAAGCGTTACTCCTCTTTGAATGTTTCAAAAATAGGACACTTTACAAAGCTCTCATTGATACCAAAAACAGAATATAAACCGGGGAGAGACGATATTTTTATTAGATTTCAACGATCCTATAATTGTAGAAGACTGTTTTTTCTGATGTGTATTTTTAGCATGAAATGGTATACCCCAGAGTGTGGACGCCTCACCCTTCCAGGAATCGCCTACCCGTTATTTTGTCCTTATTTATTCCACAAAAACAACAATAGAACATAAATTTATTTTGCGGGGGTGGGAAAATATGCATGTGTCTGTCACGAAAAAGAGTTGGCCATTCTTCAATTGAAACAAAATGCCTCAACTTGCGAGAGAATTGCGGGGTCCGCTTTCTTGCACAATATACTAAGAAAAATATATCACACTCGGAAAGCCAACAAGAACGGACTTCACAGTCAAGTTCCATTGAACTACCCGATCCAATCGATCACATACCCCACGGAAGTTGTTTGTTGTTATACATTGTGTGTACTTATTTACTGTTTCGTCAATCGACAGATCGACTTTTTCCTTTCTATGTCATGTTTGCCTATCCGTGGTGGCAAATTCACGTGGATTCTGTCGCTGAATCATATACACCCCTGGGTTCGTTGTTGGCTTAACCAATTTGTCTTGAATGCGAAGGACAGGAGCACCAAAAGTGGTATAACGGTGGACCTTCAACCATCTAATTAGAAAAGTAAACTTTTGTGTGACTAATCCATGACGTCTGATATTTAATATTAGACTAATCCCTTAATGGATACTTGGCTTCGGGAGAGTGTTCGACTCACATACTACTTGGTCATTTCTGACATTGGAACATTTAAAACAGAATTACAGATATATGGTGTCAACACGTTTGATCAAATAATGTTGAATGATGTGTAACATTTGAATAAAGTCAGTTTCCTGGAGGTAAATGGTAATTAGCCCTCCCCTCCTCCCACTCAGGTCCGGAAGTGACGGACAATTAGTTTGTTTCAATTGTGCATCAAATTCTTCTTCGGACAGATTTTTGTCAAAGTAAACAAACTTTAAATTGTTCATTTACTTCTCTTAAACAAACCCCCAAAAATTATTATTCAACCGAGCAAAGTTTTGGTTCATACTTGGAAAAAAGAAGATTGCATCAGGTCCTCCCCTGGTGACGCCCTTAGCGAAAGACACTGAACGACCTCAAAACTGGCTCCGGGGTCATAAAACTTAGACGAGCTCACTTTTGATCTCATTCTCACTTTTCTGCTATTAATTTCTTTGTTAAAAGTGAGACTGACATCAAAAGTGAGCTCGTCTAAGTTTTATGGCCCCGGAGCCTGGTGACGCCCTTAGCTAAACGACCTCGAACCTTGTGACGACCCTGGCGAAAGACGCTTATATAACGACCTAGCGTCTAACAAAAGTAACACATAGAATAAGTTAACATGCGACATAGATGTCCTTGAAAACACTTTCTTCTTTGATGTCTATATTTGTCAGTAATGTGATTTTTTAAATAAGAATATTTAGGTGGGCAGGTGATAGGGTCACATAAGAGACTCTTGACAGGTGAAAATTGTCCTCCGATGTGGAGACCACAGGCACACATTTTCCGTCAATCGAATTTTAATTTTAAAGATACTGTTTTGTTTCATCTTTTCTTGTAGACCAATTCCATGTGTTAACTGATATGACAGCTTTGATGTCAATGAGCAACTGGTACGTTCCTTTGCCAGTTTATATCAAAATAACGATTACTCAGATCACCAGTGTGTAAATGTCGTCATCTTGAATGATTATGTGCAATTCCTGTGTTCTAGCAGATAAAACTAGTAGATACACAGAGCAAGTCTGCCATCTTGTAACACGTCTAGACACTTCACAGCTGCTGGGTCTGATCTTACACAGGTAAAAACAACCACAATATACTTTGGAAAAAATATTTGTGACTCTTTTTTAATTGATGTTTTCATGAAAATTAATAATATAATAATGTCATAACAAATATGTACAACCAAACATTTTTTCTATAAATATACATTATATGTACATTAAACCAATCACAGACAATGGGGCATTCAAGTGAGACATGACAGGACAAGGCTAATGGCTGTATCTATGAAGGTCAAAAAATGTAGTTTTTCTTCTCAAAATATGTGATCAATTGTTTTCTGTTACAATACAGAGATTAGATATGACAAAATGATTGTGGAATGCTTATTAAGCACTTTTTTCAGTAACAAAATATAAAAAAAACCATGATGTTAACATTTTTGTCATCCATTGAGTTATGCGAAAATTCACAAGATGTGCAAACAATGTAATTGACAGCGGGCTTGGCCCAGGTGGAATGGTAGGTGAAGCATCGGGAAGTCCACAAACCGATTTGTTCATTTTCAGAGAAAAAAAAAATTGATCAGAATAGAGGATCGGGCTCAGGATTCAGAAAATTATTAACACAAAGAATTTTAGACATAAAAAATTTCAATATAAAAGCTCATACAAAAATGCCCTATATAAATTTCGCATGATTAACTGGACTGGAAGAGACCAATACTGTTTTAGACAAATAAATTACATAACATTAAACACATTGGTTTGCCACTATATATATTATGCACATTTCATATAGCTACACCTTGACTAAAGACAATAGTGTACAGAAATTTCAACATTACTTGAAGCATTGGCAAAACCAGATAACACAACAATGCACACTTATTAGCTTGCAATCAAAAATTGACACTCATTTTTAATCGACTTCTGTTTAACAGACATACAAGCACTCCTCACATTCAAGGTCATTGAAACAAGGTCATTGTAACATGGAGGGACTAAATATCACATGGCAGTGCCTGCACTCATTTTTTCCCACCAATTTTTTTTTCTGATATGAATTCCATTCTTGGCTGCAGATGGCCTGCACTGGATAATCAAACTTTAGATGACAACATCTCAATCGGGAAAAAGCAAACAAAAAGTATGCCCAAGCATTGCATAAAATAGCAAACAGACTTGCAGCCTAATGTTGAAATTAGTTAAAAGTATGATTATCAGTTATACAAAACAATTGTCTTGGAGACAGTTTCCATAGTAACAGCCCGTATTCCTGGCATTAGAAATACTGAAGGCACTTGATAAATTAATCCAATGAAGCACAGTGCTTTTTGTGCGTTATGTGCGAGCACATCACGTGATATGATGTATTGCAAAAAAAAAATTGGTCAAATAAAGAGAAGCCAGGGAGAATGTCACACTTCCGTGGCGAGAAATGAATGTCGATGCACTGACGGGTGATCAAGTAAAACTGTGGAATTTCTGTCTGCGTCCCTCTGAAACGCCTTAGACTTGCCTATTGTGTGAATAGTCGCACTGTGGTCATAACTGAAACAAAAACAAAGAAACCATGAGCAATATGAAAAAAAAGATCAAAACTGTCTTCTTTGGAAAAAAGGTAAGAAGAAAAATTTATCCATCTTGGCTAGCAAAGATGCATACAAATAGAGTACCGATTTTCATCATTTTATTGAGAATATAAAAATATTCTTTAATAGTCGTGAAATACGTACCAATTACTACTATTTTCATTATTTGATGATTTCATTAGGCTGCTGGAACCTCCACCCCTTGCAGCGTCAGGGTCATAATTATACTTCTCCGCCGAAGATGTCGAAGAAGATTTTGTAAATTGTTCATGATGAAGATTTAAGTCTTTTGTGTTTAATAAAATCTTATTATTAGATTTATCAGGAGTCAGGTTCCCTCCTGATGCACTATAATTATTAAAGTCATTCTGTTTTTCTGAATTGGTCAATTTGCCACTGATTGTCGATGATGTTGTGAAGATGGTGGAGTCTGAAAGTTTATTGTTGATGGTATTAACCACATTTTGCTGGTGCTCTTTACTGGTGTCCAGCCTCTCAGCCGGATTGTTGCGTTTGCGAAGTAAAAGGAAAATGACGACAATGATGATGAGAAGAAGGGGAATTCCCGCCCCAAGGCAGACAATTAGGACCAACTGAATCATGGTGATATCCTCGGATTTCTCTGTAGATGCGAGTGCCGAGGAATTTACGGTTGGTTGAGGTTTGGGTGCTTGGGTGTTGGGCACCTGTCCGTTGGAATACTGGCAGTTGTTACCATAAAATCCTGAGACACACAAGCATTCATAGTATCCAACAAAATCTGTGCACACACCACCATTCTGACATGGACTGCTGTTACATTCGTCTATGTTTATGGAACAGTCCTTTCCTTCCCAGCCTGTTGCACACGTGCATCGGAAATCATTCACTTCATCGTGACAAGTTCCTCCATTTGCACAAGGATGACCGTCGCAATCAGGGACATTCTCCTGACACAACTGTCCCACAAATCCGGGCCTACATTTGCAGGTAAAGTCATTGTCCCCATCAATACAGGTGCCATTATTGTAGCAGGGATTATTTACACAGTTATCAATGTTTTCAGAGCATGTAGGTCCCTTATACTCGGCAGTGCAGATACATCGAAATCCATTCACTTCATCAATGCAGCGGCCACCATTATGACAAGGACGCGAAACACACTCATTTCGTTCCACATCACAATAAAATCCTGTGAAGCCCTCCATACACTTGCACTGGTATACCCCATCCACTTCCATACATGTTCCGTTATTTAGACAGGGGTTAGTTTCACAGGAACTTCCCATGATGTCACATCGTCTTCCAGTAAAACCTTCTGGGCAGTCACACACAAAGCCCTCACCAACAGTCTGGAATTTAGTAAGACAGGTTTTTATTTGTTTATGAAGAATTTATAAAAATAAATAATCATTTTCCTCAATTAAATATTTTTTTGTATTTGAGTTAAATTAATCTGAATATGTTTTACATTACTTAAGTTTTCTTCTATTAATTTTTATAAAATATAAGGGAGATAACTCCGTATCTCCCTGGAGCAGGTGCCCCCTGATGACCTACCTTACAGGTGCCTCCATTAGCACAGGGCTGTTGTTCACAGTTATTAACCTCCACCTCACAGTTTGTCCCCATGAATCCGCTGGGACAATCGCAGGTGTAGCTACCTTGACCAGTATTCTTACAGATTCCCCCATTTCTACAGGGTGAGTGGTGAGTGCAGTAATTCAAATCTACAAAACAAAACAAGATTCATCATTCTACAATTCTGATATTATATTCTGCCAATTTATTAGCATTTTCAGGAAAAATACAAAATTGATCAAGCAAAGAATCATTTTAAAGAATACCAATAATAAAGAATTTTCAAGAACAACATATTTTCCTTGAAAAAAAGAAAAGGAACCATGAAAGCTATGGAATGTAAACTGTAATTGATATCTATTGTAGAGGAAATAAATGTGTTGAAAAGGATGTTTTTTGTTCCTCTATTGATAACTATAACTGGTACCTTTTTTATGGGTAGCCATTTAATCAGCCTATTACTGACTGAATGAGGCAATTTATCACCAGAGAATCAAAAGCTTGTGTGTGTGTATTTTGTGTGTAATATATATTTTCCTTTCAGTATCAAATATGCAATAACAATTAAACGATCCAAATGTTGTTAATGAAGAGAGTGTCTAACTGCTCAATAGCGGCGATAGAACGGCCATGTGATTAACGCAGTCTTGGGGTTGGTTCAATTATGGCCACATCGATATAATAGGTCTCTATGTCCCTAGCCGTGGCTGTCGTCAATACCCTTTTAGACGATATCCTCTCATTAATTATCACCCAAAAGGCCACAATACAGCCATCTAATTTCACAACAATTGTACAGAACAAGAGTTAATGAAACTGTAAACATTGATTTCACTAAATTAAACTCTCTCTCTCTCTTCCCTGCTTTGTACAGAGCTGCCATTTTCTCCAATATGTTTTTTAGCACTACAGATAAGGCAGACGACAGATTTTACCGTTCTCTCAAAAAGCGGAGAAAAATATTGCAGCTGCAGTAGTGATGTAATATTGTCTGATAAATTTTGAAATTGTGTAACATTATTGTCTGTGATAACATTGTGGTGTCAGTTGCTATGTGATGTAATCGTCACCTTGGTTACAGAACAGTCCTCCCCAGCCCTCTTTGCAGTTACACTGCCATGGCTCGGTGCAGGTTCCATGCAGACATCCTGGATACCGAATGCATGTATTACAGAAGATTCCCTCGTACCCCGCCCGACATCTGAAAAAAAAGAAAGTGTTTAAAAATTTCCTTACATATAAGACACCTACGGTGAAGGACTGAGTGTTCCACTTGAATGAACATTGTCACGAACTGTATCAAATGATGTTTCAGCTGTTGGGAAATATTTATTATTCAGCTACATGTATATTGTTATAGAATTAAAAAGGCCACAACCCACATTAAAGGGGAATAAAGGTTCTCCTTTTAATTATTTAAACTCATAGACCCTTGCGAAAAGCCGATAACGGTGCAGTTTTTCAGTTATATTTTGTATCAATATTGACTGAGAGACTTTTCTTAAGAACGACAAATATCTGACATCGATCTGCAGAAGCTGCCCTGACTCAGCTTATAATGAACTTCATAAGAATTTCAGCGCACGGACCAAATAAAATAAGAAATTGTGAGGAGTTCTTCAGAAAAAACTGTTTATCAGAGAGGGTCATCTAGACACCAAAGAATATTTGACCTATCCTTACTGACAGACGTACAGTATAGAAAAATCTATGTAGCAGCTGTCCTTCCACGCGGCGGACATGGCTAACCATCTATATCTGTGTTAACAATCTTCTCCATCTGTATTACGATTCTCTTTCTTTCCTGTATACCTTTGATGGTTTATATTTTACATACGTCGCCTTGTTAAGGTTTGGTGTCTATTTATTAATGACTTGTCTGTAGTAAGTACTTACTGGCATTCATTGGGCTTGTCACAAATCCCGTGATCAGGGTGGCAGCCGGGCAGACATACAGCTGGAAAAAAAAGAGAACAACAAAATTAGGACCCACATGGCTTTAGTATACCCCCATCATCCGGAGACCGGCTCATAAAACAAGCCGGAACTCCGTATTATTCCCGCTAATAAAGAATCTACGCATCACTGACCTATAATCAAGGCAAAGTTTTATTTCAAGTTTTTCCTGAGCGGGTAATGAACACATCCTATGAAACATGTTCTTAATTATAACACGCGCACCTTGGCGTACATATGCCTAGGATTCTAGTGAATTAACTTTATAATACACCGGTACAAACACATGGGTTGTTGGCTTTTTACTTTTTATTTTTTTTACTTTCTAAATCTTACACGAAGCGTTGAATTTTATGAATTACAATTTATCATGAATTGTTAAAAATTTCTGGAAAACGTTTCATAAAATAACATTATTCTCACGGTATTTAAGTTGGTAATTTCAAGGAAACAGAGTAATGTTAATATTATAAATTAGGAAACAGGTTGAATTCGGCGATTTTAAGTGTCACGAATCTTGGATTTGTAGTCTGTAGGAACAAAGACACTTGTAGCTCAGTGATAACAGGGAGGGGTAAACAAACGCGGCAGATGCACAGTCAGTTCGTGTGGCCGAGCACCTGTCTGGTCCACAAACCCTGGGCTTTCAAGAAGAGAGCTTTTTTTCATGTGTTGGAATCCCCCAGCTGTCGCACGCCCAAGTTGAATAGCACGGGATAAATTACAGGTCGCTAGAGAAAGCTTTTGTCGTGCTTTCCAGCGCTTGCACAATCGTGGCGCACCGTATATGCTAGTTATCGCGTCAAAATGTTTTCTTGTTATTGTCAGAAATATTTGTTATCCCCAAAAAGCTCTTTATGAAATATTTTGCCAAGGAAAAGTTGTTGCGCGTGTCCCATTTTTCCACTATCGCGTTTTGCTTTGAGAACCCAAACACTATCAACAGATCACTTAGTAATGGCAATACAAGAATTTAATGATGAAATAGGGTAAACCTGGACCGACCGCCTATCAGTGGAAACGCAACAGATGTCAAGACGTTTCGAACAACCCTCACCTTGGAGAGGGGAATAAATGCTATCATTTCAAAATGTTGACAATTGTCGAGGTTTTTATAGATTTTCTATACGTCTAGTGGCTTAGAAATTTGTCAGTTGGTCGGGAGTAAATCCCCGGGAGCTGGTGACAGATTTTAGGGTCAGCTCGTGTGTGATGTTGTATCAGATGGCTTTTTTGTCAGTACTTTAAGTGTATTTTGTCATGGGTTAGGGTTGCTGATGTCATAAATTGTTGCGTACCTTGATCGCAGTAGTCGCCTTTCCACCCCTGCATACAGACTTTTTCTCCATTCTCGTCACAGACGTAATGGCCAAATTGGTCGTCCCTGGGTCGGCAGAAGTTGACACATCCCGGACCATAGTAGTACTCGCTACATTCCACTTTGTACGCGTACTCTAAAGTCATGGTGTTCTCTGTGCGAGTAAACTGTTGCCATGACGACCCCACTTCTACGGACCTCTGTGCAGATAGTCGGTAGATCAGCTCTCGTGCACTGCCTAAAATCAAAACGAAAAGACCGTGAGAATGGCCAGACCAAATGATATTCTCAATAACAGGTGATTTTTAAGTAGCAAGTCGACCCTCTCTCGCCTATTCACTTGGTTTCCTTGCCCATTGTTATCCGTGCAGTTGATGACCGTTATTTTTTGAAACCACCAGTGTGATAAAAGTCGACATTTTCTCAGGCTTCCTCACAAAGACTAACAAATGAGGAGAGATATCACCCCTTTCTTCCCCCAACAAAAGACAGGCGAATTAATAGAAAGACTACAAAATTGGCTTATTATTTTTTTGAGTTTCAGAAAAAGAGGCTTTCAATTTGAGTGAAGAAAAGCTGTTTTGAAAATATGAGGATGCAGACTGAGTCCTATGAAGCGAAGCCTGAGAAAACCTGTGGAGTCTGGACCAAGGATTGACAAGGTGAAGGCTAGGCCTCCTAACATTTACCCGACCCAGACCGATATTTTGTTACCCTCCCGGCCCTGGGTAAATAGTTTCAAGGGAGCATTGTGTAAGAGTTCCCTTTTTCTTATTTGTCAAGCATTTGATAATCCTAGAAAGACTGCGGAGTCAGGATTGATTTTTGGTACCGTCTTTGTTGGTGTCTATTGTAGACCCACATGCCTCGCCTCTCACGCTGCTTACAGTATACAGAATAGAATAAAACTGTATTGTTTCGTTTAATAAGTCAGTCCAGTTATGAACACAAAAAAATGGGTCGACTTATAACTCACATACACACATAAATATATACAGGTATGTTATATGTCTGTGTTCACTAGCGGGAAAACTTTTTTTCTCTGGGTTTTAATTGACGATAACTGCACTCAATTGGTCGCACGTGCGCTTTGTTAACTTGCCCTCTTGTTTAAGTCGAGGCACAAGTTTTCAATAGACAGAGCGTCTACCATGATCAAGCAAGGAAGATTCTCCAAAAACATCTCTACACATCGTCCCCGCTGTGCCGCTGAAGATCCTCTCAGTTTCACGCACGCTCCCGGCACACGGCACACAAACAGAAAATTCCAACAAAAAAAGTAGCACAATATCCAAGCACAGTTTGTAAATCCAAATTAAAACCATAGAATAATGGAATCGGCAGAAATTAATATCCAATTGTTGATCAATGAATGCACTGAGTGACGTCACGGTCACCTATTATCAATGTTGCAGGAGATAGCACGCGCAAAAAACTCCACAGAAAGCATGTTAACAAGACCGATGGTGCAGGATAACAACTGTTGTTGTGCACTATATTGAACAAGTACTTTATCCTCCAAAAACAGCAGCTATAAACATCCTCCCCTCTTGGAAATCATTCAGTTGTCACAACAGAAACACTCCTAAACATCCAAAACAAACGGAACCCGAAAAACAACAAACACTTACCCGTGGTTGGTCCCTGTTTAGTGCTGTCGTGCCAGGCTTCTATAATCAACGAGAAAGTCCCCTGCAACAGAATAATAAAACAGATTCAGATTTTGTAAGTCATTATCCAATTCATTCTGTGTCATAAGACGCAATCTTTGATGAAGTGATATTTAGTAGGGTGTCAGCTGCGAGTCTCTATATCTGATGAAGAAACATCTCATCGATCTTAACATGTCCAAAACCTCTGGCAGTGAAAAATAAGCTTTGCTAATAATGTTGAAAGAAACTTACCGGCCAAGCAAACATAAATGGGAACTTGATTGGGATGTCAAATTTGACAGGAAGGTTGGTGAAGTCCACAGAGTTGTTCCCGTAAGTCAGTACTGGGGTAAACTTTTCTGCAAAGTTGCAGTGGACATCGTCTGTTATGGTGGCTTGGTAGTGGGTCAGACACACCCGAAAAAAGGTACGACACCAAGACGAGCACCTGTCACCGGTCCTCACCCCCGCGCAACAGTTCCCGTCAGAATTAACCCCATTTTCATTTTCGAACCTTTTTAAATTTAGTTCAAAAATTCCTGTTGAATTCACCTGAAATAAATATTATAGATGATTATGATAAAGTAATAATTCCCGGATAATTAACAAAGTTAGCGAGCTTGCCAGCATTCTGTACACAACGTAGTACGTCGTTTACTACGATCTAGCATATATGTGTGTATCTATTTGGTCGACGTCTACATTTTGTAAGGTTGGGAAATATTTTCTTATACAAAAATAAAACTCAAAAAAGTAACTAAATAGTCTTACCTGACAAATAAATACATATATGTTTGCAATCCAAATCACTAAAACTCTATACGGCCTCCGCAACCTCATCTTTCTTGATTTTCTCTTGCCAATATTCTATGGTTATTGAGTTCCTTCTCTGTAGCCTCGATCTTGCCAACACAGTAAGCCCCGCCCACAAGCGATGATTGACACCAGCGGGTTATCTGCAACAATACCAAAGAAACTCTTATCACCACTGATTTGTAACTGGTAAATACACAATTTGTGAACTCGTAAAATCCAATTAATTACGAAATAGTCGATGAAATTCTACACACTAATAAAAGATGTCGGTTTCATCCACCAGGACCGTGGAGATTTGAATTTTTGGTACCAAAGGGCAACAGAGAACCGTAATTTTCCCAAACATTATTCCTGAAATATTCCGCGTAAAATGAATCCGCATCGGGTTATTGATTTCAGACTCCGACTCTATCGATTTTTTAAATTTCGTGTACGGACCATTGGTAATTAAGTGCCAGGTACAGTGATTTTAGGAAGGCTTGTAGAGAAGATTGAGAGATACCAACAGGTCGTCCGCCTCTCTGTGTTTAGCCAGGACATCTGTCGATGGACGAAAAAGTGTGCCAGCTTTACGATAAAACTCGCGCACTTATACTAGGTACAATACGTACACAAAAAACCCCCCACAATATTAACCAAAGCTCATATATGTATAATTATTTTTTTTAAAAATCAAAGCTAGACTATACCTGAGCTAGAAGTAATAAACGTCCCATATATTCTACATAACTTTATAAAAGTTTTAGTAAAAGTATTCTAGGCGAGCACGTGCCGAGGTCTGGGGCTTTTGTGACCGGGTCTATCGGAATACAAAAGACGTCTTTTGTGCTTTCAGCTGCCGTCCGCCGAGAAGCACCTGTCTTTATAACAAGTTTGCATATGTAAATCATTTCCCTATAAGGAAGAGCCCGGCACACGAATGAATTCAACAGATCCTTCACAGGTGGAGAGATTTAAATTTCCTACATTTGCTCTTTGTGTATTAAAATTTAGCATATAAAAATATAAAGGTGTTGACAGACCGTTGAATGAAAATACGTTTGGCGCGTTTCTGACTATTTATGGTTTACTAACATACACCTGTTGATTTCTCTCGAGACATCTGTCCTAGTGAAAATAAACTCTAAGGCAATGTGAAAAAACGCTTGAACAGTAAATACTAACCTTATGTCGTGGTTGAAAATAAAATCTGTTTTAATTTGTCACAATTTTTATTTTGGGTTTATATAGATCAGTTAAGCTTTGATCTGGAGAAGGTCATACGAGATTTTAATTATGAGGAGGTGACAATATTGACACGCTCGATATACTCTGACACGTCTTAGACAGGCATATCCCGGTCTTACAATAGATATAGGTAAAGTTTACTTTGCAAAATAAACATATATTATCGCCCGATGTAACCCATACGCCGAGGAGAAGGCGGGGCCATTTTACGGTATCCTTCACGGCACGAGCCAAGTCGCGTGTCGTCTGCGCGCTTTCTCCCGCCGAAATGCACATTTGCATATAGGTGAATCTCGTTACACCAATGTAACCTTATAAACTGTTTACGACTAATGGCACCTTGTAGATTGCATACTGAAAAGAGAAATTAAACAGCGTTTTCACCTGTAGAATGGCGTAAGAATTAACGAATCACAGCTCTAGATTTCACAAATGTCCCACAAGAATTTTCATGTTGTTCATCACTTGTATCAGAACAATTCTTAAAGGTACGGTGAAATTTAGAAATTGACGCCGTCTACCGAACAGTTTAATTTATTGAAAATTTTCACACGAAGCTTTACTTATTAATTAACATGGGAGGCTTTGATAGTAATTAACGGTTATTTTATGTATAGCTACGTGAATTTGTTAGATACGAGTATAACTGTGAAATAATTGACGACCAATTATAAGTAATTAAGAACTGTATCTCTTTGACGGGCGCCAATAAGACATAGGTGATCGGGGTTAATTGGTCCAAGGCCTGTGACCTACACAATGATCTCCGGGTACAAAGGCACTAATTAGGCCCCATAAAGTAATCCACTGATCTGTTCCCAAGAAAAGTTATTTAATTTCAAAACATACACGTTTGTTCAGGCAAAATATGAATTCTTACAATTATTAAATATGAAATTTATGAAAATACAATTCCAAATTTTTTAGCAAATTTTAAAATGTAACGAGTGGTGATCCATTAATGAGAAAATTTGGGATAAAAATAATGAAAGCGACTTTTGGCATCATTCATCGCAGTTGGATAGATTTGTTTTTATTAATGGACATGCTAACACGAATTCGTACGATGATAGGGGCTTGGATTCCAGCTTCTAACACATTAACTCAGATAACATCTTATAAAAATATTTAAAATTTGTTGTATATAAACATTGGTACATTAACGTGTCTAAATTCGTTACAACATGCCGGTTTCTTTCATTTTGAGGTCACCTTAGCCCCCTTTGTTGTCAAATGATGAGGGATGTCCTATGACAGGTGGAGCGAAAACACAACATATGTCGTATACCTACTGAAACAAGCTCCATTGAATACGGGTTTATCACCATTTTCTATTGTTTTCTAAAAATTAATGACATGTGGAGTGTTTTCTTTGTTGTGTTCAGTAGAAAGTGTCAATAAAAACAGAAATTAGAGCAGTGAGTCATTTCTCCAAGTCTATAATTGATTCGCCTTCTGCCTCGCTTCTAAAATAAGCTTACTTTTTTTAAGAAATGAATTTAAAAATAAATGAAAATTGCAAATTTGCAAAAATGAATGGAAATTTGTATGAATGTTTGGCACAGAAATAATTTGTTTTATTCTATTTACATATTAACAGTCGGCTATCGGAGATTTCTTCCAATGATGTGTACATAACAAAAAGCCGCTGTTTATTTAGTCCTGTTTTGCATTTTCTGATTGTAAAATTGATACATGATTGAGACAGATAAGCTTTTTATGCACATTTGTTATAGAAATGATATGAGGTACAATGCGTACAACGGTAAATCTTTGTTTACAATGAATAAATAGAGATTGTTGTGCAGAACGTCTAAACACGGCGACTTGGGTCGTCTTGCAGTTTTAACACCTCTTCGCTCATCTCTTTATAGTCGTACCATCTCTTTATTCAACAATTGAATATTTGATTGTTTATCAAGGCAGTTCTACTTGTATATTAAGGGATATAAAATTATAATCGAACTTTTCAAAGATGGAACGCAAGGACATCACCTCTGAATTTACAGAAAATACAAAATTTACAATATTACACCGGGAACACACAGATTGGAAAATTTGTAATTTTGAAAACCTGTAATTTTTATTTTGAGACTCAAAATAAAAATTACAGGTTAAGGAATCAGAGTTGAGAAAATATGAAACTTTATTAAAAAAAAAAAAAATAGGGATGTAACAGAACAAATCCGTGCTTGTAATGTGATGGATACCGAACACACAGATCTTAATTCTATTATCTGATGTATGCCTTCTGTTTTTCATCATTCCTTAAAATAAGTTTGAATGTTTTTTTTAAATGATTTAACTTCATCTTTGTATTCTTTGCTTTTTGGCATTAATTTTAGTTTCCAAAAGAAGATTTCTGAACTTAGCACTAGTTGCTTTTTAGCAGGTGCTTGTCGCGTGACCTATGGTTGACATTTAGAGACCGGTTGCTGCTTCAGAAAATGTTGGTGGATGGAGTCTGGCGATTTTAGAAATAATTGATCTGTGTGACACGTAGTCTTTGATTGGAATCGGTTTCTGTGGAAGACATTGTGTCCGAGACCTCTAAAAAGCAATGGTCAGCATCCTCCTCCTTCACACCTGTTGAGTCTTTGTAAAACTCGGAGCTTCTGTCATTAAAACACAAAAGTCTTCCTTTTTTTCTTTTCTCCACATCTGCCCCGAAATTAGTGCCTTTTTTATTGTGTTCTACTTTTTTGCCAGCATATTTTAGTGACTTTAACCGTCTAGCGAAGCACGCGCACATGCTCGGTCGAGGCCTCGCTCTACAGGTTAAAAACGTCTCTGTAATGCCATTGATTTTTGGAGCGCTCCACTCCACTGCAGTCTATGAGCGACCAGGGTTGAAGTTTAATTTACTTGTGGCATATGGTTTTGGGTCAACAAAGACATCTGGCTCTGCTAACCTTCAGGGGACATGTGTATATCTGACCCATTATTTAAAAAAAAAAAACCCTTTCCTCTTAACTCTAGTCTGCCATCTGTAAAGTATATATGCAATGAACTTTGATCTCTACTTCCTGTTTATGACTTTTTCTTTCATCAAGAATAGACATATTATATAAACCGAAAGCGCTGACTCGTCCTAACGACAGGCCTGACTCCCGAGATAAAACCCGGAGCTACAATCAAAGCCGGGAAAAACACCGAACATTTTCGGGATCTGTCGTGTGTCATACTATAAGATCGCTCTACCAATGACACTATCTCCAATACTTGCTGTCAAAACCAAACCAGAGAGGGAAGGGTCAGCCGGCAAAGGACATAAATAAAAATCACCGCCAATATTTCAGTATTTCACTTTGTAACAGTTTTGTGGCTTGGAGGAAATTATCGACACATTGGCAAGTCATTAGGGAAGACGGATCATAAACAGTCAAGCAAATTTCCTTTCCCCCAGAGCCCCAAGATTGAAAACGCCATATACCACGGCACGCGCTCTCAGTCAACAATTTACAAATCTCAAAAACTCTGCAGATTTTAAAGACGAGGCATTTAATCGTTCAGCAAATCAACAAATTTGGAACTGGTTAGAAGAGATGCGCGTTTCAAGTAGCTGTTCTTGCAAATTTTTTCATTGAGAACACGTGATTATACTTTTACTATGCGTCGTAGGCGCACGCGAGCCAAGGGTATCACATATCTCTACTTAAAAACATTCCCACGCGCAAAGAAGCCGGCCCATGACAAAGCATATGGCTTCCATTTGACATATGGACATTGTATTTTAGCAGAGTAAATATGTCAAGGTTTGACTGTTGAGGAACATCCACGCTGTGATAATCTTGCTAAAAAAGAACCAATTTTTTTGGTTCCGACGAAGGCATGAGGAATAACTGCATAGTGATTGATAAGCACAAGATATTAAAAAAAAGAAATCACTTACTCGGTTCCCTGTCTCCCGCTTCTGTCTCTCAGATTCACCAATCCAAAGCGGCTCTGAAAATATGTAAAGAATGAAACATTTTTTTTAATGGCACCACGAGCCAATTCTAGTCAGAAAGTTGACTTAAAGTAAAGCAATAGTATATGCGATAATTTGATAAATCGTTCGAAATGTGGACCAGATACTTAAAACAATGCCGGTATCATTGGAATGCTTCAATCTCTAACACGATGGTTTAAAAAGACAGCGTGTAGAAGAAGAGGGTTATGAATACGAAATCTTCGGACGAGTATGTTCTGATATTAGTGATAGCCGCAAAACTGAAAAATCGGCAGATCAGACACAATCTCGTCTTGTTTAAAACAGTTGTTTACAAATATGATTCCATTAATGTCAATTAACTTATTACTTCAGTTTGACAATTTTAAACTCGGGCACCCCCTGAAAGGTTTAGACAAAACATAAACACGAGAGGGCGCTGTCATTCCTAACCGTGCAGATTAAGAAACAAATCATTTTCTGAAAAAATAAAAATAAGAACTTTTTTTTTTCAACTAAACAAATACCACAATCAGTCCAAAACCTATCATGCAATGAAATGTGAAAATAACGAACAGTAATAATGCCCAAAGTCAATATAAACAATAGCAGTTGTGAACAGAGCAAACACGACCCTCAGAAAAAGTAAAAATTATGACAAATCAAAATACCTACGAAAACAATGTTTTCCAATTTAAAACCTCACCAAGAAAGGTCACTAAAAGTAACAAAACCTGTCATTAGGTCAAAAGTCATCTATAGACTGCCCCTGCTGAAGCTGTGCTAACCCTCACTATCACAAACTGGGCGTTGATTATCGCGACCGCCCGCGCGCTCATTACACGCTGATGCAGGAAAAATATACAAAATCTATGTACATGTAATGCAACAAATTACGGGCGATAAAATCTCAGTATTTATGGCATATCAGGTTTTGGTTCTTTGAGAATTTATTTTTAGACGTGATGCCACATTCCGAATTTTCCCACACTTCTTGAGGGAAAAAAAAATATCAAACACATTCCAGTGAGTATATTCCGAAGTGAATTGTTTCTGTAAAGCTTACAGGTGACATAGGGAACCCTTGTGGTTTGATGGAGAGTGGAGAAAGAGAGACGCGAGTTGGGGAGGAATTTCAAGGACCAACACGCTACCTTGATAATTAACAGACAACCCAGGGAAGGAATGCCAATATTTGACCACAAAGAACGTTTGTAAAATTTAAAAATTAGCTAATCTGACGTTAAGACTCATTATATTAGCTAAGACACAAAATATTTTTCTATATGTATAAACTCGCTTTATAAATAGATTACTTAATTTAGTATCACACTAAATTGTATTCACGAGTAAGAATTTGGGGCAGATGTTTGTAAACACAGCAATGCTTTTAAAATGACTATTGGCCAGTGCCCAGTGAGTGGCCAGTCCCTGTTTCCTGCCAGACTCAGAGTTTGGATGAAAGCAGAGGCATTACTTCAAACGACCGCCACTTTACAAAACTCAAGAAACTGAAGAACACGGTACTTAGGGCTCGTTCAGTTTCACGCTTTTAGAAAATTTGTTTCGCTATTTTGCCACTTACATTAACTTATGTACAAGTGCTAACAGGTAAAAATCCCCCATAAAGAAGGTTGTACAAAACAGATACACTTTGTTTGGCCACCATCTGTAATTAGGCGAGTCAAGTTGTGTTACAAAGTGAGCTCATCATAAAGTATCAAATTCATGTTCAATGAATGGCTACATCGTGCGTATGAATACATAATTGAAAAGATGTGTACGAGAAAGTGATTACAAATAAGTGATTTCAAATACAAGGCTTAGCATGAAATGAGAGTCGACTAAGAACGAATCATTTTCTGATATTAGTTAAAACGTTCGCCAAGAAAGGACAACAAAAGACTTTGATTTTTATTCCTCGACACATTCGATGGAAAATTAAAAGAAGTGAGCACAGGGTGGTATAATGTCCCCGAGGTTCGCCTACAATTGCTTATCGTTAAAAACTATTTTAACAATCAAAAGACTGAAAAAGATCAATAAGAGCAAACATTTTCAATATGAAGTCATTACATAAAGCCATTCGATGGCCCGATCTCAGTTAGCGACATGCCGTTAAGCCGGGTGACAAAGCCAACCTCAAAACTCCTCTAAAAAGACGGAATTTAGGTGTTAATATGTATGTCAATATCATATCCATATTCCACTACAAAAGAAATATCATCCAGACAGACTTTTAAAGACATGTTGATATCTGTCGGATAAGGCATGTCTTAACAATCAATACTAGATTATGTCAAAACATCTTCCCCTGTGTCCCACCGGGCCGTAGTTTGTCCTCACCGAGGGCGCATTAAGACGATTAAAGTTTGCACAAGATTATCGCCTACCTGAGTAATTTAAAAAGTATGTTATGAATGGCCGATTGTCATCAAAAACTCGTCGTTCATCTGGACCGATGCTTATCGCAGATGAAGCTAATTCATGGAAACCCAATAAAGCCATTTTATGGACGGCTAACCAGTTTTTAACTGTATATTTCTGAATGAAAATAACTATTAAACTGTGATCCGAATAGAATAGTGTTATTTACATTCTTTCCCAGCTGACTTGCTGCAGTCAGAATAATGATAATCGAGAGGGATTATCTTCTCCTACTTCCGGTGCAGCTCGAAATGTAATTCTCCCATGACCATGAGATATAAATATGCATGAAATTGCATGACAGTATAATATTATTAATATTAGCCTTTAATCTCATTCAAATCCATTGAATTGATTGAATTATCTTTATTCGGCCAATTAATATCAGAAGAATGTCCTACACTAGATTACAAAAGATAACGTGTTTGCGGTGCATGTCTTTTGAAATCCATTGTATTGCCGGTGAGGAAAATCGGGAGGATTTCAGTAGATGATATCTTGTATTACCTATGCTATCACTTAAATCTGCCCAATTCAGCTGATCGAATGCTACACCACCTGGGTAACCCCGTCTTCGTAAATTAGTCATACCCGTCTTGGGAGGGGTAAAGCGAGCTCCCTTAAACAACACTGTGATTATATTTCCCGATAAGACATTCATATTCTCGAGGACCAGTTTTATAAATTTTGGTTTGTGTATCCGCTTCGATGAGTTTTAATGGACTTTAAATTTGTGTGAAAAACAAAGAGATTACCAACCCATCTTTAAGTGTACCCAAATATCACCAAAAAGCTCTCTCTATCAAAAAAGCTGGAAACACTTCCAATAAGGCCCTCACTTCTGTGTTCGAATAAAGGTATGAGTGCATGAAATGGGCGATACAGTAACACGGAACGTGACACGGGAAACTGCTTGACCATAAAGATTATTTAATAATTCATAAAATCTATAACACATTACAGCAAACTTTCACAAACCATTTTGCTACATAAATGTCACTGCACGTATAGATCTAATTTTACTCTTTTTGGTTTTAAGGACGTGGGAGGCAGGCATCAGGAACGTGACCCTCAGACAGAATCTGATAGTGTTCGAATGAGGGAAATTTTTGGCAGGCGATTGCATAAAAATAAAAATAGAATTCTCGCTGAGAAATTAGAAATGTCACTTCAAAAAAATTCTTTCTCGTGTACAAACGACTGCTTTCTCATTTGAAAGAGAAACACCGAATTCCCACAACAGTAAGAAATGTCAATGGATATTTAGCTGGAGTCATTGCGTATCTATCTTCATTCATTACTTACGCAGTGTTGCTTCATTATTATTATTTATTTATTTATTTTCGAAAAAACATTAAATTGACGAACCAAGTTTATTTCTCTACTAACTTGAGACTGACCAATTTACCGAGGGAATTGATATGAATTCTTTAGCGCACAGTGAATTCAGAATCTGTCAATATAAAGCAGATAGGATCTCGAACACACGCAGTTGACATAACTCGTCATAATTATATTATTGATTAAAAATGAAAAAAAAAAACAAAAAAAAACAAGACAGCAGTTGAGTATTCTTAATTTACAAGTAAAGATGTCACGTGATCCAGAAGTATAGTTCTCCAATAGTACGCTGGGAGTCTGAGGGGGGATTCCCGGACTCTATAAGAATGCTTAGGGGGATGCTTATCGCAATTAGCTGATTATCTTGCACGATAAAGTATGAGGTAATTTCACCTTAAGGAATATATCCTACCTCAGCGGCCATAAGAAATCCCAATGGTTCCTTTCGAATCTCACGTAAATCCCATACCAACACACGTACAGCAAGTTAAACTCGCTAGCATGGCTTTTGATGTAGCATTGTTCTTTTGGAATATTGAAAAAGGTCTGATTGCACCCTGATCAATAATTAATCGGCACCAGCCAATCAATTCAATGATTCCACGGGGCCACTACGGGGGAAACTATTCTTTTTAAAGGTATGCAGGATTCTTCTTTTATCATGATGAAACAATTGTTTCATTTTTCGGTATTCGGAGCTCCACACAATTTCAAACAAATTTGACTTTAATTGATAATTTCTAAAAAGTCTTAGCGCAGCTCAAAGACTCAACCGCCCAATCGATTTCCCATATTTGTTATACACATTTTAATTGGGACTTTGTGGTGGAATCTAATGCTTTATCAAGAAGCATTTCTCAATTTACAGTTGCATTTTGTAGATTAAGCGATTACGAGGGTAACTGTCTTCATTTTATAAGGCATTCAAGCCCCGTCTTGTATACCGTTATAAACATAGTATCAAATGGTCCGGGGAAGACACAGGGGACGAGCACCGGTTTCAGGTTACACCGCTAACACTAACGGAGATACAGCGTCATCCAAGCGGGAAAAGGACCGTGATTGTTCCCACAAACTCTTGGCTTGCTGAGACAAAAGGTTTGCAGTATCCCGTCACCTATCGTTTGATTGGGAAAGAATTTTAAACCCAACTTCATATAACCGTGATGAATTTGATTAGATTAAACGCTTCGCATTTTTCCAGCCTCAAGGTTTACCTGGCGTTTAAATTCATCTTTTCACCTATCTGTTATAGCTATGTAGCCAATAAATGGTTCTCCATTCTAAACATCATACAATACATTGAAGTTTTCAACAATTGTTATTAAAAGTTGCATGTTTGTTATTTGCCGTGAAATTCATTAAATGTCTTAATTTACTTTTAAGCTTCCTTTTGCAAAAGAATTCAATGAAGTGGTGAACAATCTCTCTCTCCACAAAAAAAATGTCACAATAGTGCTGCTGTGACTTTAAAAAACGTCCACGACTAATTTGAATACTTGAATCTTTCCCAAGGTCAATTTTACTAAAGAACAGAGGAACAGGACATCCAAATCTGGCATACTTATTACAATTTTGTTTAAAAAATGCTCGTAAAGAAATATCTCTCCAAGTTTGTACGTAAGATTAATAGATCTACCATACTCGGATATATTCATTCAATGTAGAAAATGATTTGGCAACTTATTTTTTTGGTCTTTATAAAGTCAAAGTCCTTTTGTATAAAAGAGACCGCAGGTCTTCAATATTTATGTGTAATGTTAAGTCTTTTAAAGAGTAAATTTTTTTCTTTAATTGCATAATATGGTAATGAAAATTGTTTTAAAAAATTTGTCGTATGTTTAAAGTATATGAGCATTATATATTTGAAGCTGAAAGTCAAAAAATGATGTTCTGTTATGAATTCCCACGATGTCATATGGCACCAACTCTGAAGTGATGAGCCCAGAAACAATACTTGTATCTAATCATCGACAATTAATCAATTCATTTACACATCAAGCAGAATGGAAGCATTGTTTTATATAGAGTTCATAATTAGGTGTATTTGGTTAAATGCTGGCTTCGGATTGACTTTAGATATTGATTACTATCTAGGGGCTTGATGTTGTGTTATGATTGCAAAATCAAAAACCCATTAAGTAAAACAAAGAATTCTAATGATACACACCATATAAACAGGGACCTAGGGAACTTAAATGTTTATATGGACCCCAGCACTGATTCGATAGACAAAATATCAGAAGATGCATAGTTTTTATTTTTTTATCTTAGCAATATCAGTCTTTATGATGATAATGATATTAATTGGCCATCCACTGATAGATAAGAATAAAATGAACAGAATTATGAAGCTTCGCGGCATAACTTTATGTACACGGATATAAAGTTTCACATAATAGATAGTTCAGATAAAAAGTTCAAAGGCATCCACAAGAATAGATCTGACCAATCTCTTTTTTCCCTCGCTGACGTATTATTATAGATATATTAAATTCCAGACTTGGCTTCTCAGCTCTGAATGAAAGAAAATCTATGTAATAAACTGAGTGAATTCCCATTACGAACATAAATGCCTGCCCATTTAACAAAACCTTTTGAGTAGCATCAAATTTTTTCATTTTTTCACATGTACATTTCAATTGTTTAGATCAATATAAAAGCTCTTTTTTTATATAATACAAGTGAATTGGAGTTGAATAAGATTCTCATAACATGTTTTACAGATATCTCCGACCGTAGACAGAGATGGAGGAAGTTTGTCTTTGTGGTGAGTTGTCAGCGATGAGATCCCTGAGAAAGCAAGGCTACCCCGATTAAAAAACCCCTCAACACAGTGACTAATTGAATAACAGGTATAAAACGAGTGTAAATAGCCAAACCACACAATAGAAACAAACACTGGGAAAGTTGTCTTATTTAGGAATGCTAACTTTTTATCAAGTGTACATAAAGACTCGGACAATAAGCAGTGTGGACATGCTGACAGTCAATAGACTTAAGCAGTCCATTAAATATGAATCATTTGTTATAACACCTTGTGAATGTACATAGTCAAAAAGGAGGGGAATCAAGGGGAGTAACTGTCAAAAAGGGGGGTAACTAGAAATGCAGCACAGTGCAAAGCAAAGTCTTCTTGTGGAGGAATGTAATTTTCATAGGCTTGCGAAATATATTAACATGTATGTTTTAGACTGAAACTCTTGTATAAAAATCAAAACAATATCAGTAGATGTTTGCAAGAAATGTACCAGACACCAGTTCATACTTCCTTTACATCATAGTACAGTGTATGTTTTGTGTAGGTATTGAACTTATTAAAGGACCTCCCTTCAAGTAGATAACATTAAATATCTTGGTATGCTGTCAGTCTAGGGGTATTGAACAGTTAAGATGTGTATTGAGCTTTTCATGAATTACAACTAAATGCTCCTTTTCTAAGTCGGTGTTAAAACGTCAGATGTCAGTGCCTTCCATTGTCAACACTAAAACAAAAGCTGAAGTTCTCGAGAGCCCGCATGTGTGGTTTCCGGCCCAAGGAATATAATTAAATAAAGTCTGCACTGGAATAATCAACAAAAACAAGGCCATACTGGCATTATCCACCAAAGAAGGCCTCGAGCAGATCCTTGTTCTGAGCGATCTGCACTTTACGTATTTTTTTCAATTGTCCCCCCTGAATCTCTAATCTAGATAATGTAAAAACTCGATTCTAGTGTACTTTTAATTAGTAGATTGATTTTTTTTTTTCAAGTGCTAGCTCTTGGAGTATTTGAAGTTTGTTCTCACATAAATGACTTCTTCCGAGTAAATCTATTTAAAATTAATCGGATTTGATGATCGGAATTTAGAGATAATAGACTTATTGAGTTCTACAGAATGATATCTTCTGCTACCTTATGCATCTTTGATGGCTTTCATACAATGGAAGGTTAATGTAACTTGTAAATACCATTCACAGTCTCTGATGCTTCATTTGACATTGTGCATTTTAAATTATTATGTAAATTGTCCTATATTGGGTCTTAAAATCTTCAGATCTACTCTTAATGTAGAACTTAACATTAATAGTCATTACCAAATTTTCCAAAATGTCTATGTCTAGAGATATGAATTAAGAATATATGGAGAGAGAGCGAGAGATATCTCAAGAGAGAGAGAGTTTTAAAATAAATTGAAAGAAATTTTTTTTTAGAAATTTTAGCTTTAATTCAGTGCTTCACTTTGAAATTAGGACATATAATATTTGTGATTTATCACAGTAATGAACTATCAATGACTGTGAATCATTCAGAAAATTATACAAGGTGCTAGGTGAATTTCCTTGTGGTGTATATGTATCCAGGACCACGAGGCACAGATCTGCAGTCTTAATCCCAGGCAAACACAACCTTTCAACTAGAGGATATTAACTAAAACTTTTTGTCAATTCCGTGATAAGGCATTTCCACAATCAGGTGAATGGGCATGGGAAATAGATTTTTTTGGAAAGCTCAAAATTCTTTTGTCTTTGAAAACTGTGAACATAGTAAAATATATAGATTCTGTTTCAATATATGTGAACTGGATGTAAGGATAACAGGAAAACAAACAAGATTCAGGAGGGTGTCTTTATGTGTCCAGGGGAAAGGGGGGGGGGGGGCTGGGGTCATGGTCTTGAGGCATAAACTTATAAAAACTTTACTGGATGTTGCATTCATGTGACCACATCTTTTTGTCCTGGCTATATTAACATTGCTCTGAGTTGCCCTGAGATGAGTCCATTGACTCTGCATAACAGCACTATCGCTTAAAACACATATATTATGAATGTTTTAGGATGTTCTACCTGTGGATATTTACATCTATGATTATTGATTTTACAGGTATCTGACCTGTTTTCTCCTCAGTATCAAAGTTCTCTACATTTCCTAACATTACATTTAAGTAGGACATTAAAAGATGCAGAATTATTACAACTTAATTGTTGATTTAAAATCGAGTTCTAATTTCTTTTCTATGCATATTTCTTAGTTGATGACTATAATAAAAAGAGTTAAGAAAGGGAGAAGGAATGATTTCGTTCATGGTCATGTGCAAATTGACATTAAATGATGAATAGGAGAAAAGACGATGTGGAAATAGTGTAATTCTTTCGCTATTATTCTGCATGGCTCGAGGGAAGGGAAATGAAATCATCAGATGAAAGACACCTTCTTAATATGACCCATCCATAGTCAAGCTCTTTTTCACTGTGTCGCTGCAGTATGATTTCATGGAGTTCGATCAATTGTGTCAACACCCTGAGAGAAAGCGCCCTATAAATTAGGAGAGAAAATTGTGGACGATAAACAAAAATTTCCAAATACGACCATTACTAGCCGTCTTGATTTGCACACAGCTAAAAGCTTCACAAATCCTTGATTTTTGTCAGAAAAAGGTCACTTCTCTTGATTTTTTTTTTTTTTTTTTTGATTGCTTTGGAAAAGAAGTCTGTGACAACCCTTCTTCAGTCTGTTTTAAATTACTAATGTTAAGACTTGTGATAAGTTTGCAATAATTGTTAAATTCACATGCCATTTCTTATTTTTCTCAAACTTGGTATAAATTAAAAAAAAAAAAGAATTTTTAGAAATCATAATTCTAATGTTCTTAGCCATACTGCATTGTAAATCAGGCTTTGCATATTAATTTTTTTTTACTATGATAGAGATCATTGTAAATCAGGCTTTGCATATTAATTTTTTACTTTGATATAGATCAGTGTATTCTCCAATAAATCTCATTCATCATAATGTATGCAAATCAGAGAAACACAGCTGTCCTTGCAAAGGACCAATCAGATTCTGTCATGCCAGATGGTTTTAGATCAGAGGTCAAGGTCAAAGGGGGACTCTCCAGAGAAGTGTGAATCTGTCACAGAAATCTTCAAATAAGGAGGAGATGTGTTCTTATCTCGGGGGAAAAATTCACAAGGGGAGGGGAGGAGTATCATTTCCATGAATTTCCTCCAAAATAATTGCCTTTATTCAATTAGGAAAATTAAATTTATGACTCGAATAATGTTCCTATTGTCATCATTACCACAGTGGAAAGACACACAATATTTAATGAATGTTTGTACCATCCAATAATTTGTGACTACAATATATAATAAACCTTACTTTTTATTAACAAATAAATATATTTTACTTACTTTTACATGTAATCTACTCCAAAAGCTACATGGTGCATCAAACCTGAAATTATAAAACAGTGTTGTTAATTATTATGCGTTTACAAAGCAATCTATGCATTAAAATAATTAGTAATGGTGAAAAAACTTTGGCACCAATGATGTAGTCCTATGTTTGTCAAAAGAAAATATCAATAATTAAAAATGATGATGTATTTTCATTATTAAGGCCATGGATGAATAATGTTTGAGAGTAATGATGGCAAGATTTCCCAAGCGTATCCCATTATGGAGAAAATTGTCCTCTACAGAATTGAACAGCCGGACCCTTAGAGAGAATTCCATGTGACAGATCTCAAAGATACAAGAGGAGAGAACTAGGCCGAGCTTTCATATCTAAGGATAATGGGTAAGATATTAAACATACAGCATACAGATATATGTAATGTCAATGCATATAGAAAGCATCCAAGGAATAATTACTCCCAAACTTTTCCTCAAAGTCATCCCATCCCTAAAATTTATAAGGTGACAAAAAAGAAAAGAAGAGAATGCATTTAAAATAACTTTACCAAATGGTCCCCTAAACGAGCTGGAACCACTAGAAAAAAGTCCCCAAATGTAAAACGCTTTATGAGCAGTTATCTCGGAGGGTAGGCAGGTGCCCTCTGAGTTGGATCACAAAATAGCAGGGAGGATGGTCCAGGGCTGCCTGTCCCAGAGCAACAGTTTGTGTTTTGTGGGTGGGTTTGATTCCTTTACATGCTGATGAACCTGCTGCAGAGAGTCATGTGATAGGGCTGTGGGAGACGGTCCTATTGTTATCTGTCAGTGACTCTAACAAAGGTCACCTGATACAGCCAGGAAATTACACACAGCTTTTGTTCCTACTGAATGGAGAACAGGAACATCGGAGGTGGCAATAGAATATATAATATTTTATAAGCCGTGTTACATGTAAATTTGATCGTCTGAATGAGACTCCCATCAACATCAAGTCAATAATTCAAGTACTTCCAAATGTTAGCCAGTCATGCTGACAATGAAGATTTCAACGATTGGCTAATGGAGCTCCAGTGAAAGATTTGGGAAGGGCTGGTTTAAGAGACCGGGTATGTTTCGGTTTTCTGTCGGCCATTGATTAAAAGCCTCCCCCTCAGAATGACAAACTTACCACTTTGTCGGTCTGGGACTGCCCAGTCCTGCTGGGAGGTGTTTGTTTTGGGATCGAGATGTTTTTGTGATGACACTCAGGTGTAAGCTCCAGAGATAGTGGAGGAATGTGTCTGTCTTTCTCTCTCTCTCCGTCACCTGGCCTCTTGAGTTATCTCCCCTTTAATGTCAGGTTCTTTTAGAGCCCCCCCCCCCCCCTTTAATTGAAATTAGTTTAAGGTGATATCACCTTAGTAACCAGACCTGGTATTGAGTTATCTTAACACCCAAGTATCACTTTAAATTGTTTAAAACAAAAAACCTATTAAAAAAAACAAAAAAACAACAACAACATCAAAAAACGGACTTCTCTTATATCCATAAAATTCCTTTATTAAATCAGATAGGAATACAAAAAATCCTTTCAATCAGCTAATAACTTTTCAATCTCAAACCCTGAAATCTCTCGGTCTGATCATTTGTGATCATTTTTAATTCCCCGTTTTCTCTTCGTCAAATGATGATTTGTCAGGGAGTTAGTTAAAACAGTTGTGGGGGTTTATAAATGAAGTCTGAATCCCCCATTAAATTTATCACAAACTGCATTAAGTGTAAGTGTTCAGAAGTTAAAAGGATAGAATTCAGATTTCAACAACATTAGAGGAAGATTAGAAACCAAAATTAAATTTAAAAACTTCAGTCTACATATTTATCTGATTTTTGTCCGATAAATTAAAGTTTTTTGTCTTAACTTCAAAGTGGTTAAACCTGTAATAGTGTAACATTCAAGAAAAGGTCTATCAGTTAAGAGTTTATTACTCATTGATTGAAATTGGTAATTAAGATCATTACCTGTTGATAGAAACTAGTAATTAATCTCGCTAATTAGAATCCCTGAGACACTATCTCCTATTTTCGTGAATCTACTCCTGAACAAGAGCTGCTTCTACCTCCAGAAAAAATAAACAGCTGACAGAAGAAACATAGGTATGTATCATCAGGTATATAAATAGCAGCGCAGACCGTGGGAAAATAAAAGCAGTGTATTGGTTCTTCAAATCTGATAACACAGCCGATATGGAATGCAGATTGAATTTATCAATTTGGGAACACAATACACTTTTCCCCTTATTCTGAGGAAAAAGTAGGAGGTGTTATAGACTCCTTAGCATTTAACGGTAGATTAAAAGACCATTGGAGGAAATATTTCGAGATCTGATAAAGTTGAACAGTGTAACAAAGTAAACACCCGGAGAATGGGGCAGATAACATAAAGTATGAGATTGAGGGTTCATGTGTCTTTAATTGAGTCAACATCATAACAAAAGAGGTGACTGAGAGACAGACAGACAGACAGACAGACAGACAGACCAACAAACAATGGGGAAGAACAGTGAGATAGGGTCTGAAAACTACAAGTCTGTGTCAAATTATTTTTTGTGGAGAGATTTTATTTGTAAATAAGGAAATGTCATTAGATATCTTAATGATGCATCTATCCATGGGTGAAGTCTTTTTATATGTTTTCCAATATGGATGTTTGGGCTTTAATGAAGAAATCTACAATAACATATAAAGCTGTGAACAATCTGATAGATATTTATCTGGGAGTCCAAGCTTATCCAATAATCCTAAATTAAACCTTGTGGGAAATTTCACCCATTCATGTTAAACCATCAATCTGAGAATATGTGGACCCTAAGTCAATCAGTAAGTGTTCTATAAATAGAAATGGTGGAACACCCCTAAAGAATTCACTTCAGTCTTTACAGAAATAGAGAGTCTTAGTTCAACATGTTACCATCTGTTATTCTTTATGTTAAAAATGTAAGAAATTACAATCTCCCGATAACAACGGATAAAAGACAGATGTAGAGGCCTTTATCAGAGAGAAAAAAATATGAAAGTAGTTACATGAATGCATACTCAGTAACTGTATTTGCTTATTCATTGAATTTAACATCCCAACAAATCAAAGGTGCATTCAGACAGGAATAAAAGAACTCAATTATTAATTGATTGTGTACTTGAGAGGGTAAATTCTTTGAATCTTTCACCCATGAAATATCGTGGCTAATGTTTCTTTTTCATTTTGTTGCCCTATTGTGTGACACGACTGTACATCATAACTTAGCCTATCAACAAAATGTTGCATATTTCAGGTAGATGTACACCTGTTGGCTTCATGTAAAGGGCCGTAACTCCATCCTAGGGTTGAATGAACCGAGGTAGACTTGATCACGCAATGTCTTAACTTGTTGTTAAATATGCATAAAACCCTGCTTTTATTGAATTATCCATGATTGCGAGCCAGATGACCTTGAAAACATCTGATGATCAAGATCGAAGGGAACAAAGATAGTTTTGGGTCGGTCTTTGTTCTTATGAGAACTAACCCAAGGAAGAGAGTGCTCAAGTCGTGGACTCATCCTGCGCGGGTCGCGGTGATAAATAATACGGAGACCCCTCTCTCCTGCTCAGGGTTCGGAGGTATTTATCTGCTAAACAGCCTGAGAAATCTCGGCAGACCAAGAGCAGGGTGTGACTGAATGAAGTCTGGGTAGAATCAGATAACCTCAATATAACACAAACTCAGACTTTATTAAATACTTAATAAAATCATCAAGTGAGTTAATTAAATTAAGTTCACTTTCTCATGCGTCTAACAAGATTTAGTGCATACCTCATGTCATTTAAAATAAATTTTATAAATAATTTGAACCTTTGCTCCTAACAACATATGATCCCTTTAACATATAATTTTTAGATGGTAAAAAATGTTGAGGAAATATATGGAGTGACTCCTGCTATAAGGTTGCAGTCTGTAAGAGATTCCAGCATGCTTGACTGAAACCGACACAGTTCTGCAGGAATAAATTGAGGAAGATGAGGTGCAATTCACGGAATAAAACACCACAGTAGATAATTCAACAGAGAAACGACATTCTGTTTGTTATTTTTAAAGAGGTAATTCATGGCATTTTGATCAGGAAAAACAAACAGATGAGAGAAAAAGTCGGAGAGATAATTGGATGCAGAGCATTTTTTTCAAATTTAATGCATTTTTCTTCTACCTCTCCTTGTTATCAAATTGCATCAAACTTGGTACATCACTCTAAATCATCACTGAAATATTGTTAGGTGCAAATCATCTGATTACTTTTTCCTGAGGGTTTTTATCTTGTATTTCTTTATTAGTGTATTTATTTGGTGAAGGGTGCTCTTAAACCGACTGAACCCTAAATCATAAAAGTTTTTAATATTTTTGTCGGATTTTGAAGTTTTTCTGATAGAGTTTCTGTAGGTTCCTGGTTTGACAATCTCCACAGAGATAAGACTACAGCGTCTTCCATGTTACATAAGAGATTATGTGATTTATGGAGATGGGGGATACACTAAAATAAACCCCTACAAAGCTCGTGGCGGCTTTCACCTCTCTTCACTTTATTGTTTTAGGTCTCAGGCTTTCACATGTGCTCTGCATTACGTTTAATTTGTCGAACCTTTCAACAGATGAGTTTACTTCCTGTGGGATCACTTCATCCATAACACCCTGCCTAACTCTTCTTTATCATTCACCCGTAACAGCCTCGTAGACCCTCATCGTTCACCTGTGATAGCCCTGTATAACCCCCTTCATCGTGGCTGGGTTTCTGCGAGATCCTTTCTTGGCACCCGTCATACTCCAAACACATTCTTTTGGTCTGGCTATTTGCCGCAAATTTTAGGATTGTCATGCAACTTTGGAGATTCTGATTAATTTTAGTATTCTACAGGAAGGGTGGAGAGATTTTTTTGCTTTCGGAAATGTCTGCCAGGTGCCTTGAATGTTCCATTCCAAAACAAAAAGCTCTGAATCGACAATTTTTCTGCTAGTATTCTGCAAGTATAATTTCCTCTTCAGAAACATACACATAAAAAAAAAACTTGTAATATTTAGAACAGTGTTGTAGAGCAGAACTAGATCCCAGTGCCACATCGCTATGTAGGTAATGCCACTATGTACAGGTATTTAGTATATGACCTGTTTTCCTGGCAGGATTGCTGCCAATACTCAACAGATAAAATGCATGGCAGAAGTACAGAGTGGTTCCTCCAGGATTACCCCATGTTTATGTTCCTCTAGCATGTCACAAGTCTTGTAATGTCAGAGGCTTGATGCCAGTGGTTGTGGCATTTACTCGGGGATCAGTGGGTGAACAAGCCCCTATTGTCAGGGCATTACAACTCATACCCCTGGGTCAGGGAGAGCAAGGA